TGAAAGGATGGAAAAATATCTTTCAGGCAAATGGAAAGGAAAAGAAAGCTGGGGTAGCAATACTTATATCGGACAAAATAGACCTCAAAGTGAAGGCCATAACAAGAGATAAGGAAGGCCACTTCATAATACTAAAGGGATCAATACAACAAGAAGATATAATCCTGGTAAACATATATGCACCCAATGCAGGAGCACCCAAATTCATAAAAAAACTCCTGGAAGATATCAAAGGAGACATCGACAACAATACAATCATAGTAGGGGACTTTAATACACCACTGACAGCACTGGATAAGTCCTCTAGACAAATAATCAGCAAAGATACAGCAATCCTAAATGACTCACTAGATCAGATGGACTTAATAGACATCTTCAGAACACTTCACCCGAAAGCCAGGGAATATACATTCTACTCAAATGCTCATAGGACATATTCAAAAATAGACCATATATTGGGTCACAAGCAAAGTATCCCCAAATTCAAGAAGATTGAAATCATAAAAAGCGTCTTCGCAGACCACGATGGCATAATATTAGAAATAAACTACAATAAAAACAACCCAAAATACTCAAACACCTGGAAGCTGAATAGCATGCTATTAAATATTGATTGGGTTACCAATGAAATCAAAGAAGAAATTCGAAACATCCTGGAAACTAATGACAATGAAAACACAACAATCCAAAACCTATGGGACACAATGAAAGCAGTCCTGAGAGGGAAGTTTATAGCTCTACAGGCCTATCTCAAAAAGCAAGAAAAAATGGTAGTAAATCATCTAACTCTACAACTCAAAGAATTAGAAAGAGAGCAACAAGAAAACCCCAGAGTGAGCAGAAGGAAAGAGATAATAAAGATTAGAGCAGAAATAAATGACATAGAGACCAAAAAAACAATACAGAAAATCAATGAAACCAAGAGCTGGTTCTTTGAAAGGATAAACAAGATTGACAAACCTCTAGCCAGACTCACCAAGAAGCAAAGAGAGAGGACCCAAATAAACAAAATCAGAAACGATAGAGGCGAAATAACAACAGACCCCACAGAAATACAAATGATTGTTAAAAAATACTATGGACAGCTCTACTCCAACAAACTAGACAACCTGGAGGAAATGGACAAATTCCTAGAAAAATACAACATTCCAAAACTCAATCAGGAAGAATCTAAAAATCTCAACAGGCCAATAACTATGGAAGAAATTGAAGCAGTCATCAAAAAGCTTCCAGCAAACAAAAGCCCAGGACCAGACGGCTTCACAGGGGAGTTTTACCAAACATTCAAGGAAGAACTAAAACCTATCCTCCTCAGACTACTACAAAAAATTCAAGAGGAAGGAACACTTCCAAGCTCATTCTATGAAGCCAGCATCACCCTAATACCAAAACCAGGTAAAGACAACACAATGAAAGAGAATTACAGGCCAATATCCCTCATGAACATAGATGCCAAAATCCTCAACAAAATCTTAGCAAATCGGATCCAGCAGTACATCAGAAAGATCATACACCATGACCAAGTAGGATTTATCCCAGGGATGCAAGGATGGTACAATATCCGCAAATCAATAAACGTGATACATCACATAAACAAATTGAAAGAAAAAAACCACATGGTCATATCAATTGATGCAGAAAAAGCATTTGACAAAATTCAACACCCATTTTTGATAAAAGCTCTCAGCAAGGTGGGAGTAGAAGGATCATACCTCAACATAATAAAAGCCATATATGACAGGCCCACAGCCAACATCATACTCAATGGACAAAAACTAACACCATTTCCCCTAAGAACAGGAACAAGACAGGGATGCCCCCTCTCACCACTCCTGTTCAACATAGTACTGGAAGTGTTAGCCATTGCAATTCGGCAAGAAGAAGAAATAAAAGGCATCCAAATTGGAAAAGAGGAAGTAAAACTGTCCTTATTTGCAGACGACATGATATTATACATACAAAACCCTAGAGACTCCATCAAAAAGCTACTGGACTTAATACATGAATTTGGCAATGTAGCAGGATACAAAATTAACCCCAAGAAATCCGAGGCATTTCTATACACCAATAGTGAACTTTCAGAAAGAGAGATTATAAAAACAATCCCGTTTACCATCACACCAAAAAAATTAAGCTACCTAGGAATAAACTTAACTAAAGAGGTAAAAGACCTCTACTCAGAAAACTACAGGACGTTGAAAAAAGATATAGAGGAAGACATAAACAGATGGAAGAACATACCGTGTTCATGGATTGGTAGAATCAACATCATTAAAATGTCCATACTACCCAAAGCAATCTATAAATTCAACGCACTTCCCATTAAAATACCAACGGCATACTTCAGAGATCTAGAACGAACTCTCCAAAAATTCATCTGGAATAAAAAAAGACCTCGAATAGCTGCAGCAATCCTGAAAAAGACCAAAGTAGGTGGGATCTCAATACCAGATATCAAGATGTATTACAAAGCCACTGTTCTCAAAACTGCCTGGTACTGGCACAAGAATAGGCATATAGATCAATGGAATAGAATAGAGAGCCCAGAAATCGGCCCGAACCAATATGCTCAATTAATATTTGACAAAGGAGGCAAGAACATACAATGGAGCCAAGATAGTCTCTTCAATAAATGGTGCTGGGAAAATTGGACAGATATATGCAAGAAAATGAAACTAGACCACCAACTTACACCATACACAAAAATAAACTCAAAATGGATAAAGGACTTAAATGTACGACAGGAAACTATAAAAATTCTAGAAGAATCCAAAGGCAACAAAATCTCAGACATATGCCGAAGCAATTTCTTCACTGATACAGCTCCTAGGGCACTTGAAACTAAAGAGAAAATGAACAAATGGGACTACATCAAAATAAAAAGCTTCTGCACAGCAAAAGAAACCATCAACAAAACAACGAGAAAACCCACTGTGTGGGAAAACATATTTGCCAATGTCATATCCGATAAGGGCCTAATCTCCAAAATTTATAGGGAACTCATACAACTTAACAAAAGGAAGATAAACAATCCAATCAAAAAATGGGCAAAGGACCTAAATAGACACCTTTCAAAAGAGGACATTCAGAAAGCCAAGAGACATATGAAAACATGCTCAAAGTCACTAATCATCCGAGAGATGCAAATCAAAACAACAATGAGGTACCATCTCACACCTGTCAGACTGGCTATCATCAACAAATCAACAAACGACAAGTGCTGGAGAGGATGTGGAGAAAAAGGAACACTTGTGCACTGCTGGTGGGAATGCAGACTGGTGCAGCCACTATGGAAGACAGTATGGAGTTTCCTTAAAAAACTGAAAATGGAACTCCCATTTGACCCTGTGATCCCACTTCTAGGAATATATCCCAAAAAACCAGAAACACCAATCAGAAAGGATATATGCACCCCTATGTTCATAGCAGCACAATTCACCATAGCTAAGATCTGGAAACAGCCTAAGTGCCCATCAGTAGATGAATGGATTAGAAAACTGTGGTACATCTACACGATGGAATACTATGCTGCTCTAAAAAGGAAGGAACTCTTACCATTTGCAACGTCATGGATGGAACTGGAGAGCATTATGCTAAGTGAAATAAGCCAGTCAATGAAGGAAAAATACCACATGATCTCACTCATTCATGGATAATAGAGACCATTATAAACTTTTGAACAATAATAGATACAGAGGCAGAGCTGCCTCAAACAGATTGTCAAACTGCAGCAGGAAGGCCGGGGAGGGTTGCGGGGCAGGAGGTAGGGGGGTAAGAGATCAACTAAAGGACTTGTATGCATGCATAGAAGCATAACCAGTGGACATAAGACATTGGGGGATAGGGGAGGCTAGGGGACTGTCTAGGGCGGGGGGATAAAATGGACACATATGTAATACCCTTTGTAATACTTTAAGCAATAAAAAAAAAAAAAAAAAAAAAAAAAAAAAAATAAATGGAAAGATATTGATAGTATGATTGGTGCTGACTTATTTAGGGGTGAGGGTTTCTAGAAGTGTGTATTTAACGGTCCCCAGGCAAAGGCAAAATATATGTCCTGACAAATGTCTTCCTCCCAGCAAGTCTTACTATTTCCAAGGCAAAAGCACAACCATACGTCACGCAGTGAAGAGCGATTCCTGTGCAGCTGTATCGTCCTCTCTGGCATCTTTTTAAGGACTAGTCATTCATCAGAAAAATAAGGTGAAAATTCCATTTTCTCCTCAATTATTCTATTCAATAAAAGCCTCATATGCTAAGTGTCCAGTCGTCCGGCTGGAAGTTCAACCAATCAAAGCCTCATATGCTAATGCTATACTAAGGCTGCTCCACCGCTCACTATGACGTGCACTGATCACCAGGAGGGAGATGCTCTGACTGGTAGGTGAGCTTGCTGCTGGGGTCCCGCTGATCGGGACTGAGCTAGATGGGCCGGACACGCCCTGGAGCCCTCCCGCGGTCCCTCTCTGGCTGGCCAACCTCCTGCATCTCTCCCTGGCCCTGATCACGCACCGGTGGGGTCCCTTGGCCGGGCCTGCGCCCTCTCACAATCCAGGACCCTCGGGGGATGTCAGAGAGCCGGTTTCAGCCCAATCCCGCAGGCCAGGTCGAGGGACCCCACTGGTACACGAATTCATGCACCAGGCTTCTAGTTACATATAAGTATCTATAGCTCATAACACCTATGTACATACAAGGTAGGATCTGTTACAAAGTAACCTGAACAATTTTAGTGAAAAATCATTACTGAACTCAAACTTTAGCTGCAAGAGCTGACATGTATGTAGTTCAAGGTTGAGAAAGAAAAAAATCTGAAGCAATTTCCCTGAGGTAAGGAATTCTGTGCAGCAGAGATATGAACACTGTCCTGAAAGGAATAAAATATTTGCAAACATTAACTCAGAGTATGCTTTAGGAACCCCGCCAAACACAATTTCTCTGAAGACCAGCCCCACTAAGTATGTGGCGGTATCAGCATCCCATCAGCACATGTCACTCACATCTCTGGAGTCTTGGATTTGTTTTTTCCATTGAAAAACTCAGGAAGAGCACGCCGTTCAATCACGTGAATACTGGACAGAAAAGGAAAGAAGAGGACCGGGAGTAAGTACTCTCTGGAAAATAAAAATCCCAAACTGTTAGCTAAGCTTAAATTTCAAAGCAAAACTGTACGTCTAAAAGGTGAGCACTCCTCGCAAAAGCCAGCTGGCTTTGCACAGCTCCTGTGTAGTCACAGTGTGTCAGAGTTAAGGAAAGCGCTCCCTTCCTCACCCCAGTACTTTCTGTAGTTTTTCCACTCCTATAACCAAACTCAAAAAAGTACTGTCAACACACTGAAAGCCACAGACTTTAATCAGCTGTTGTCATATACATAATGACTAGATGAGCTACAAGACAGAAAGAGCTCTTTGGAAACTGGGTGACAAAAATCACAGTAGTTGGCATGGCAACAAACTGGTAAAATGAAGGACAGGCCAGAAGACAATGGACTTCACAATAATCAGGTTCTCAGGCTCTTCACACACCTGCACCGTCCTGTCCAGCCCTCAGAAACATTGTGGTGAATTGAATTTTAAAAATTATTTAGGAGTTTACTGCTTTTAGAAAGATCATACAACCTTCATCTTTTTTCTTATTTACTTATTTTATTGATCTATTGGGGTGACACTGGTTAACAAGATTAGTTTTCAGGGGTACAATTCTCTATCTGTACACTGTATTGTGTGTTCACCACCCCAAGTCAAGTCTCGTTTCATCACCATTTACCACCTCCTAACGGTCTCCTATCTCCCACCACCCTCTGGAAGTCACCATATTGCTGTCGTCTATGAGATGTGTATTTTGCTTAATCCCTGCCCCTTTTTCACCACTACCTGCCCCCCAGCCCCCGACAGCTGGCAGTCTGCTCTCTGTATCTGTGAGTCTGTTTCTACTCTGTTCATCGATTCCACATGTAAGTGAAGTCACATGGTGCTTGTCTTTCTCTGACTGGCACATCTCACTTAGCATAATGCTCTCCAGGCCCATCCATACTATCGCCAAAAGTATTCCATTGTGTAAATGTGCCACAGCTTTTTGTTGTTGTTGTTAATCCTCACCCGAGGATATTTTCCTCATAGATTTCAAGGAACGTTTTCCCACTCCTGAGTCCCATGTTCACAGAGGGAGGGCCTCCTCACCAGTTATAATCAAACCAGGATGCATAGCTAGGAATGATGATGTGATTGGTCTGCTCGGTTACGTTGTCTTCACCAGGGTCCGCTGGCCGACTCTGATCCCCTTTGCTGGGGCCATCATCTTCCTGCAGAAAAGGAGCCAAAGTGAAGAGAAAGAGAGAGCTACAGGCAGGTAACAGCTTTCAAACCTCTGACATCGCGCCCCAGAAAACGAAGCTCTTTGTTCCCATTTCAAGGACCGGGAAAATAAATTTCAAGTGAAAACAGTCTTTCCCAATCTTTAAGGCACCTTCACAAGCTGTCCAGGTGACACAGCAGATTTTACTCCTGCCTTTTACACGTGAGGGAATCAACACATACAAGGTCAGTGCCTCACAGCACGATCAGATCTCACGCCGATGAAAGAACGGCTGTTTCTACAGTGAGGCAGGCAGCTCACTGCCCACAACGCCTCTCACATGGCATGTTCCTTACTTGTCCAGGTTACGCTTTACCTGGATCGGATGCCAAACCTAAGTTATTAGTTCTCAAGTTATTGTAAGGAGCTGACTCCAGGACATGAGCAAGGCATAATGACAGGGCCTCCCATCCCAAAGACTGAGCACCGAGCACCTGCTAACAACTCTGTGTGCACGATCTCACTGACGCCCGGCAAGAGCAGCAGGTGCTACTCATCACCTGCTTTGTGGTGAGACAATGATACAGAGCTAACAAACTGTCATCCAGATATAACTACAGGGGGCCCAGCTAGAGGCCTACACTCTCAATCACTCCCACTACTAAAAACTACCTGATTTATATCAGAATATAAATTATGGAGGCTTTGCAAGTGATTCCACCTAAAAACCTGGTTTTCCAATAGTAATTTCAAAATCACTGCTTCCCCAGGGCACTGCTGGGAAGATGGAAATTGCCTTTTGATAAAACTTTGGGGTCAAGAAGCACAAATTCTTTGGAGGTATGTTAAAAAAGATATTTAAAATCGCAAGGGCCTCAAAACAGAGTACTTCTAAGGACCTAAGTGAATCGTTACCTTTCCTCCTGTTGTGACCGTCTCTTCATCCTGCTCATCTGTAAAACCAAAACACATCCTTTATTTAAAAAGCAGGGAAAGCTGTTTGGACTTCTTAGAAAGTGAAGGTTTCAGTAACTGACACTGGACAAAAAAAAGAGAATGGAGAACTAAAGCAAACCCGCCTCAAATCATTCAGTAAATTAGAACTGTACACAGAAGCACAGAGGTGAGGAGATTCAAAGCGTAAATGATTAAAAATGTCCAACGCGAGGGAATTATAATCAATCACTGCTGGTCGTGACCGTACCTGCTCGGAGAGGGGCTTCCCTAGGCTCTTGCCTCCTGAGGCTGTGAAGCAGGAAATGGCATTTCCGATCCCAGAGGAAGTGTGTAAGGAACGAGGAGTGAAGAAAGCGGTTACGCTCCCTCCCCCCAGACCACGTCCTGTAAGAGGCTGGTACCTTGAGGCGAGGGGATGCAGGCCCTCAGCGTGGCCTCACAGAGGACAGGAGCAAACCCACGAGCAATTAAACCAGGCGGCTGACTTCCCCCCGGGAAGGGAAAGGACCAGTGTGATAAAGTGAGAGATTCTGGCACAAATGATTACATTAAGTTTCGGTGACATTTTGTTTTCTTTTTAATTACTATGATCGTTAGCAGTGACTAAGGCACTGCGAGTAACTTAACTACCAACAATTTCTTTAAAACTCAGAAATTCTGATTTATGTATACTATCAGAACATAGTATCATGATTAAAGACGGAAAAGAACGGTCACAGAAAATCAACGTTCCTAGTATGGGAGCAAACCACACCACAATGCTGGTAAAGGGAACTGCCATCGACCTCTGCTGGGAAGCACAGCAACTGAAAGCAGTATTTCTCAGTAAAGACGAACATTAGAGGAGCTGCTCTAAGACAGAAAACAACACAGGCATGGGTAGATTTTTTTGTTTTTACCTAGATCGGCTACAGTTCCTCCTTTAACAGGTGTATTCTCACTATCTTTCTTTGGATTTACTAGAAGAAAAAAAAAGCATTGTTTTAGGGGGAAAGTTCTACTTGTTTTTAGGAGAAAAACAGAATAAACTAGATTTAAAAACACGCAAACCTCACTGCAACTGCCCTGCCCCTCAGTCCTCACCATCAAACCACAACAAGCAGCCCACGCGATGTGACCCTACATTTGTAACTAATTACAAAGCACCCAAACGTGTAAAAGTAGACACACAAAGCAAAACAGAAAAAGAAGCTGCCAATCCCTCTCTTAAAAAGCAGGTTATTAGTTTCTTGTGTATGTGTTGATTCACATTTTTGTGCCATTCATTTAGACAAACTGAGGGAGAAATGATACCTTTTACACACCTATGTGACTTTGAAACCTATTCTGGGGATGTAAAAATCTTACATGAACGTTATTCATACTGTCCTTCGCGCTCTGCTTTCCTCATGTGACTGTGTGCTTGTGTGATACTTCCATGTAATTCCTAGTTACAGTACGTCTCTTTCATTTTCAACAGATCCAGTGTGTCCGTGTGGAGATTACAAAGTAACCAGCCCTGTATTTATTGAGTGAAACCAGATCTTAACTTTTCCACTACCCTATAATCAACATTCCCTTCTCATTATCACCATGCATGTATAATGAGCATATATACATGGGTCTACATTTGAGCTGGCCATTCTATTCTGCTGATGCATCCAGCCATTTCTCTGTCCCACCACACTACACTGATCATTGTAGCTTTACTGGAGGCTCGACGCATGGAATGCGTGCAAGGGCTCGGCCCTCACAGCCCCGGCTTCATCCCGAAGGACATCTGGAAGGCCTTTCAGCTGTCCGGTCTAATTAGCATATTACGCTTTTATTATTATAAAAGATAGTTTAGGGATCTGTAAGGACTACCAGCACCTTCACAGCACTTTTATCTCAACTAAATCTGTTGATTACTTTTATAAACATTATCTTCCACATGACCTGTAAAGTACCTTTGTGTGGTTTGCAGTGCCCCATTCGACACAATGCAAGGATTTCAGAAATGCATGTGACATGTTATAGGTGACTGCATGTTCTGTTACAAAAGACAGGAAAGGGCATACCTTACATTATGGTAAATTTCACACCTTCTTCTCAACTAGACAATAGTGATTCTAAATTTAGTTGATAAATTAAGGATACATTTAATACTTACAACAAACTACAAAAAATTTAGATAAAAAGCAAATAGAGAATAGAAAATCTGGAGACAAAGTATAGCAGTGGTTGCAGGGTGGGGGAGGGGTAATTTGGACCCAAGTAGGTACCAGGGTTCTTTTCAGCAGAACGTAAAGGTGCTGGAAAGAAGAGTCAAGCCATCGGGAGGACGTGGCAACCCTAAACGTATATGCCCTGAATAGCAGAGCTTCAAAGCCATGAAAACAACTGCCCAGGAGTGAAGGACAATTTACAGGTCCACAGGCACAGTTAGGGCACATCCTCTTCCCAGGGACTGAGCCGAAACCCTAACTGGCACATAGAAAAGCACCCCGCTTTTCCTCATCTATATTGATTCTGTTGGGATTTTTAAAACATGAATTTTAAGATATTACTAAATTTAGACAACGTTTTGGTCACAGTGTATCTTCTCAATAAACAAAAAGTACCAAAAGGTGGGGAAAGAGGAACTGCATAAACGCTAACATTACAAGGGGGAATCTATTCACACTTGAACGCTGAGAGGGGGGCACAGAGCAGGAAGTCGGCCCCCAGGTCATTGCTGAGATGCCTCAAGCTTGCTGAACACCCCAGACCAGACAGGAGAGTACAAACCGTTTTTGGGGAGCACCACTTCCTCGATGTTGGGCACAGGTGTGGGGTCCTCCATGTCCTTGGTGAGGTCTTCTTGTTCCTCTTCCTCTTTCTGACTCCTGCGCTTCCCATAGAGACTAGCTTGGCTGAAACAGCAAGAGCACGTGAAAGATAAGCAGGACGATGAGAGCGATTTACAGCAAGCAGTTTCAGAGGCTTCTCCTTCACTGTAGTTAGAATCTATGCCCAGAATCACTTTAAAAGACAAGTGAAATCCAATCAGGCACATCCCCCGAAGTACAGCCAAAGGGGAAAAAAGTTACCAGGCACAGAAACAGACACAAAACCCTACTACGCAAACTGCAGACCGTATCCTAGAAGAGGCTGACGTTGGTGTAAGGAAGAACACCTGCTACGGCAATGCGGGGCGTATTTGCTCAGGTCATAAACAATCACTTACGTAAGATATTTTGTCAGAGATATAAAACACTGTATTTTCCTGGCTGTTTGTATCATTCAAATACCAGGAAGTACAAAGCAGAATCAGTTAGGATGAGACTAACCTGGTACTAATGCTTTTTGTAAAACCGCCATTGCTCTTTCACCAAGTCAATCACATCAATATTTATTGTCAAAACTAACACGTGCCAGAATGCCTGTTACAGTTCAAACAGGAATGGAACGATTCCTTACCTTGAGGAATTAAAGGGGACACAGAACAGAAATCATTACCTAATTCATACACGTGATGCATGTCAATGCAGAGGAAGGAACAAAGGCACCAAGAAAATGAAGCTCAGAGAAACAGCCCAGATTGCAGGCGACAGCCAAGCTGAACCTTGGGAACAGTGACAACTCCCTAAGAAGCAGGCAATGTTTCAGGATGATGAGTAAAGGCGTAAAGATGTCAGAAAAAAATAACTTGTACAGGAGGGACTGACCAGGGGTGTGGGGAGGGAGACACAGGATGGACCAGCCCGAGGCTCCACTCCGAGGGAAGACTCGTCCTTCCCTTCTAAGAGGGGCAGCATGTCGGTACTGGTTAGGCCAGCGATCGCCAACCTTCGGACCTCACGGACCACCAGTGATCCGCGGGCCACCGGTTGGCGGACCGCTGGGTTAGACTGAGGGATACAGGCTGAAATTTTCAAACCAAAATTACATGACAATTTTTAAAAGGCCTATGAACCTAAAGGTGATGGGCTGATAAAATATGTAAAAAGGGAAGAAAAGATGCTGGGAAGATGAATAAAACAAACATTCAGAAAACAGATTTTGGTTAAATATAGGACCCTATGGGGGAACCTAAGTGAGCAAAGGCCCGCTCATTAGAAAACAGATAGAGTCAACTGAAGGACTCACAGCATTCATTTTAGGAAACTCAATTTGGTGGGTTTTACACTCAAAGGAGAGGGTGAATGCCACCACTGCGAGCCCAGTAGGTGGCGTTTCAGTTCAGTGACCACGAGCGTCCTGGACCCCTGCTGGGCCCCAACTGGAAGAGGAACACACTGATTCCCAGCTTCTTCGCAGGATCGCAGGTGAGTCCGAAATATCTGAATATCAGGATTCAGATTCGATATTTAAGAAATAAGGTTACCCTCAATAATCCCTCAAGAAAAATCTACTTTTACGTATTAACTTGGGTCTATATTGGGTCTTCCATGTCCTTGGTAAGGGCCTCACAATATACACATACATGCAGCTTGAGAAAATAGTAAAATCATTTTTATGACTGTGGCTGGTTCATGAGTGTTATTTACAAATGTTATTAAAATATTTTGAGCTGCCCTGACCAGTTTGGCTTAGTGGATAGAGCATCGGCCTGCGGACTGAAGGGTCCGGGTTTGATTCTGGTCAGGGGCATGTGCCTTGGTTGTGGGCGCATCCCCAGTGGGGGGGTATGCGGGGGCAGCTGATCAATGTTTCTCTCTCATCGATGTTTCTGGCTCTCTGTCACTCTCCCTTCCTCTCTGTAAAAAATCAATAAAATATATTTTAAAAAAATATTTTGAGCTAACTATGAAAATTATTAAGTATTCTCTACCATTTATTAGGTGGATCTACTTCAGGCCATGCACCATATAGGGCCTTAAGTCATACGTTCATGCCCTGCATGAGTTATTTTGATCACAAATGGGACAGGTAACAACATCAGAGAGACACAGACATTAACGATGATGAATGTAATGTCCTAAACCCTTTAGCAACCATCCTCAATATATACTTAGACGCAGAAGAAAGACTGTATTCAGGGACTGAGCTGTGCAGGGCGCCCCTAGGACGCCCCTGGGGTCTGCCCGGCTGGCGCTTACCCTTTCTTCCCGCTCTTCTTCCGTGACTCGGTGGGCGTGGGGGGTGGCGGGGAGGGCGAGTGCTTCCTCTTCCGAGCACTCGCCGACGCCTTCCTGTCTCTTCTCTCGGGGCTTCGGACTGGCTGGAAGAGGCAAATGGAAACGAGCAGCAGCCAGCTTTGCTGACGCCTCAGTTTCTACGAGCCCTTGCCCCAAAGTGCATTTTCACAAAGACAGGAACAAACACACGAGCTCAGAGCAAATGCAGGGCACATCACCAGCATCCTGGCCACCAGCAGCCAAGAGACTTCCCGCCTTCAGGTGCCGCGTCACCAATGGGAACGCCAGCACTAGCCCCAGGCCTCCACTTCGCTACAGAACAGACCCGCCCGAGCCCACCTCGAAAACGACCCTGCTCACAACCCGGGCTTCCCGGTGGGAAAAACATGTCCAGCAATTAGTAGAAAAATATAAACCTTGTTATTAAATTAATAAAACACAAAGACAGGCTGAATAAGCTTGGGAAAATGTTCCAGAAACTACTACTACTTTGTCAGTAAAATAAAGATAAAAGATAACTTTGATACAAAAGATGTGAAGTAAGATTGCAAAGTCAACCTATAAGACTATCCCGACTTGCAGGTGGCATTAACCCTCAGAAATCCACGGAACAACTATCCCAGGTAACAGGTGAGTTCATCGGTGCAGGGTACAGACCAATATACAGAAGTCAACCTGTAGACGCCAACTGCCAATCTACACAACAGACACAATAAAGAAAACCCCGAAATGATCCAAAGAATGGAATCTGAGGTGTCCCTCGCTCCCAAATATCAGAGCTGAAGTATCAATTAAACTTCCATCTTCTCGGGCCAGTCAGAGGGGGACCTGAGCATCCTAAGAGCCAGGGAGAGAAGTCTGGAAGAAAACCTAAGCTACACACGCCTTTGATTAGTATGTAAACTGAAGTTAATTTTTTTAAAGGCATATTAGATCAATTTTATAGAATCCTCCCTAAAGATAAGTGAATAAACAACCCATCTAAATCTATAAGGGGTGGACAGGAACAGGCCAGTTCAATAATGTGATATGGAAATTAGAATATTCCTGATGACAAAAAGATTTGGTTTGAAATGCATAAGGGAAAACAAATATGTAAACATATTAGAGAAGGAGGCCAAAATAAAAAAATTTAAAGTGATATTCCAAAGCAAATAGGAACAAACTAAAAGATGAAAAAAACTAGTTTTAAAATAGCCTTAACAACAAAGAGCACACAGTGTGACAGAGAAACACACAGGGCTGAACACAGCGTGAAAGACCCGCACTTTCTAAGTGAGAGGTTAAAGGTGTGTTTGTCTCCAAGATGTAAAAAAAACTAAAATAAAAAACAAACCCCCAGAGGTGACTGTCCCCATCGGAAAGGACTCTGGAATCGCAGGTCTCTACCCAAGGCCGCACAAGCCCAACCCAGACCCGCAGGCACTGCCTTCGGCCTCCAGGCTTTCGGGGACACGCCCACCCCACCAGCTGTGACCTACAAGGAACCACAGGCAAGTGTTCAGTGGGTGGGCTTCTTAAAGGACTAGAGCATTAAATAGCACGTCTTCCCACCTCAAAAACGGACTCAACCCAAAACCGGTTTGGCTCAGTGGATAGAGTGTCGGCCTGAGGACTGAAAGGTCCCAGGTTCGATTCCGGTCAAGGGCATGTGCCTGGGTTGCGGGCACATCCCCAGTGGGAGATGTGCAGGAGGCAGCTGATCGATGTTTCTAGCTCTCTCTCTCTCTCCCTTCCTCTCTGTAAAAAATCAATAAAATATATTTAAAAAAACACACACACACACAAAAAAACCAGACTCAACTGTCACTGAGACCTTTAAGGCCTATGCTTTGTACTGACCACTGCATGTGAGTAACAACGCCATTCAAAATATTAAAACTAAACGAGTCTTCCCCTGGGAGACCAACAACTCCGTTAATTACCCTGTGACGCATTTGGAATCAGAATGAAACTCAGCTCTCGAGGACATAAGCAGCTGGACCACTGTCATGGCCACTTCTCATCTCAGTGGCCCCGACTTGCCCGGCCTTCGAGGAGGTGCCAGAGCCTGAGACGGTGCCCCTCTCACATGCACTCGAGGGCGGATGCACCTGGGTTTGTATGTGACCGTTTATCAAGGAACATTTGAGAACATTCAGGCCAAAGAAGAAACACCCAGTGGAGAAAAATGGTGCCGAACCAAATACCTCTTCATTCTTTGTTGAAATTCGCTGTCGAAAACTCACAGGCTTCCTGTTCTCATCCACCTCATAGTCCTCCTCATTCATCCATTCATTGAACACATCAGTGTCCAAAATCCATTTTGCATGAACCTAAAACCACATTAAAGCAGGAATACCTACATAAATAATAAAATCACTTGCATCTAAAAGTATTAAAAAGAGGCTGTAAAAGTACTTAACAGAAAATAAGTTGATTTATTATTCTAAAATCCTGAGCTGCATATTACAAGCTTAAAACGTAAGACAGTGACAGCCTGGCTGGTGTGGCCCAGTGGTTGAACATGGATCTATGAACCAGGAGGTCACCGTTTGATTCCTGGTCAGGGTACATGCCCAGGTTGCAGGCTCAATCCTCAGTCGGGGGCGTGTAGGAGGCAGCCAATCAATGATTCTCTTCATCTCTCTCTCTCCCTCTCTGAAATCAATAAAAATATTTTTTATAAAAGATGAACAATTACATGTGAATGGCCACTTAACCATTTTATTCCATGTCTTTTCCCAAATAAACAAGAGTAAGAAAGCACCACTGGCTTTGCGTATACTGAGGTTTTGATAACTAAGAGCTAATCATGTCATCTTTTTAAAAAAATACAAATGAGGGAAAGGAAGGATGCTGAAAGCCGCTGGCAAGTGGAGAGGGAGGGCTGGAGTGGATGCTAACTGGGCGGCTGAGGGCTTCCCATGAGGAGCAGGGTGTCTGCCTGGTCTAAAGCACCTCACAACTGCGTCCAGGCTGCCCGTGGGGGATAAGCCGGCAGTGGGAGTGGGAGCCGTCGGACAACGCCCCGACTGGGTGACGCCATCACGGGCAGGAGCGGACGGCACACGATGCTGAGGACACGACCTCACCCCGCAGCTCTGTCTGGGGCATCAGCTGAATCAGCCAGGAGAAAAGAGCAGAAACTCCCATGAGATATGCTCCTCGGGAATGAGAACACATCACAAAGGCTGTGGTGCTTCGCGGGCAGCAGGGAGGTGCTGTGCTGCAGGAAAGCACTGCCTGCAGGACTGACAAGGCCTCAGCGGCCAGAGCTTCGCTTGCTGGCGCCATCTCTGTGCCCTGGGCTGGCAGCGTCCTGGCAGCGGGGTGTGGGGACCCACCAAGAAGGCACGTGCAGATTCCCACAGAAGTTATAACCCCCTGAAGGACTCTGCGTAGATGAGGAAGGCTGGGGTCAGAGTGCAAAGTACTCTTGGAATGCCAGGAATTTCTCTGGGCTGAACTCCACGGAACTTGGTCACTGACCTGAGTTCCTGAACTATGAAACATGGATACTTGGGCTAAGGAATAGTTTCTCTTGATAAATAAACAATAAAGAAATACTGTGAACAGTAAAAAAATAAAATAAAAATTTTTAAAAAGTTAAAGAAAACTAAAGACATGGCATATGAATCCAATAACTGATATCAGCCAGGATTCTGTATTAAGGAGAAAAAACTGCTATAAAAACACTGAGTCAAATGGCAAAACTGGAATGCAGATAGTAGCTTAAAGCATGTGTTAATGTTAAATTTAATAAAGTTAAATGTACTAAAAACCTGTACTATGCTTCTGTATAAGAATTCCTTATTCTTAGGAAACACACACTTATATTTTGGAGTAAAAGTTCATGATGTACGCCTTTTTATCTTAAACAGTTCAAGGGAAAAAAAACACACACACAGAGATTATACATGAAAATTCAAAAAGGGAATAAAATGTTAACTGTAGGCAAATCTGGATATAGTTATGCCATGTACTATTCTTATTCTTGCAACTTTTCTGTGTGACATTATTCCGAACAAACACTTTTTAAAAAGCAGACTCATTTTTGTCAATCCCATTTTCCTATGAAATCTGAAGCTCAAAGGCTGTCTTTCTGAAAATCACACCATTAAAATTGGTTGAACCAGATTAATACCAAATATTTTGATTCAATTTAGGTGCTCATCGTCTGTGATACTAAAAGCATAATATGCAAATCAACTGAATGGCTGAACAGTGGAACGACAGTCCAGATGATCTTCAGGACGAAGCCGGCTGTGAGGGCGGCGCCCCTTGCACGAATCTGTGCACAGGCCTCTAGCACTATATTAAAGGGCCAATAAAATCCTGGCTCCCTGCCACTGCTCCTGGGAGCGGCCAGAGCTCTCTGCTGAAATGCTGGCTCCAGGGCCAGGACAGAAAAGTGACCAGGCAAGCACACATCAAATCATGCCCAAAGGCCACACGAGGCAGCTTAAACGTTCCCATCGGCCAAGGTTCAGACAACTCATCAGAGGGAAGCACGGCAGGACGGCCACCGCTCCACAAGCGCAGAAAGGACAGCGGGAGAGGCACCAGTCAGGACTGGCTAAGTGAGGCAGGAATTGCTAAGGGACCAGGGAAAAACTCAGTATAAACTTACTCTAGCACTGGGACAACTGGTGGAAATGGAAAATGGGCCCGGTATAAGGTAATAATATTGTTTTAAGAATTTCCTGAAATAATTAACAACAGGGAAATCTGGAAGAAAACTATAAAGTAATACCTTTTTATTACTCATACAGCTTTCCAAATTATTTCCACATTGAAAGCTGAGAAATACATGAGTTGATGCATGGACCCCTGCCACTGTAGCAAAAATGAGTAGAAAAACAGGTCTATTGCAATAAAGCCACGTGGGCACTGCTTCTAGCCGTCCTAAGCGACAGCAGCCGTGACGCTCAATGCCACGCCCCACATCCTCCCTCGGCTTCTCAAACCCTGGGTGCTGGGTCTCCTCATCACACATCACGGCAGATGCTGCATCTGAGACCTAGATAATAAGGCCTTCACGCCACGGACAGCTGTTAATGAGTAAGAAAGGAAGATCACCATTCCGTGTCTCCTTAAAAACCTTGGAGAGAATAGCTGAAAAGAGCTACGAGGTCACATAAGAATGATTTTTTTTAAAAAAAGCAGCTTTCACCTTCCACGGCTTTTCTGGAATTGGTGGATCTTCAATTTCCGCATCAACATCGTTACTATGGACCCAAGTGTCATAGCTATAAAGGAAAGGAGAAAAGGGAAAATCAATTAGATCCAAATTCACTCACTAAAGAGACTTGGATGAAAATGTGAAAACGTATTTTAAAGAGACTATTAGGATCTAGTAACAGAATTTTATCATACACTTTTAAAAAATATATACATTTCTATTATTGATCTCAGAGAAGGGAGAGAGATAGAAACATCGATGAGAGAGACATCGATTGGCTGCCCCCTGCACACCCCTCACTGGGGATCGAGCCCACAACCCAGGCATGTGCCCTTGGCCGGAATCAAACAGTGACCTCCTGGTTCATAGGTTGACGCTCAACCTCTGAGCTACGCCGTCTGGGCTGCCATACACTTTTGCCTCCACCGCTCTGACAGGAAAACTCTGAGTAGGTTCTGCAGTCGTCTTCACGTTGCTCAACCTCAAGTTCAAGCCTCGTCCACGGAATTTCAACAAGCTGATCACGCTCCTCCAAGCGTTTCCCTTGCTTGGCCTCCACGTGGGGCAGTGCTACCGACGGGCGTTCCTCTGGCACCCCCTCTCCTCAGTCTCTACGGCCAGTTTTCTCTTCTCCCAAACGCATCAATGCTGGGAGCCCCCACCTCCCGGTTTAGTTTTTGAACAACCATCCTCTTCTCTCCTTCACTTGGTCTCCTGCAGCCCACAGCTTCAGACAGACACGACCCCTTAAACCAGCGGTTCTCAACCTTCTGGCCCTTTAAATACAGTTCCTCATGTTGTGACCCAACCATAACATTATTTTCGTTGCTATTTCATCACTGTCATGTTGCTGCTGTTATGAATCGTCATGTAAATATCTGATGTGCTGCCGAGACCGGTTTGGCTCAGTGGATGGAGCGTCGGCCTGCGGACTGAAGGGTCCCAGGTTCGATTCCGGTCAGGGGCATGTACCTGGGTTGCGGGCGCATCCCCAGTGGGAGATGTGCAGGAGGCAGCTGATCGATGTTTCTCTCTCACTGATGTTTCTAACTCTCTATCTCTCTCCCTTCCTCTCTGTAAAAAATCAATAAAATATATTGAAAAAAAAAAAAAATCTGATGTGCAGGATGGTCTTAGGCGACCCCTGTGAAAGGGTCGTTCGACCGCCAAAGGGGTCGCGACCCACAGGTTGAGAACCGCTGCCTTAAACCCTTTCCGTTGCCCCTCTCCTCTCATGAATCCCACGGTCCACTCACATCTCCTCCTACAGGCCTAGCAAGGCTTTCAAACCTCACACACTCCAAACTCAACGTAATGCCTCCTGACCCCAACGACGAGCTGAGCCGACGCTGGCTGACATCCTGCCTTCACTCCCTCCTGTCCCATAGCAGCCGTGAGAAACGCCTGCCAGCTCCAGCTGCAAAGCAGGTCCAGAACCCAGCGCTTCTCGCCCTTCCTGCTGCCCAAAGCCCAGGCGTCCATTTCTCACACGGCAAACAGTGGTTCTTCTGAACACTCAGCCAGTGCACAGCACTCTGTCTCCAGCGCTCGCTGCTCCCTCGAGGTGTCTGAGCCGCTTCCTGGGGCTTTACGGCCCCTCTGCACATGCCAGGCCCTCGTCACGCCCTCCCACAGGCGCCTCACCACCCTTATCTTCACACCACTTAGCTCAATAGCTCAAAGCCTCACCAGTGAGGTCCAATTCACAATGAGTCATTCATTCCCCCTGTGCCTCCACCACTTCGAAAAAAGCAAAACAGAACCTTCCAGATTAAAGCGCTGTCAGTGCTGCCACCCTGGCCAACAGCGGTTTCTAAAGGGAACCCAAGTACGGTCACAAGCGCTGCTTCCTGCAGCCGCTGCTCGGAAGTCAGTCCCAAAGCTTCTGGAAGGAGCAGGCGCTGCACCCGTTCACAGCACCGAGCGCCTAGGACGTTCCACACCAGGCGAGCGAAGCAGCTCCTCGCGAGTGAATAAACCGCACCAGCTACCGGCGGCACCGGGAAGAGGTCCTGGTGACCCATATCCTTTAAAAGTCCCGAGGAGACGATGTTACACAGGCAGGAGCGAGGGCACAAGCTCTAGCCAGTAAGTGAACTAACAGGCCCCTGGAAAGACAAGACGCGAGCAGCCAGGACAGCTTCTCTGACACGTAGAAAATGCCGGCAAAGAGCGACCGTGTCTCCTGTGACGTCTGAACACGGACTTGAGCCCTTGCTCACAATGCCTGCCGTAGACCTGAGTTTCCATCTAGTGTTTTAAAGGACAGGCTGCTTCCCCACCACAGTCCCTGCAACGCTGAAGGCGCCCACAGTGCCAAGGGCCACTCGAGGCTCGAGGCTCCAATGTGCATAGAAAGTCTTATTTCTAAAGAACCTGCTCGTTCAAGCAGTCAATTGTGGTTCCAAAGAGGCTGGTTAGCAAGCTCACTGGATTTGGCTCTAATTAACCCAATGTATAGAGACTGTGCACATCCTGTTAAAATTCTGAACGTAAGTGAAGGTATATTTCCTTCTCTAAGAAATGTATCTGCATGTGAAAGGTCACTCGGACAGGTCACTCTAACACAGTCCTAAACCCCAGGAAGGAAATGTAAGCCGGCCTCTCCCAGCAGACGGAGGAGCTGTCCGGCAAGCGCAGCGAACGTGTCAGTTTGTTAAGAAAAGTAAAGCCGTGTGGCTCCACGCACTCCGCAGCGCCCGTGAGGAAACAGCCAACAAGACTGAAGAGTGAGATCAGTGCCACGGTCATGAAGGGAAAGTGGGCGACGGGCGGGCACGGACCGACCCGCCGGCCTCGGCCCCGCCTTACCTGTCCGGGTACGACCCCCAGTGCACCAGCAGCTGCTTGTCCTTCCTCATCACCGGCCGCAGCCACTCCTCTGAAAGGACAAGGAAAGCTCAGTCATGCCGACGACACAGTGGGTGAACAGACTATCGCTGAGACTTCGTTTCGCTCCGTTTGGGTTTGCTAAGGCGCCCCCACAGTCTCCTCATCGGATGCTCTCCACCATCATCTTCTAAGGGCAGTTTCTCAGCTGTGCCCTCAGACTTGTGGATTCTAGGTCTAATTCTCCCTCAATCCTGACAGAACCACTGTCCCCCGGTGCGGCCCTCCCGCCCGCCCGCCCGCCTGACCTGCCTGCGCTTCCGGCGAACCAGGACCCCCCCTCTGCGAGCTGTGCGTCCGCTACGTGCACGCGTCTCTCAAGCGTGAGTCAGGCTGCCACTCCTGATGGAAGTTTCTCCAGAACCTTCTTCCTCAGATTCACTCTCTCCGGCTTCAACGGCGCGACTTCCAAGCTTTACCAACCGCACTGTTTCTGTTCTTTAATGGCCACCTGTCAGCCCCGCCCTCCCAACGAGGCTGTCAGCAGGGGTCCTGTCAGACCAGTTTACTCACGCAGCCTTGCCAGGAAAAGGGGGTGACCGCCTGCATCTCAGCACCGGTTACGCTGTGGCCGTGGGTCGTCTGAACTTAGCTTAGAGCACTCGTTTCTAATAGTTGTTTCTATGAAGCCTCTTGAAACCCACGAAAAAGCAGGACTTACCTAAGTGAAACCAGCTAAATAAAACGACTTCCACGCCCATCTCCACATAACAAGCCCCGCACTGAGGCAGCCGGGAGCCCGCGTGCCTGTGCTGTGTGAAGCACCCGACTGCGGACCTTCTCGTGCTGACAGTGAAGAGGAAGAAACCAGGCCCTGACCCTGGACCAGCCTCCCAGAACGGCCAGGGAAACGGTGGAGGAGGAGCCGTGGGCCTTCCAGAACCCAGTCTGCTTCAACAAGATACCCTGCCTGCCCCACGAGTCAGAGCTGCCGCTCAGGGCACGAGTACGGCCCCCGCTGCACACTCCTCTCCACCCAAACGGTCAGCACTGCCCACCCCACACACACCCTGCCCAGCACCTTCTCCTTCACCCACCACATCCAACGAAGCTCTTCACCCGACTCACAGCCTCCCCTCCCCCCACCGCCTACGCTGAGACATAAAGCCCAACTTGGCCACTTGCTTTTCCTCAAACTCCGTATGTATTACCTCTCTGCTTCCCCTTATGTTGTACCCCTTCTAGCATCTCACACTCCAATTCTTTCTAATACCTTAAGACCTATTAAACAGCATCAGCTTTTCTTTTAAACTGTAACTAACCCTCACAGAAAGGCACACTGCACTCGACAGTCTTTACTGTGCGGTGGCTGCGGCGGCCATCGGCACACTCCCCTGGCAGGCTCAGGTCCGGAGCTCAGCCAGGGCTTTGCTCAGAGCCAGCACTTACTGACAGCCACTGGTTCTAAGGAAAGCCCCACAATGTGCAGAATCATGTGTCATACTTTAAAGATAACCTTCAATATATTACAAATTAAATTTAAATGCTGTCTTCTAACGATTACTCCAACTACTAATAGCAATACCTAGCAAACATCAGTAAACTAGTTTGTATTAAAATAAACAAAGAAAGAACACTCACATGAATAAGAAATTACTAAATAGCTAAGATGCAACACCTGCAGTTCAAACCGTTTGTAAAAGGCACTGTTTTCAATACATTCACGATCTAAGCGTTTATGCCAACTACTGGAGAAGCCTTAGGAGAGGTAGCCAGCCAGAATCAACACCGGAACATGCACAGCTACCCAGCAGCTCCACCCAGTGGCAACCAGTTGCTACTACCTCAGAGGACAAAAGCTGAGAAACACTAGAGGCAGCCTGGGGTTTCTCAAAGCACAGCCCTCAGAGCTGAGACTGTGACTGCTACACACCAAATCCCACCTTCAGCTCCGAAGCCACCGATGGAAAGGCCTAAACTACGAAACGCTTAGAACAAGTTAGGCGTAAACTTCATTACTCTGCTGAGGCAATGGCTTTTAGATTTGACACCAAACACACAGGCAACCAACCAAGCCAACCAACCGACCCTCCTGTCATTGCTTTGAGTATCTGTACAACTTAGAAAGGTCCTCCTTCCTCTCCTGGCACGCTCCTCCTCTAAGTCGAGCAGACGCAGCACCACCGACAGCAGTCTTTTCTAAGAACCATTGGCACTGCTGAGCACCTTGCTATTGTATAGACCAGGGATGGCGAACCTGTGACACGCGTGTCGGAGGTGACACGCGAACTCATTTTTTTGGTTGATTTTTCTTTGTTAAATGGCATTTAAATATATAAAATAAATATCAAAAATATACGTCTTTGTTTTACTATGGTTGCAAAGATCAAAAAATTTCTATATGTGACACGGCACCAGAGTGAAGTTAGGGTTTTTCAAAATGCTGACACGCCGAGCTCACAAGGTTCGCCGTCACTGGTATAGACCGTATTCATTAATTGTCCTCTTAATTACTTATTTTTTTTATTCTCTAACTTTAGTTTGATGTTATTTTTCTAATTTCTTGAGAAAGATGTGTGGACCACTGACTTCTCAGTCTTTCTTCTTCCCCAACATACACATTTAAGCCCCAAATTTCCCTCTAGATATAGCATCAGCTGCAACCTGAAACGTTAATTTTCTTACACTTTCTTAATTTCGTAATTATTCGGATCCAAAGACTTTCCATTTCCATTGCAATTTCTTCTTTCATCCATGGATTACATGGCAAAGATATTTCTTAATGTTCACGCATACGGAAACTGTCTGTAATCTTGTTATTGACTTACAGCATCTCTGCACTGGTAAGAACAGTGCAGGGAATTAGCAACTCAAGTCTCATATAATTTGCCTCCTTATATAGATATTCTATGGGGATATGTTATGCTTAAGAATAGATCTCCACATAGAAGAACTATTTCTCAATCTAAATTAACTTGGTTAATAATTCACATTTTGATTCCCAACTTTCCAACAGAAGTCAGTTGCCATAGCTCTGATGAACTCTGGCTACTGACCAAATCCACTCTCAGGTCGCAGGGCTGAATGCCAGAGTCGAACCCATTAGACAATCCCAACTGATATTTCCAAGGGACCTGTTTACCAGAGATGCTCTATCTCGCAATGTCTCTTAATTTTCAGAACACAAGGGACACAGGAACATTAGCTAAGTTAATGCACAGGCATGGCTAGACTTAACACCCAGATGATAACTGCCAACAAATAAATAAAAGTCTAATGATTAGAAAGTTGGACATTACAGAATTAGTTTACTTTTCCCAATTCAAAATAAATAAAAAATTATAAATTTAAATAATCTGTGGAATTTAATACTTGTGACTCTTTCTAAAATAGCTGCTTATACTATTTAACCTTCTGATGATATAACTTAGAATCCAGTGAAGTCTGAACTCATCAGATCACAACCAAAAACTCACTCACCATCCTCTTGTGAGGAAGGATGTGGGTAAATGTGGTGGGAAGCTTTCGACTTCTCGTCAGTGAATGTGCCCTGAAAAGGCAATGAACAAATAACGTAAAAATAACGCACGTGCCAGCAAACCATGAGACGCCAGACACAAACAGCCTAGGAACTGCAAAGGCATTATTTTACTTATATTTTAAAAGTATTATTTTAAGACTACAATATTTTTATTAGTCAAGGTAAGAGATAGGAATTAAAAAGAACAAAAATTATCAACAGACAGTTTACAGTGTTCTCTAAAAAAAAATAACACAAGTACCCTCAGCTAATTCTCTATGTATCTCTCTCAGGGTAACCTTATTCTCAGTAATACTAGAGGCCTGGTGCACGAAATTCATGCAATGGCTGGGGCAGGGGATCCCTTCATCCTGGCCTACCCCCTCTCACTCTTTACCGCCTGCCTGCTCGCTGCTCCTTAGCGCTGCCGTGGAGGTGGGAAAGGCTCCCGCCACTGCCACTGCGCTCGCCAGCTGTGAGCCCGGCTTCTAGCTGAGCGGCGCTCCCCATGGGAGCGCACTGACCACCACAAGGCAGCTCCTGTGTTGAGCATCTGCCCTCTGGTGGTCAGTGTGCGTCATAGCGACCAGTCATTCTGGTCGTTATGCTGCAAGTCGCTTAGGCTTTTATTATATAGAAGACTACAGGCCTGATGCACAAAATTCGTGCAAGGGTAAGCCTTCGTGGCCCCAGCTGCCTGGCGGCCACACCCCCTACCCACACCCGCCTTGGCCTCGCACTGCCCACATCTGCCGCCACACACCACCAGTTCCCCAGTGCCCACCGATCGATCATCCCGCAGAGGGTGACTGGGCTCCTTCTGCGGGGCGATCGTGGGGCAATGGCGGGCCCCCTGACCAATCGCTTCACAACCGCCTTGGCTGGCCTGGCGCCAGTGCGTGTCACAGTGTGGTCGTCCAGAAGGTCATCCAGACAGTTGTTCTGCTGTTCGGTCGATTTGCATATTATGCTTTTATTATTATAGACGAGTACCCCTAATTCTTTTTTTGTTAATGCTCACCCAAAGACATTTTTATTATTTTCATTTTTTTAAAAAATATTTTTATTGATTTCAGAGAAGGGAGAGGGAGAAAGAGATAGAAACATCAATGATGTGAGAGAATCATGGATCGGCTGCCTCCTGAACACCCCACAATGGGGATCGAGCCTGCAACCTGAGCATGTGCCCTGACTGGGAATTGAACCATGACCTTCTGGTTCACAGGTCGATGCTCAACCACTGAGGCACGCTGGCTGGGCTATTTTTTATTAATTTTAGAGAGAGAGGGAGGGAGAAACGGGAGAGGAGGGGAGGGACAGAGAGGAGGAAGGGAGGGGAAGAGGAAGGAAGGGGGAGGGAGAGGAAGAGGAGGAAGGGAAGGGGAAGAAGAGGGAGAAAGAGAAGGGAAAGGGGAGGGACAGGGGGACACACACATCAGGTGCCTCCCGAATATGTCCTAACTGGGAATCAAACCCACAACCTTTCAGTATGTGGGGAATAGTTAACAGATGAAAGGAGCTAAAAATGGTGACAGATACACTGTGACCAATCAATGGAATCGCTAATGCACTTTAAATGCTTGAGCAAAGGTCTGAGCAAGAGTATTCAGCCCCAGCTGGTTTGGCTCAGTGGATAGAGCGTTGGCCTATGGACTGAAGGGTCTCAGGTTCGGAATGGGCACATGCCCAGGTGTGATCACCAGTAAGGGGCGTGCAGGAGGCAGCTGATCAATGATTCTCTCTCATCACTGACATTTCTATCTCTCCCTCTCCCTTCCTCTCTGCAATCAGTAAAAATATATTTTTAAAAGGGGTATTTAATAATGGTGCTAGTATTAGCTTTTAAGTTCTCCTCTCTAGGAGTCTATGAAACCAGAAGATCTGTTACATCACTCTGGAGGTCGTCCCTAAAACAATCACTAAGAAAACAATCACTAAAGTCAGATTTCTTAAGAATTGTGGCAACTAAGTTCAGTATAAACTGTAGGCAAGCCCTAACCATTTTGGCTCAGTGGATAGAGCATTGGCCTGTGGACTGAATGGTCCCAGGTTCGATTCCAGTCAAGGGCATCTACCAGGATTGCGGGCTCATTCCCCGGTGGGGGGTGTGCAGGAAGCAGCCAATCAATGATTCTCATCAATGATGTTTCTATCTCTCTCTCTTCCTCTCTAAAATCAACAAACATATATTTAACAAAAAATAAATAAACTGTAGACAAATATATAAACTTTTTCCAGAATGCTTTGGCAGCAATTAAATGCTACTGTAGGACATATACATGTATGAAATCATCACATAATACACCTTAAACTGACACAATATTACATGTCAATTACATCTCAATAATGCTAAGGGGGGAAATGCTGGGCTCAGCTAAGAACTGAAGGTGAGTGAAGAGAAATGCACTTGGTACTGTAAGACCCAGAGGAGGAAAAGCTTCACTCGCTGCGACAGAAACACAAGTCAGAAGACACTCGGGGAGACTCACGAGGCCTTCCCGACTGCAAGGGCTTCTGAAGGGCCGAGTCTATTACCTGATGTCGTTTGATAATCTCTTTCAATTTGTTAGCCAACTTCAGGTCGATGTCTGGAATGAGGTAGATGTTGGGTCTAGTCAGGCAATTGCTCTGAGAAAGAAAGAACAGATTTTTAAATTCTCTTGGTTTTAAAATAATGTCATATTATTTATGCATCATCCTAATGGCAAAAGTTGGCACTCAAAGCCAGGCTGCTTAGAATGGGAGATGTACTTTGTATGGAAAAGAATGGAAAAGCTTTATGTCAATGTAAAACCTAGGTGTGCAGCAGCCTCCTTAATGACACCTCAGGTCCCTTCTCTGCAGCCAGGTACACCTGGACAAAAAGATGCTGAGATTATGACCCAAAGAAATGCATCATCTTTTCCATTAAGGCACCAAGTGACCCATGAGCCCTCCCAGCCCACTTCACCTGAGCACACCTCACATCTAATGGAGTTTCCACCTGCACCTTCTGTTGGCCGGGGGAGGTAGGTATTCATTTCGGCTCATCAGGTAAATCACTTAAAATGATGTAAAGACTGTGGATTACCCCTGACCAGTTTGGCTCAGTGGATAGAGCGTTGGCCTGCGGACTGAAGGGTCCTGGGTTCGATTCCGGTCAGGGGCATGTGCCTTGGTTGCGGGCACATCCCCAGTGGGGGATGTGCAGGAGGCAGCTGATCGATGTTTCTCTCTCATGGATGTTTCTAACTCTCTATCCCTCTCCCTTCCTCTGTAAAAAATCAATAAAATATATTAAAAAAACAAAAAAAAGACTGTGGATTATAGCTCTTTTTCCCCCATTTCTAATCTTACATACAGAAGTGACTAAAACATTCCTATTAACTCCCCAAACCATCACCAAAAATCAACCAACAAACAAAAAACCCTGTTATTCCTCTAGCTAATGGTCCATGAGACAACTCCCAGGCATGAAGCCACTGAGAAGACCCAGCTGCATTTCTGCCACATGCCCCACCCCAGGAAGGTTAAGTCAATGGCCACCACAAATTACCACTCAGTAAAATACTAGGGAAGAAAAGAAGAAAATTAAGTGTTCTCTCCAGGTTATAATCTAGTAGGGGAAATAAATCTATATTCATGGCACAACCATGAAACAAATCCAAAGAAAATCACTGAATAAACAAATGAGAGAGTATTTATATTAAATGTGAAAGAGATTCAAATAATGGGTTTGGTAAAATTAATAAAGAAAAATATCATAGATAATTTCACCACAAGTTTCAGGTCAATATTCTATAAATGACAAGTTTTGGTCATACTTTATATCTCTAATTCCCCTAAATCCAAAAGAATAACACAACAATAGATTTCAGAAAATTATTCTTTCTTTGATTTTTTGGCAACCTGATGAAGCTAATCTTAGAACTGACAGTATATCCAAGGGAAGAAATTGTAAGGATTTAGCTTTCCCGTTTACCTGCACCAATGTTTTTTCAATATTCATAAACATCTCAACATTACGATCCATTCGGGATGGATTCTGTAGATCAAACCTCCGCCTAAAAGACAAGATAATAATTAGTTAACTTGTCTCCCGTCTTAAACAAAAGTAAAGACTTGGCTGCAGCATTCAATGCAAATGAGCTGGATAGATCTGGAAACTATGATAGAACTACGCAAATGTACAAGCGTTTCTCTCAGTCGCATAAAGGAGCATGTCAACACTAGAAGGTCACATTTTAAGACATTAAGATCCACGCCAGCAAAAGGAAGTCTCTGTTCCATGAAGGAAATCAGGCAGAAGCAGTCCAGAGCCAGTGGCAGTCATCTGAACCGTATGTGTTCACATTCAGCGAGGTCTGTGTTCTGAGATGACCGTTGTCCTGGATGTGGTAAAACTCATGTTTTCACCTGGAAGTCCCCCCACATGTCTTTAGACCGTGTGGAGGCACCAGCATAGCACTCTGTGCCGTCCTCCCCGACCTCCGTCCTTCTCCTGTGGTTAAACCGTGACCAAGGCGAACGCTGTGTCCCATTGCACTCCCAGGGAGGCGTCCAGCCTAGTGACCGAGCGTGTGGGCTGTGGGCTGTGCAGCCCAACTTCTACGTCACATCAAGACATGCAAATCAACACAAGGACTCACCAGCCCTGGTCATTCTTGTACTTGTACGCAGCCCCGAGAATGTGACACAAGGCGCCTCCAGCCTTGAAATCCATGAAACATTTCGCCTAAAATGATACAAGTCACACGTGAAAACAATAAAAGTTCTGAAAAAATTACTTATGTCTGAATTCTAGAAGTAAGCTCAAAGATATAAACAAGTTCTTAAGTACTTTCTGCAAAAAATTGCAATATAAAGAAAAATGTCCAAAAATGCATAAAAATATTTCTTTTCAAATTTCAATTAAAATATTACTCTTTAAGTAAACTCTGTAAAAAACAAGATTTACAAAAGATACATCAAGTCCAGCCAGTGTGGGCCAGTGGTTGAGCATTGACCTATGAACCAGGAGGTCACGGTGGTTTGATTCCCAGTCGGGGCATATGCCTGGGCTGCCGGCTCTATTCCCGGGGGGTGGGGAGGCGGACGGAGACGGCTGATGGGTGGTTTTCTCATCACCGGTATTTTCTTTCTTTCTTTCTTTCTTTCTTCTTTCTTTCTTTCTTTCTTTCTTTCTTTCTTTCTTTCTTTCTTTCTTTCTGTCTCCTCCCCTCCCCTCCCCTCCCTCCCTCTCTCTCTCTCTCTCTCTCTCTCTCTCTCTCTCTCTCTCTCTCCCCCCCCCCCTTCCTCTCTAAAACCAATAAAAATATATATTTTAAACAGATCCCTAAAGATGTGGCAGAATTAGAAACAGGCACTGTGGATCCTACAGCATAAAAATGGCCGCGGGGTTCTGACCCTCAGCATCGGAATCACCCACAGAAAAAACTAACAGGCCAGAGTCAGGGACGAAGAGCTGGAGGCAGACAAGAGGCTTCCCAGGGACACCCACTGGGCCTAGACTCACTTCCCAATTCAACCCTCAGCCCCTGCCGCCCACAAGAAGACGCCTCGCTCTCAGTGACACCAGATGAGCTTTAAGTACAAAGGCTCATGTTCTGAACACGTTCTCTGCGCAGAAGCACCGGTGATGGGCCAATTCCTCTTGATGATTAAAAAATTTAAAGAATAAAAGGACAACAGGGGTCCTAGCTGGTGTTGCTCAGTGGATAGAGCGTCGGCCTGTGGACTGAAGGGTCCCGGGTTCAATTCCTGTCAAGGGCACATGTCCAGGTTGCTAGATCCTCGGTAGGGGGAATGCAGGATGCAGCCTATCAATGATTCGTATCATTGATGTTTCTCTCTCTCCCCCTTCCTGTCTGAAATCAAAAAAATATTTGAAAAGAAAAGACAACAGGCACCAAAACCTGAGCTTCCCAGAGCCAGTGGGCCCTGCCTCATGTGAGGTCTCAGCAGCTGCCCGTCTAGAGACCCGGGGCCAGGGCAGTTCTACCAGCTGCTTCGATTCCCGGCTGCGGGGGCACACTGCTTCTGACACGCTGGTCTCCTCGGGCAGCTACACTGGACGTCAGTCTCATCTTGTTCTGGGCGGACAGAGTGGGGTCAGCCCACTTACAGCCCACCTGTCATTCTGCTGAGCAGGATGAAGCCCAGAAAAGCCAAGTCTAACTGCAATTCCTAAAAGTGCTTTAAATCTGTGCCAGTGTCATTATTTCTTTGACTTATTAACTAGGGACTAGGCAGCGCTCACAAGTGGCAAAAAGGAGGGGATGCCCTGTCCAGGCAGCTGGTTAGAACGTTGCCCCGATTTGCCAAGGTTGTGGGTTCGATGCCCAGTCAGGGCACATGCAAGAATCAACCCATGATGCATAAATAAGTGGAACAACAAATCAATTTCTAAAAAGTATTTTTTAAATTGATGTCAGAGAGGAAGGGAGAGGGAGAGAGAGATAGAAACATCAATGATGAGAATCATTGATCAGCTGCTTCCTGCACGCCCTACACTGGGGATCCAGGCCACAACCCGGGCATGTGCGCCCTGATCAGGAATCGAACCGTGACCTCCTGGTTCATAAGTCAATGCACAACCACTGAGCCACACCAGCTCAATTTTTAAAAATTAAAAAAAACACACACACAAAAAACGGGGGGGTGGGGGATAGATAATTGTTTGTAATGTGTTTGTGTGGGCTGAGTACATGCATTAACAATGCCACCTTTTGGCCTGTTCATCCAGAAATGACGATGCCAGAAAACGAATGTGAGACATGAACCAAGGAGCAGAAATCGAGTATGTTCAACACACCAAGAAAATTCAAGGGGATTCAGGCATCTTCACACCCTGAAAACAGTTCTGGGGGAGAAACACATCGCTTCAACTCCAGAATCTTTTCACCTCACAAATATGAAACAATCAAATTCTTTCTAAGTTTCTTTGTGTATTTTAGCTGCTTTCGAGTTTAAAATAGTGCTTTCTAGACATAGTTCCCAATTGTATTAGTGAGAGAAACTGTAATACAGTCGGCCCTTGAACGTGAGGGTCAGGAGTGCTGACCCTACCCCACCCCGACAGCTGAAATCTGCGTATGATTTTAGACCCCCCCAAACGTCACAGCCTACTGCGGACCAGAAGCCTTACCGACAACATAAACAGTCCATTAACACATGTTTTGTATGTTGTATGTATTAGATACTGTCTTCTTACAATACAGTAAGCTAGAGGAAAGACCATGTTATTGCGAAAATCATAAAAAAGAGAAAATCCATTTAGCTTTTTTTAAAAACATATGTTTATTGATTTTAAAGAGGAAGGGAGGAGAGAGTGATAGAAACATCAATGATGAGAATCACTGATCAGCTGCCTCCTGCACACCCCCTACTGGGGATGGAGCCCGCAATCCTGGAGTATGCCCTTGACTGGAATCGAACCCGGGACCCTTCAGTCCGCAGGCCGATACTCTATCCACTGAGCCAAACCGGTTAGGGCCACTCACAGTATTTATTTAAAAATATAAGTAGTGGCCTGGCTGGCTTGGCTCAGAGGATAGAGCGTCGTCCTGCAGACTGAAGGGTCCCAGGTTCAATCCCGGCCAAGGGCACATGCCTGGGTTGCGGGCACAATCTCCAGTGGGGTGCGTGCAGGAGGCAGCCGATCAATGATTCTCTCTCATCATTGATGTTTCTATCTCTCTCTCCTTCTCCCTTCCTCTCTGAAACCAATAAAGAAATATATTAAAAAAAAATATATATATATATATATATATATATATATATATATATATATAGATCCATGCAGTTCAAACCCAGGTTGCTCCAGGGCCAAATGGAGCCCCTGGTGAGCACCTGTAATCACAGGTCACCACTGCTGCAGCCTCTTCTTGGGGAGAACAGTCCCCTCCCTGCTGCCATCTGAGGAGTTACCAGGAGGCACTTACACACACGGCCTCCTTACTCCACAAGCATCCGATGCAGCCGATGCTTCCAGCCCATTTTACAGATGACACAGGGCTGCTGGCTCCAGCCATGAGGTGGACTAAACAGCCAGAAACCCTACCACTCACTGCAAGCACATGCTGGATAAAACAGACGCCATTATGTTAAATGTGGGGCTGAATCTCTAGAAAGGCACATCCCCAGGTGCAAAAATCAAAGAAGGAAAAGTCAGAAGCTGGCTGCTCCAGGCCGACATCACTGCCCCTCATGTCTCTGTCCCCAGCCCCACAGCAGCCGAGAGCTGGGCACGGACCTCACAGCAAACTCTGGGACGTGACCTGTTCATGCCCTGCAGGTCTCTCGGGCTTTGTCTTTAAACAGATGCTTGTGACCTTTTTAAAAAGGCAGAGCGCAGAACGGGCGCCTTCCACCATGAGGCTCTGTCTGTGCTGGGCCCGCACGGGTCCTGAGCCGGGAAGGCTACGGGAACGAGGTTTTACCCTCACGCTCATGGTGCCCGTGTGATACATTCGAGCCTGAAGAAACACGCCTTCCTAAGTCCCCATTGCTCCCCAGCTCACATTACGCAACGCACACCTTGCTGAGCCAGCTGCTGGATCCCCGGCGTGATTCAGAAGTCCCCCTTGAGCCCGCTCCAGCACTGCCCACCCACGAGGAAGAAGAGCGGGCGGCGAACAGCTCCCAGGTTTCACTCAAACGTCCTTCCCTTTGCTGTCTCGCCCCCCTTTTCTTTACACCATGGGACAGGCTACACACTCCTCGGAGGGAGGACAGCTGGTCCCCTGGCGCTGAGCCAGGGACTATTTTTAACACGGTTTACGCCCAAAAATGCCCTCCTGGCCTCCGAGGCTGGACAGCTGGGCTGCACGAGCACCTTCCTCGGAGCCTCGCCCTCTGCTTCCCCTCAGGGCCAGGTCGACGGCGCAGCAGCCACCCGTCAGTTCGTCCTTCAACCTCGCCAATTGCTCCCCGTCCTCTCGGACGCCCCGCCACCTCCCTCCGCCCTCCGCGCTGCGTCCCGTTCGCGGGCATCAGGACCGCAGCCTCGTCCTGGAAATCGCGCTGGCTGCCCAAGCCTCTAGTCTCAACAGCCCCCATCGGCCTGTGGGAGACCTAAACCCAAAGCTGACTGAGCCCCTCCTGCTCTCCTTGCCCTTCCCGTGACCTCCAGTGGATGCCCCCTCTGGCGTGGCACTGGTGAACTTGGCCTTTGAGCCTGGTGCTAGCCCTCTCTCTGCCGCTGTCCTCCGCTCTAACCTTGGGCGCCGGCTGCCTCAGGCCCTTCTGCTGCTCCATGCGGACCTCACCGCCTGAAGGCACCCCCGCACTTCCCTCAAGAACCCACCCCCGCTCCCAGGACTCAGCTCCCGGGCCCTCCCTGCGAGGCCTTCGCTGAGATGGGGAGTCCAGGTCCTATCGACACAGCTCACGAGTGTGAGCCCGGAGGACAAGCCACAGCCTACACTCGGGACATAATCAAATGCTGCCTGTCCGCTGAGCTCCAATCAGTGGGGACAGCGGCCTTTTCTAGCAAGTGCTGCTGAGACACCAGATACTCACATGGAAAAGGATAAACTAGATCCACTGCGCACACTGAATACCAAGAGAGATTCTAAACGGAGAGAATTACATGTAAAAAATGAAACCAAACAAATACTCGAAGAACACATGGCCGAATTCCTGTATCACCTGCAAGTGGGAAAAGCCTAACATGATTCAAAAAACCACTGTTATATTTGACTAATAAAGATAAACGTCTGGACGGCAAAACCCGCATAAGCAGCCGTGGCTGGTGGCTCAGCTGTCCCCACACCAGAAAGGTTTCGGGTTCAATTCCAGGTCAGGGCACACATACCGAGGTTGTGGGTTCGATTCCCGGTCTCGGTACATATAGAAAGCAAACAATTGATCTCTTTCTCTCTCTTCTCTCTCTCTCTCATCAATAAACATATCCTCACGTGAGGATTTTTAAAAACCCAGCATGAACAAAGTAGACACACTTACTGCAAAGTCAATAAAACAATACTATTTCTTATTCTCAATTCTATGTGTAAGATCAGTGAGTTGTTAAAACAAAAGTTTTAGTGATAAAATAAGAACATACAATTCAGAAGCTTATGAGTTAAAAAAAGGTCCATGATAATAAATTCAATGGAGGCAGCAAGCAGCGGAATGGAAGCTGCAAAAACTCAAATCGGAGAATTGAAGACAAAAATTCTAAGAAGATATATGCCAGGCAGTCCTAAGTGGTCTGTACAATCAGAATTCACATATAAAGGCACACGGGGCAGCAGAGAGGCTAGAAGGCTGAATGGTCCCTGAGCCAAAGCAGCACAGGGAGTCTCCAGATCACGACTTACCACAACTGGACATATTTCTACATTTCAAAGAGAAAAAGAAAAGGTTCATAGATCAGCATAAAAAAGGGGGAGCCCTAGCTGGTTTGGCTCAATGGAAGGAACGTCGGCCTGCAGACTGAGGGGTCCCGGGTTCAATTCCGGTCAAGGGCACATGCCCGGGTTGTGGGCTGAGTCCCCAGTAGGGGACGTGCAGGAGGCAGCCGATCAATGGTTCTCTCTCATCATTGATGTTTCTATCTCTCTCCCTCTCCCTTCTCTGAAATGAAAAAAAAAAAGTACATTAAAAAAGGGAAGGAGACGCAAAATCAACAGATTTTTTCTCTACAAAATAAAATGTTAAAGAGAGAATAAAACCTACAGATTTCAAATGAAAATAAAATAACCCAGTATTTCTATGCCAAGCCAAATTATCAGTCAAAATATCAATTGCACGAGAATTATATTCTCACACAAATGCAGAATTCCACCTACAAAATAAAAAAACCCCACTGAACAGCGTCCTAGCCACAAGAGCTGAACCGGAAGAAGGAATGAAGACCTGGCACAGCAGGAACTACACGGACACGACAGCACAGCAAGACGCTCACAGCCAAGTCCACACGGCGACGCTGGGATGTTAACCGACAGTAAAGGACCTGCAGAGCCGCGCCCGCCAGCAGGGCATCAGTGCCACAGCCAAGGGCGGCCATGTACTCACCGGGAGCTTGGTGAAGGCCGGGTTGGCGACGTGCTTCCCGAAGGCGTCTTCCTGGAACTGCAGTAGCTGCACCACCAGCCCAGCCAGCGTCTTGTTGGTGGGCGCATCCGCGTGGACGTACTGCAAGGCAGAGACAGGGCTCAACGCCGGGAGAATGCCCGCTGACCTCCTGGGCCCCCTGAGCCCTGGCGTGGACAGGTTTATCCACGTCCGACAAGCTCTCTGCTGTAAAAGGGGACCCTGGCCGGTGTTGCTCAGTGGTTACGGCGTCGGCCCGTGCACCGAAGGGTTGTGGGTTTAATTTCCAGTGGAGGACACATACCTGGATTTCACTCCCCGCCTGAGTCAGGGCACACGCGGGAGGCAGCCCAGCCAATGTCTGTCTCTCTCTCCCTCCCTCCCTTCCACTCTCTGCAAAGCAATGGGAAAAATATCCCCAGGTGAGGATGAACAACAACAAACGGGCATCGCCCTCTTCTATGGAATGGGACCCTCCTGTGACTCACTTGTAGCCAATTGAATGCGAGTGATGCTGTGTGATTGTGAGAATAAGTCACTAAAGGTCTACAGCTTCCACAGTCCCGGGAAGAGTGCCATCGCCTGACAGCCCACACCTCGGAGGCCAGGCTACCTGGCGACGCCATGGCACCAGCCCCGCTGTCCCGGGAGACGGACAGCACCGCCCAGACTCTGAGCAGAGACGGCTGCAGATGGCTCTGCCCACAGCTGCCCCGTCGCCCACCATCCAGTCCCCAGCGGAGGCCCCGTCATCACTGAGCAGACACCACTGTCCCAGGACGCCCTCCAATTCCTGACACACAGGGACTCTAAGCATAACACGGTTGTCTCATGCCAGTCAGTGTTGAGCGGAATAAAATGGTTGGTTGTTTTTTATGCATCAAAAATATATGTAGGTGCATTTAAAATTATGGTTTTTGCCACAATTAAAATATTGTTTTAAAACAAGTTTATGTGAGAAGTTATACATGCTGAGGTGAATAATGTCAAAAGGCCAAACCAGTGGTAGACAGCAAGCAGCTTCCCAGCAAAGGAAGACAATGGTACCATGACGGGAACACATAGACGAGTGAAATTAAATGTAAAAGCTTAATCTGGTATTAAATGTTCAATATCACTTTGAGAAACCAATGTTCAATAATTTTTTTAAATCTCCAATTTTGAACAGGAAAAATATCTATACTTTCTTCAATTTCACAAAAGACAACAAAAAAACTAAATTTTTCTTCCTGGAGCAAACCTCTTTCCCAGTATCATCCAACATTTCAAGATGAATGAAGTGTCTATAATGACAAATAATATTTAAGTCATTTCTGTATGGCAAATATTAGTGGCACAGTCCACCACTACCATACAGTACGCTGGTGGCTCTCAAGTCAATGTGTGCCAATGCCAGGCGGAGACAGAGCACAGCAGACAGGGCAATCCAAGTTCAGCTGCCCAACAGGTGCATTTGCTTTCCACTCTGCATGAAACGGCCAGCGTGCAGTTAACTTTGCTGATGGCTAGTTTTTTTGTTGAAATGTCTTGTTTATGTGAAACCTTCTTCATATATGAGATTTGATAAAGCATTACTGTAAATTATATCTTGCACCCACTCAAAAGGCAGCCAGTGTATGACCTTCCAGTGGTTTTTAAATCAACCTATAAAAATGTAAAAATTACAACATCCTATTTAGCCAAGAATGAAACAGGCTGACCATGGGATGGATATATGGCATAAGTATCACACCCACCTCAAATTTCTATAATCCAGTTTTAAGGACTCTCATTTCATTCAAACAACAGTCCTATGGGAGCTGCAGTCTTACTTCCAACTTACAAATGAAAAATTAAAACATCAAAATAAAACAATTGGTTCAAAGACACCACCAATTAGCAGCCAAGAGTACTGAACTCACATTTTCCAACCAAATATAATACTCATTCCTCTGTCCCACACTGATAGAACTGAACTCGTTTCAACTGCTTCTGAAGAGCTATATATATAAAAGGCTAAAGCAGTGTCCCCTCGGGAGTTCAGCTGCTCACTAGGACGTGCACTGACCACTAGGGTGGCAGCACGGAATGAAGGAAGGCCCCGATCAGCCCTGATCACGGGCCAGGCCTAGGGACCCTACCCATGCACAAATTTCATGCACCGGGCCTCTAGTATAATAGAAAAAGGTCTTAACAGCTTTCAAAATAGTAACTCCTGAGTATGAAAAAAAAAGTAATGATATAGACTATTTCAGTCAAGCATTTTATCCTTTGATCAGAAAATTTTAAACACCATGTTTTACTTAAGACAACAATGTTTTAGTCTCAAAGTATTTTGGCTAAGAACGTTAGGAAGGCCCTAACTGGTTTGGCTCAGTGGATAGAGTGTCGGCCTGCGGACTGAAGGGTCCCAGGCTCAATTCTGGTCAGGGGCATGTACCTTGGTTGCGGGCACATCCCCGGTGGGGGGTGTGCAGGAGGCAGCTGATCGATGTTTCTAACTCTCTATCCCTCTCCCTTCTTCTCTGTAAAAAAATCAATAAAAATATATGGAACCAAGATGGCGGCATAGGTTAACGCCGGAGTTTGCTGCCTTGAACAACTACTTCAAAAGTGAAACCAAAAAACGGAAAGGGACATCACCCAGAACCACAGGAACGCTGGCTGAGTGGAAGTCCTACAACTAGGAGGAAAGAGAAACGCATACGGACACTCAGAGGAGGCGCAGTGCTGAAGTCAAATTCTGAGGTGCGGAGTGCGCGGAGCGGGCTGGCTGCGGAGGGCACGGTTGGCGTTTTCAATCGGGAGGGAGTCGCAGACTCTGAGCTCCAGATCCGGGCGAGTCTTTAGGGACCCAGACTCAAACGGGAGCAGCGGGACTGTCTGGCTTCGGTCAGAGCGAGTGCAGCTTTCTCTCTGAGCTTTGCAGCAGGTGCTGGGACTCAGAGAGGCAGAGCCCCTGGGGACAGGACTGAGAGCTGCCATAACTGCTCTCTCCGGCCCACCCTGTTGATCCTGTGCGACCCGCCCCGCCCAAGCCCTGCACAGAGGCATTTGCGGGATAGCCTCAGGCAAAGGCTAGATTAGCACCTCCCTAGAGGACAGAAGTTCTCTCACTGCAGACACAGCTGATTCTCATAGCCACTTGGCCTGGAGGTCAAACCCTCCCTGGTATTAGCTACAACAATCAAGGCTTAACTACAAGACTTCGCACAAAGACCACTAGGGGGTGCACCAAGGAAGCATAACAAAATGCGGAGACAAAGAAACAGGACAAAATTGTCAATGGAAGATATAGAGTTCAGAACCAAACTTTTAAGGTCTCTCAAGAACTGTTTAGAAGCCGCCGATAAACTTAATGAGATCTACAAGAAAACTAATAAGACCCTCAATGTTATGTTGGGGAACCAACTAGAAATTAAGCATACACGGACTGAAATAACGAATATTATACAGACTCCCGACAGCAGACCAGAGGAGCGCAAGAATCAAGTCAATGATTTGAAATGCGAGGAAGCAAAAAACACCCAACCGAAGGGATGGAATGAAAAAAGAATCCAAAAATGCGAGGATAGTGTAAGGAGCCTTTGGGACAGCTTCAAGCGTACCAACATCAGAATTATAGGGGTGCCAGAAGATGAGAGAGAGCAAGATATTGAAAACTTATTTGAAGATATAATGACAGAAAACTTCCCCCACCTGGTGAAAGAAATGGACTTACAGGTCCAAGAAGCGCGGAGAACCCCAAACAAAAGGAATCCAAAGAGGACCACACCAAGACACATCATAATTAAAATGCCAAGAGCAAAAGATAAAGAGAGAATCTTAAAAACAGCAAGAGAAAGAAACTCAGTTACCTACAAGGGAGTACCCATACGACTGTCAGCTGATTTCTCAACAGAAACTTTGCAGGCCAGAAGGGAGTGGCAAGAAATATTCAAAGTGATGAATGCCAAGAACCTACAACCAAGATTACTTTATCCAGCAAAGCTATCATTCAGAATTGAAGGTCAGATAAAGAGCTTCACAGATAAGGAAAAGCTAAAGGAGTTCATCACCACCAAACCAGGATTATATGAAATGCTGAAAGGGATCCTTTAAGAAGAGGAAGAGGAAGAAAAAGGTAAAGATACAAATTATGAACAACAAATATGCCTCTATCAACAAGTGAATCTAAGAATCAAGTGAATAAATAATCTGATGAACAGAATGAACTGGTGATTATAATAGAATCAGGGACATAGAAAGGGAATGGACTGACTATTCTTGGGGGGGAAAGGGGTGTGGGAGATTCGGGAAGAGACTGGACAAAAATCGTGCACCTATGGATGAGGACAGTGGGTGGGGAGTGAGGGTGGAGGGTGGGGTGGGAACTGGGAGGAGGGGAGTTATGGGGGGAAAAAAGAGGAACAAATGTAATAATCTGAACAATAAAGATTTAATTTAAAAAAAATCAATAAAATATTAAAAAGTAAGTAAATAGCCCTGGCTGGTTTGGCTCAGTGGATAGAGTGTTGGCCTGTGAACTGAAGGGTCCCGGGTTTGATTCCGGTCAAGGGCACATGCCCGTGCTGCATCCCCAATAGGGTGCATGCAGGAAGCAGCCAATCAATGATTCTCTCTCATCACTGATGTTTCTATCTCTCTCTCTCCTTCTCCCTTCCACTCTGAAACCAACAAAAATATATTTTATTTTTATTTTATTTTTTTTAATATATTTTATTGATTTTTCACAGAGAGGAAGGGAGAGAGACAGAGAGCCAGAAACATCGATGAGAGAGAAACATCGATCAGCTGCCTCCTGCACACCCCCCACTGGGGATATGCCCGCAACCCAGGCACATGCCCCTGACCGGAATCGAACCCGGGACCCTTCAGTCCGCAGGCCGACGCTCTATCCACTGAGCCAAACCGGTTTCAGCACAAAAATATATTTAAAAAAAAAATAAGTAAATAAAGCGATTTCTTTAGGAAAAAAAGAACGTTAGGAAGATATGTTTAGAAAGCTTTATCAATAAACCTCTTTTTCTTTCTTTTTTTGGTCTTTTTAATAAACCTTCTTTATATTACCTATGGCATTAATAGAGTATGAAGTTTAACTTGTCCCTAAACAATCCTGCAGCAAATATCCCTTAAAAAGAAATAACTGTCTTTATCTGTGAAATGACTTATGCAAAGAGCATTTAAATGACTGCCTTAGGCAATCTACTCTAGTTTAGTGATCATCCTTAAATCTGAAATCTTATTTCAGGAATTAGCCAAACTCTGGAGAAACCTACCAGGAAACCTAATGGCTTACAGTTTTACCTCACCTCCAACATAGGTTGGAGGTGAATAAATGTGAGGTCCTAAAATTTTATAATCTGGCCCTAACCGGTTTGGCTCAGTGGATAGAGCGTCAGCCTGCGGACTCAAGGGTCCCAGGTTCGATTCCGGTCAAGGGCATGTACCTTGGTTGCGGGCACATCCCCAGTAGGGGGCGTGCAGGAGGCAGCTGATCAATGTTTCTCTCTCATCAATGTTTCTAACTCTCTATCCCTCTCCTTTCCTCTCTGTAAAAAATCAATAAAATATATTAAATAAAAAAAATTTATAATCTGAAAACCACCCAGAAACTATGGACAGAAATACAGCTCTCATCTTAGAGTTAGGATGGCAGACGTGTCAACACAAAGGCAGCAGCTCAGGGAGCTGGGCCAACTTCCCACCCTTCTCCCTCCCCCCTCCCTCCTCCCTCCTCTGACCTCCGACCTCAGGCAGTTAACCTCTGCCTGCAGCTTCCTGGGCTAGAATGTGGTCACCTCCTCGGGACTCCTGTGGCCCAGCTGGAGCTCATTCCAGGTTAAAAAGGATTCACTCTCTGCAACTGGAGATTGAATTAGAAACCTGGGCGTATGACCTGATCAGCACTGAATCGAACCTTTCAGTGCACAGGACAACACCCAACCAACTGAGCCACACCAGCCAGGGCTGCAAACCACTCAGGACCCTCGTTAGCACTTACTGGTGCCAACCACTCAGGCCAACCTGGTTTTTATTGCTGCCACTACTTGAAAAGTTCTTAAAATGGGTCTGAAGTCTATACAAAGAGCCCTTGCAAAATATAATAAACTTGTTGTACCTTAAAAAAAAGGGGGGGAGACTCACTCTCTCGTGTTGCTAAGCCAACTTTATCTGCAAAGCCTATCCGCATAGGTTCCTAAACTAGTACAATCTGCTCACTCACTGAACAAGTATTTACTGACCTCCTGAGGGCATTTGGAAAATGAAAACAATGCCAAGAAGTTCTCTTTTCATTTGCAAACACCTGGGTTTTACAGGCAGGTGTCTATGTTTATCTTTTCCACAAACTGTGATTTCCTTAGAAAGAGGGATGTGTAGTCAAAAAAAAAAAAAAAAGACTAAAAAATAAGCGGGCGGGACTCACTGAATCCCAAGCTGCCACTCCTAACTGTGATCCTAGAGAAGGTACCTGGCTCTGGAGCGGGGCTCCGCTCACGTGTGGAACGAGGTGCACGCGGAATGTCCATCACCAGGACTGCTGGGAGGGCTCAGGGGATGTTTTAAGTGCCTGGATACCCCAGATGCTCAGTTGTTCGCTGGCTGCATGGACAGACCCACCCTAAAAGGGGGACTAACGATGTCATGTTTATTCCATACAGGCGCTGAGATCAGAGAAGTCTGTTAACACCCACCAATGTGTACAAGTAAAGACATGGTGTGTAAAACAGGCGAAGAACCTCGGTCAACGCTTTCCCCTCTCCATCACTCCCAGAAACTGACCGGACTTGGGCTGTCAGATTCAGTTTTGAACCTCAGGAGGCTCTGGCTCTAAGAAACCCCGAGAAATCAAACCTAATTTTGACTGTGTCTTTGACCTCAGGGAAACTGAGCCAGCTTTAACCTATTGGCCTCGACACTGGTCCAAACCTCCAGTCGGCCTCGCCAACAAATCTCTGAGGAATTATCCAAACCTCAGCTACCCTCTTAAAATTGTAATCAAACAGATGCACAGAGTTTGAAGAGGTAGAAATGAGAACTTATTTCCCTTTCTTTTCCCCTTCCCTGATATTTTATTTGAACAACAATCCTATGGGAATCACAAAGAAATAACCTACAGAAATATTACTCGAGTCTTTTCATTTGTTAAAGCTACATTGGCAAAGTAACGCATTATATGTCAATTACATCTCAGTAAAATGGGGGTGGGGAGAATCAGGCTGGGGAGAAAAAAAAAATTAAGGAGCATTGTACTTAAGACCCAAAGCACTGGCTGCAGGGCACATGATAAAAAAAAAATTAATTTTTTAATAATATATATTCAATTCCCTTAGCCACTTCCAGAAGCTCTAGTGCCACCACAAAAAAAGTGGCCGATTTAACATTATACAAGGGAGAGCAATATTCTTCTCTTACATGGGGATAAAAAAAAAAATCTACAATCCCAAATGTGACTCCAAAATTCCAGGAAAGAAAGAAAAATTTGAAGCATCTAAAAATATCCTGTAAGTAATAATGTATCTGGTCTATCACTTCCTAAACCTTCACCTAAGAGGCTGTCATTTCTGGAAGCACCAATGTCATTGCCAACGCACACCCGGGTCCCTGCCCGCGCCTGACAACTTCAAACGCTGAGGAGCTTCCGCACGCTGTCAGGCCCCAAATAAACACAGGGTGTCCCCCCAAAATGCACACACACTTTGAATGATGATAAAGCCAGTGTTTATTACCATGCAGCTCATTTCCAAAACTAAGTGAGTGATCAGCTGTGAAAGTGTTCATACATTTTGGGGGGACACCGCATCGATTCATTCATTCAGCAACTATTTACATAGTAACCACTAAGTGAGAGGCAGTGGTAGCGACCCGGCCAAGGGCACATGCCCCGAGCAGGCCGAGGGGATCCGGCCCCACGGCGGTGGTCTCCGGTGGGGAGGTGCAGGCCCGAAAAGGGCGCTCGGGAAACGGGGGGCGGAGGGAGTATTCTGGGCTGTCTGCTCCTCACACCTTCTGGGAAGCTGAACGTCTGAACGACTTTCAACACCACCGACTCCCATCCCAGAGGTAAGAGAAAGCGATGAACGAAGAAGGCAATTTCAAAAACGGGTGCGAAGAAAACGAAGATAGGGAGTGGGGTGACCTCACAGCAGCGGGGTCCCCGGAAGGCCTCGCCGAGCAGCAGCAGGTGCGAGCGCACCGAGCCCTGCACACGCGTAACCGAAGGCCCGCCACTGGGAAGCGGCCCGTTCCCAACAGTCCCCCTCGACGTGCTCCTGGGCCCGCGGTTCCGCCTTCCGCGGGCAACCGTCCCGCCTCGTCCTCCACCGTCAACAGGTGGGCCCCCCGCCCGCTCCCGCCTGGGACGACTCTGCTCCAAACAAAAAGCAGCCGCTCTCCCCGCCGGCTCCGAGTTTCAATCACCTTCGCTCCCGCCTAACGCGGCCCACGAAGCCGGACCCACGGCCGCGGGGCGGCTGCACCCCACTGTCCCTGCGCAGGGAGCGGGCAGGGCTGCGGGGGCCCGGGAGCCCCAGGAGCCCCGCGGGGCCCGGACGCGCGGGCTCGGAGGCCCGACCGCGGGGGCGTGGCGAGCCCGGCTGCTGCCTTTGTTGTCCCTCGCGGCGCGCGGGGGGGAGGGGCGGCCCGGGGCCCGCGAGGCCGGCAGCCGCCCCGGCCCCCCGTCGCGCGGTCCCCCGGCCCCCGCGGGCGCGCGAACCCACCTTCTTGTAGTGCTTGCCCAGCCACACGCGCACCGAGTCCAGCTGGGACACCGTCTCCGGGCTCTCCCAGAACTTGCCGGCCGGGCCCCCGTCCTTCCGCCGGTACGCGGCCAGGCCCGCGGCCACCGCCGCGCCGCCCGCCCCCGCGCCGCCCGCCGCCGCCCCCTGCCCGCCGCCGCCAGCTGCCGCGGCCATCGTCGCCGTCCGCCGTCCCCACCGCCCGGCCCGCCCCGGCCCGCGCGGCGTTCCCCGTCCACACTCGCGCGCGCGCGCAGCCGCCGCCACCGCCTCCGGCCCCGCCCAGCCAACCCCCTTCCGGCGCGGACCTCGGCCCCGCCCCTCCCCCGACCAGCGCCCTAACCGCCCGGGGCGCGCGCATGCGCAAAGGCAGCCCTCGCGCCCGATGAGGGGCGGGGCCTCGGAGCAGCCGGGCTTCCGGTACCTTCCGCGCGTAGGTGGTGGTGCGCTCTGCTCCGCCGCCCTCCCGGCCTCGGCGGGACGGCTCCTTCCGGGTTCCGGTGTCGGGCGGTTACGTCCACGGCTGCGCGGAGGTCTCCCGTCGTTGCTGGCCACCGCCAGAAAGAAAAGGGCTGGGCAAGCAGCTCCGAGCGGAAAGCCCGCTTAGGGAGCCATGTGCCTGTCGGGGAGCCCCCCGAGGATGGGGATCTTCGCCCGCGACCCCCCGCTCCAGGTGGCCCGTCGCCTCTGCACGCAGCCATCTGGGCGACCGGCCGGGCCGCGCTTCCTCGGCTACACGCCTTCCTCTCGCGGCTGCAGCTGCACCAGCTTATTGGTGCCTCAGGGCCTTTGCACCAGCTGTTCCCAGACCTGCGATCCTCTGATGCTTTCAAACTCATAGCCTGCAGCGGTTCTCAACCTGTGGGTCGCGACCCCCTTGGGGGTCGAACGACCCTTTCACAGGGGTCGCCTAAGACCATCGGAAAACACATATATAATTACATATTGTTTTTGTGATTAATCACGATGCTTTAATTATGTTCAATTTGTAACAATGAAAATACATCCTACCTATCAGATATTTACATTACGATTCGTAATAGTAGCAAAATTACAATTATGAAGTAGCAACGAAAATAATTTTGTGTTTGGGGTCACCACAACATGAGGAACTGTATTAAAGGGTCGAGGCATTAGGAAGGTTGAGAACCACTGGCTTAGAGGAACTTCAGAAAAGCGATCCCTGCCCTACAACCTTTTTTTTAAGAGAAAGTGTATTTAGAAAGTTACATGCCAGCTGGCTGGCTCAGTGGCTGAGCATCATCTAGGCACCAGGAGGTCAGCTTTGATTCTGGTCAAGGGCACATACATACCGGGTTGCAGGTTCGACCCCAGTGAGGGGCGTGCAGGAGGCAGCCCATGATTCTCATGGGTGTTTCCCTCTCTCCCTTCCTTTCCGAAATCAATTAAAAGATGTTTTTAAAAACAGTTACCCAGGTAGCAAGAGTGAGCCAGCCATAGGCTCAGGAAACAAGTTACAGAAGCAAAAGGGTGCTTGGGGCCTAGGAGAGGGAAAGGCAAAGGTAAGCCCTGGGGGACAGGGCCCTGGGGGGACAGAGGGAAGGGAACGGCAGGCCGCACCACCTGCCGCAGGTAGCGCCCGCCCCATCCTGGTCTTTTCCTTCTCATCTTCCGCGTAAATTACAGGAGAACCTCGTCCTGACTTGTTGGCAGGCGTGTCCTCCTAAAGGCGAAAATGGCGGATGGGGGAAAGGCTCCCAGCTGAAGGGCGCTCCGGTTCCTGAGTCGCTGCTTTCTCTGCTTCTCCGAGCAGGGTTAAGACCAAGTCCAGAAAGCTTTCGGAAAAAATAAGAAGGTGGGGGGGGGGGGGCCCAGAAAGAGCCCTATCTGGTAGCACAGCTCCAAGACACCGTGAACAAGCTGCGTGGCTTCCCACGGTGAACGGTTCGAAAGATGCAAAACAGTCAACCACGGACGTAACTGTACATACAGTACACAGGTGTCCCATGAAGGCTCTCTGACTTCTATCTGTTTAAGTATATGTTTTAATTGATTTCAGAGAGGCAGGGAGAGGGAGCCAGAGATAGAAACCTCAATGAGGAGAGAGAATCATGGATTGGCTGCCTCCTGCACGCCCCCTACTGGGGACTGAGCCCACAACCCGGGCCTGTGCCCGGATTGGAATCAAACCCCAGACCCTTCAGTCCGCAGGCTGATGCTCTATTCACTGAACCACACCGGCCAGGGCTCTCTAACTTCTGCTGTCCTGCCTGAACCCTCATTCTGTAGCTACAGCACCCATGTTCATGGAACAGCTAACCAATTCCCATCAGTGAAGTGTAACCCCTAAAAAATCCTAGCCCTCCCAGGCAGTTTTATACATCCTTGGCAACTGTCTTAAGTAGCTGAAATGCTAAGTGCCATCGAACTGTTTTCTAAAAATTGGGAATTCCCAGTATTTCTTTTAATTATTATTTCTAGAAAGAATCCATCTTCTGATGAGTCATTGGAAAACTGTACTAAGTTGTGATTAATATCTGAAGTCTCAGAGGACTTCTGTACCTTTGTAATAAAGGGTGAAATAACGTTTGTCAGAGACCAAGATTACTATATCCAGCAAGGCTATCATTCAAAATAGACGGTCAAATAAAGCTTCCCAGACAAAAAAAAAGGGGGTTAAAGGAGTTCATCACCACCAAGCCAGCATGACAGGAAATGCTAAAGGGACTGCTGTAAGGGGTTGTTGAGAAGAAGAAACAGAGAGAGAAACCTAGCCATGCGGAATTAAAATGGCTATAAATAACTACCTCTCAATAATAACCCTAAATGTAAATAGATTAAATGCTCCAATCAAAAGGCGTAGGGTAGCTGAACGAATACAAAAACAACTATATGCTGTCTACAAGAGACCCACCTCAAAGCAAAAGACACACACAGGGTGAAAGTGAAGGGATGGAAAAAATTTTCCATGCAAATGGAAAGGAAAAAAAAGCTGGAGTAGCAATACTCACATCCAACAAAATTGACTTTAAAAGCATCATGCTAAGCGAAATAAGTCAGAGAAAGATAAATATCATATGATCTCACTCATTTGTGGAATATAATGAACAACATAAACTGATGAACAAAAATACAGCCAGAGGGGGGAAAACATATATTCTAGAATATAATAGAAGTAATCCTGTTAGTTGCAAATTTTTAATACTTCCTACAACTTTCGTGATATCATACTACATTAGAACAGTTTTGGTAGTACTATTATACTTAAAATTCTTGAAATATTAATGTTTATTGCATGTAATATATGTAAGATAATGTCTTGAATAATTGTTTATTGCATGTAACATTATATTTAAAATCTTTTTTTGAAATAAAAATACTGAAAAAAAGTTTGTCAGAGTAAGGGTTGTATTGTGAATTGTGATGCTATGAGGGTTTTATGTATTTTCATTGAGTGGAGTTCTTTGCAGTTTTAATTTTTATTTTTTTATTTTATTTATTTATTTTATTGATTTTTTACAGAGAGGAAGGGAGAGGTATAGAAAGTTAGAAACATCGATGAGAGAGAAACATCGATCAACTGCCTCCTGCACATCTCCCACTGGGGATATGCCCGCAACCAAGGTACATGCCCTTGACCGGAATCGAACCTGGGACCTTTCAGTCCGCAGGCCGACGCTCTATCCACTGAGCCAAACTGGTTTCGGCAGTTTTAATTTTTAAATGGGGGTTGGGATCCTTGGAATGTTTGAATAAAATTATTAATAAACTAGAGGCCTGATGCACAAAAATTTGTGCACTCAGGAGGGGGGGAGGTGTCCCTCAGTCCGGCATGTGCCCTCTCGCAGTCTGGGACCCCTTGAGGGATGTCCACCTGCTGGCTTAGGCCCGCTCCCCGAAAGATCGGGCCTAAGCTGGCAGTCAGACATCCCTCTGGAAGCCCAGGAACCCTTGGGGGATGTCCACTTGCCAACGGGGACCAGACCTAAGCTGCAGTCGGACATCCTTAATGCTGCTGAGGAGGCGGGAGAGGGTCCTGCCATCACCGCTGTGCTGGTAGCCATTAGCCTGGCTTGTGGCTGAGCAGAGTTCCCCCTGTGGGAACGCACTGACCACCAGGCGGCAGCTCCTGTATTGAGCGTCTGCCCCCTGGTGGTCAGTGTGTGTCATAGTGACCAGTCATTCTCTGTTAGGGTCAATTTGCATATTACCCTTTTATTATATAGGATAGAGGCCTGGTGCATGGGTGGGGGCCGGCTGGTTTGCCCTGAAGGGTGTCCTGGATCAGGGTGGGGGTCCCCTGGGGTGCCTGGCCAGCCTGGGTGAGGGGCAGATGACTCTTTGCAGGCTGGCCACAGCCCATTCAGGGCGGGGGTCTCCTGGGGTGCCTGGCCAGCCTGGGTGAGGGGCTGATGGCTGTTTACAGGCTGGCCACAGCCCCAGCCACCCAAGCTCCCAGTGGAGGCTGGCTGGAAGCAGGTATCTGGGATTTATTTATCTTTTATAATTGAAACTTTGTTGCTTTCAGCGGAGGCCACAGCCAGCCAGCACAGGTGGGAAGCTTGGCTTCCTCCATCGCCGGGGCAACCAAGCCTCCTGCTTGCTCCAACTCCGTGGCTGCCGGCCACCATCTCGGTTGGGTTAATTTGCATATAGTCGCGGATTGGCCGGTGGGCGTGGCTTGGGGCATAGCGAAGTTACGGTCAATTTGCATGTTTCTCTTTTATTAGATAAAAAATTGGGAATGAGGCTTAGACGAAATATCATGCACATGTGACCTCCAAAAATAACACGCTCCCGAATGGTCAGCATCTGACCAGGTCCAATATTGGAGAGGAATGCAGTGATCGGCGCTGCTGACCTCTAGCGCTGGATCAGAGAATGACGGTCCTCTCAAAGACCCAAGCAGACAGGACGGCACCTCAAAATCACCCAGCTCCTTGGTGTGAGGGGAGAGGGGGCAAGTGGGAGCCTTTTGTATTCATGTTGGTCACCAGTGTGCTCTGTTTTTTGATCACCGATGTTTTGATGTATTGCTATCGTCTTACATGTTTATTCTCTGCTTACCGTGGTTTTTCTTTGCTTCTCTTCTCTCCTAATTTCTGTTCTGTTCAATTAATACTTGAATTCCCCTGGACAGGCTCAAAAGCCCTGGATTATATTTCTATTTGTTTAGTAATTATACTTACATTGTTTTTACGCATTCTAAATAAAATTTCTAACAAAACCCTAAGTTATTACTGTGGATTTTTTTCTTTTTCTTTTAAATTTTAAGTTTATTTAGAAAGTTACATTAAAAAAAAAAAAGCTACAGAGGTGGTATAAGTGAGCCACCTGGGCTGGCAGGCTCATGAGCTCATGAGACAAGTCACAGAAGCAAAAGAAGGGCCTTGGAGCTTAGGAGAGAGAAGGCAAAGGTCAGTGCCTGGGGGGGGGGGGGGGGGGAGGGAGAGCAGGCCGTTGCTGTTCCATCTTCCTCCTGAGTAAGACCTTCGCCTGAACCAGGGGGTAGGTGGGGTGTGGGGGGACATGATCCCCCTGAGGGTGGACTCTTCTCCCATTGTGGGGCGGGGCGGGTGGGTAAGGGCCCAAAATGGGGTCCAGTGTGGTCAGTGAAACATGAAAAGGAGTCTTCTAAGACTTCATTAGTTGGGTCATACAAACGTCCAGGGGAACACTAGGTAAATTATGATTGTCTAACGCACTAAGCGGTACCACCCAAAACCAATCCATAATTTATTTACTTTTTTAAATCCTCACCTGAGGATATTTCTCCATTGATTTTTTAGAGAGTGGAAGAGAAAGGGAAAGACAGAAAAATATCGATGTGAAAGAAACACATTGATTGGTTGCCTCCTCCGCGTACCCCGACCTGGGCCAGGGAGGAGACATGCCCTATGACCGGAATCGAACCCTGGACCCTTCAGTCCGCAGGCCGAAGCTCTATCCACTGAGCCGAACCGGCCAGGGCTCATCCCCATTTTTTAAAAAGCCTGTATGTTGGTCCTTGGGCAGTACCATGGTTAACAGCGTTGGCAGAAAAACGGCCTGGAAGCTACACATTCTCTTTCCAGTTTTGCTAATAAACATTTCATAGGTTGAGAATAGCTGGCTTGTACAATTTGGCCGGAGACATAAACGAGAGCCTCTGTCAAAAATGACTGATTTTATAACCACGTTCATTGCATCCCAGGAAAGGTGATGGTCTGTCACTCCCATCTCCTACTTCTGCAGAAGGAGCAGGTAGCAAAGAACGAAGCCTGGAGAGTGGACACAGGGAGGAAAACGAGGCAGCGCTAAGGAAATTACCAGGAAAGGAGAGGCGAGCCATGTGGGAGGGAGGGGAAGGTACGCGGACGAGCACCCACCTTAACACAAGGTGCCTCTGAGCAGACACAGCTGTTCGTGAAAGGTAGTTTCAGGCTCAGGAATAAGGAAAGGATCTTCTGAAAGAAAACTACAAACACAACACGTGCAAAAAGCTAAAGTAAACAGAAAAAGAAAACGAAAAAAGCTAGAATACTGAGACTGCTCCGCGGGTGCCTGTTCTGCCGGACTTCCCGTGGGTTTTCAGACTTCGCAGCCTCTCTCCCGAGTTAGAATTTCCTTTGGGGTGAGGGTCGGGTCTCTATCACTTAATTCACAGCATTTCAAACACTATGTGTTTGGAGCTGAATCCATGTCTCCAACTCTGTCTCTTAATTACATTCACAGCGTATAGCCCTTCTGGTCACCTGGGGCAGAGCAGCCTAGAGCTCTGCCATCTTGCCTTTTCGCCTTTTTCTCTGGTGGGTGGCGTTCAATCCATTACCTCTCACCTAATCAGCATCCTAGCTTCTCCTTTCCTGGCCAATTCCACCGGCTCACACGTTCAGAACAACCTCCCTAACATTAGCTATGTTAGCCCTGGCCGGTGGGCTCCGTGAAGGCGCATCAGCCTGCGGAAGTGTCCCAGGTTAGAGTCCCATCAAGGGCACACGCCTCAGTTGCAGACTCCATCCCGGTCCGGCCCTGGTCGCCTCTGCAGGAGGCCATCAACCAATGTGCTTCTCTCACACTGATGTCTGTCTTTCCCTCTCCCTTCCACTCTCTCTAAAAATTGGTGGAGAAATATCTTCGGGTGAGGATTTCTTTTAAAAATTAGCTATTTCACTTTCTAAAAGCAGTTCTGCCAAAACCGGTTTGGCTCAGTGGATAGAGCGTCGGCCTGCGGACTGAAAGGTCCCAGGTTCGATTCCGGTCAAGGGCATGTACCTGGGTTGCGGGCACATCCCCAGTAGGAGATGTGCAGGAGGCAGCTGATCGATGTTTCTCTCTCATCGATGTTTCTAACTCTCTATCTCTCTCCTTTCCTCTCTGTAAAAAATCAATAAAATATATTAAAAAAAAAAAAAAAAAAAAAAAAAAAAAACTAGTCTTGCTTTAAAAGCAGTTCTTTTACTCTCCTACTTAGAACAGTAAAATTGTTTTGATTACAATTAGTCAAAATCTCCCAGCATAGCAGTCAACTCTGTTCGGTCTGTCTCCCCGGAAGCTGCACCCCCCCGGCCGCCAGGTCACCCTGTGCTGCGTGCATTCCTCAGGGTTTGCCCCGTCCGCCTCCGATGTCTTGCTCACACGGTCCCTTCTCCCCGCTGTGCCAAGAGTACACTCCTTTTTCTGGAACCCTCTAACACTTCGTATTTCCTCTCCAGCATTTATCACTTTTTAAAAATACATATTTTTATTGATCTCAGACAGGAAGGAGGAAACATCAATGAAGAGAGAGCATCATGGATCGGCCGCCTCCTGCACGCCCCCCACTGGGATGCAGCCCGCAGCCCGGGCACGTGCCCGGACCCGGATCCAACGGGACCTCCTGGTTCCTAAGTTGGCGAAGCTCAGCCGCCAGCCCCGCCAGCCGGGCTCGGACCGCTTCTGATTTGCTTCCCACCATGTGTTCATCTTCTCTAACCTCAGGCCCTGAGGTCAGGGTGTCGGTACCCTCTCCACCTGCTCGGCAAGGGCCCAGTCACTCACCCCGGGGGACAATTGCTTGAATGAATGATGCTCCATGCCCACCTCCCACCCTCCTGACGTGCGAACGAGGACCATCATAAACACTCGTCGAGCTCGTCTGGACAAGGAGGACGGAGATGGCACCGATTCCTACTCCACCCCGAAAAGCAGCGTCCAGGGCTTCCCGGCTGTGAGATCCCGGCGCGGCTCCGAGCCACCCACCCTGTTCCCTCCTTTACGCGTTGGCTCCCACTGAGCGCACGGGAGCCGCACCCAAAGGGCCGGCTCGCAGCGGGGACGATGCCCTTCCTCCCGGGGGACGGCCGGGCGCTGCACTCCAGCTCCAGCCCCGGCCCTTCCCCCGGCGTGTGCCTGTGCACCGCGCCCGCACGTCCCCCCGAGCCGCCTGCAACCTCGGGGTTCGAGGGGGAAGGAGCAGAGAGGAGGCGAGGCCACGAGCTGGGGGGGCAGCGGACGGGAGCCCGGGCCGAGCTGGATTCGTCCCGGCTCAGGCCTGACTCGGCCGGTTCCCTAACTCGCACCGGGGGCGCGGGGCCCAGGCCTCCGCCCGCTCTCACTCCGCCGGATGCTGCGGGGCCCCTAGAGGCGCGGCCACGTGCAGCCCCAGGCGACCCCACGGCTTCCCGTGCGCCCCCAACGCCGCTCGGCCGGAAGTCCGGCCCCGCCTGCCCCGCCGCCCCCTATTGGGCCCGGCGCCAGGGTCTGGCCGCGGGTAGGCCGCTCTCGGGTCAGGCGACCCCTGCGAACCCCAAGACGGGGACCCGCTCCAGAGCCGCTGAGACCTATGGGCGGACTCGGGAGGCGGGACCGGAGTGAGGGGCGGGGCGCGCCGGGGCGGCAGGCGGGACTTCCGCCTCCGGACCCGGAAGTTCCCGCGCTGCCGCTGGTGGGAGTTGTAGTCCGGCCGTGGTTACGGGGGGGCCCGCGGCTCATGCGCGGTGCATCGAGGCTTGTTTCACATCTGTAACAACAGGTGAATTGGGCTTTTTATTCTCCTCTTCGGTGCCCCCTGGAGGAGCTTACCGCGGCCGGGGATGATCGGCGCGAGGCGGGGTCCGAGTCCGACCGTCGGCTCGGCAGAGAGTGGGGCGGAGAGGCGGGCGGGCCCGGGGAGCAGGCCGGGCATCCTAGGCCTGCCCGGGAAGCCGGCTGGGCCGAGCCGTGGGCAGCCAGGCCTCGGCCTGCCGTTGCCATGGAGCCGGGGCGGGGGCGGGGGCCAGGCAGGTCCGCTGGGGCGGGCTTGGTAGCCCGGGGCTCTGTTGAGGCCGCGGGAGAGGCCGCTTCATTGGCGCATCGACGCCTCCGCCTCCGGGGATGCTCCGTTTCCCGAGGCCGGGCCTGGAGGGAGCCCCTGGAGTGCTCTGGGACCTTTGTTTGCCCCCCGCGCGGCCTGGGCCGTGCGCCCAAAGGGAGGCCTGGTGCAATCTGGCCCCCCCGGTTTGCCCCCTTTTGCACCCACCTTGTCACGGGGGAAGCCAAGGGGTGAGGTGTTCTTTGTTTGCTGGTGGTCATGCATTTGGGTTCTTTGTTTGCAGTGAACTGGAGCCCAGGGGGCCTCAGAGCCCCCCAAGCCAGGAGGATGGCGCTAGCACGCTGCCTCGCTAGTCTTCTTGTCGCAGCATCCGTCCTCTTCGTTGTGATTTTGCAAGGCAGGGGGGTCCCACTTTGCACCCCCAGCCCATGGGGGCTTGCCGTGCCCTGTAGCAGGTGGACCGCAGATGGCCACTTGCAGACTCTCCACCCGTTTTTGCTTGCAACTTAACTAGGCAGAATAAATGAGACATTGATGGTTTCCTTTGGCAGTTTCTTTGGAAGAAGTAACCCACTGTCATTGTGGGTGTTGACCACATGGTATAATTTACACTTACATCTTGGAGGTTTGGAGTTTCCAGGAGGCCGCTCCCCTCCCCCCTCCCCCTCCCCCCTAGTTCTTAGGGTTTAGGATGGTGCTATTTCTGTAGCTGTTTAAGGTGCAGCAAATACATTCTTCGCTGCATTTTTTTTTTCAACCTGCGTGGGATATGCCTATACCTCCAAAAGGTGTTCACTCTCCATGTGTTTTAACTTCCGTAGCTGTGGTTCAGAGTTTATCCCTGGACACTTCTGGCGCCTTTCAGCTTTTGAAGATGCTATTATCCAATGTTATTTCAAACACCCAGGGGCCAACTGGGCGCAGCACGGAGGGGAATTAGTGTAGGATAAGCCGGGACCGCTTTTGGAGCTCAGTCCCTAACTGCCTATTTGCATTCTGCCCCAGGCAGCTGCGGGGTCCTGGGCCAGCTGTGTAACCTCTGGGAGAGAATTCCTGCCTGGTAAACTATGAAAATGGTGCTCAAGGCCTCGTCGTTATTTCCCCAAACTCCACGGCTGCTTTGCCTGCCTTGGGTGATGAGCCTTAGTCCTGATGGCAGTAGAACTCCAAGCTGCCGCAGCTGTGCTCTGGGCTTGGAGGAAGCCTTTCGAAACTCCCGGCCCCTCTGCCAGGAGGGCTCGCCCTTGGCCTCTTAGAGGTGATGACTTAGGGCAGCTCACGGTTTGGTGAGTCTAGAGGGGTCGTGGCAGGTCGAGAGCGAGGCCAGTGTCTCCATGTGTGTTTCATGCCACTGACAAACTTGTCCTTGTTGCCGGAGGTAGTAAGTGAATTTCAGTGATGGAGCCACTCTCCGTCCCGGAGGGGGGGGCGCATCTCTCAGTGACCCTGCCTTGTACTTCCCAGGAGGAGGCCCAGCCTCGTGATGAGGAATAGCAAGGAGAGAGTTCAGCTGCAGTTCCGACGCCTGCAGAAGCTGAGGTCTTCACTGCTCTCGTAAGGTGAGTTAGCCCCAGGCACAAGGCAGTGGTGGGCCTCGGGCTCAGACACTGTAAAGCAGCCATTTGTGAATTACATTCACTTGTGACTGTTTGGGACGAAGGGTGTCATTTAAAAATGTTTTTTATTGATTTCAGAGAGGAAGGGAGAGGGAGAGAGAGAGAAACATCAACGATGAGAGAATCGTTGATCGGCTGCCTCCTGCACGCCCCCCACTGGGGATGGAGCCTGCAACCCTGGTATGTGCCCTGACCAGAAATCGAATCTGGGACCCTTCTGTCTGGAGGTCGACACTCTATCCATTGAGCCAAAGGGCTAGGGCCAGGGTATCATTTTTAATTAGTCATTATGGAAGCTCTCTGTCCTTGAAGCATCCCATAGTGACTCTTCCTGGAGTTAAGTAGTGTTTCATTGTGCAGAACCTGATATTCTATTATTTTACTTCTCTCTAAACTATTGAAGAGAAACTCTGAACCTTGAAGGTTTCCAACGAGGAAGGCAGCTTTCTTTTGATCTCTGTAAAATATCACCAATAAAAGATCTTTTTTTTTTCTTTAAGATCCTATCTTGGGTCCTGGCAGTTGGTTAGAGTGTCATCCCAATACGCGAAGGTTGCAGGTTCCATCCCTGGTCAGGGCACATACAAGAATCAACCAATGGCCCTGACCGGTGTGGCTCAGCGGATAGAGCGTCGGCCTGCAGACTCAAGGGTCCCAGGTTCGATTCCGGCCAAGGGCATGTGCCTTGGTTGCAGGCACATCCCCAGTGGGGGGCGTGCAGGAGGCAGCTGATCGATGTTTCTCTCTCATCGATGTTTCTAACTCTCTGTCCCTCTCCCTTCCTCTCTGTAAAAAATGAATAAAACAAAAGAATCAACCAATGCATACATAAATAAGTGGAACAACAAACTGTTATTTCTCTCTTTCTCTCTGTCCCTCTCTCTCTCTCTCTCTCTGAAATCAGTATTTTAAAAAGCTCTTGACTATCATACTGTTTTTTTTTTTTTTCATACTGTATTTTTTGATACAGGAAAAGATAGTGTTATATGAGTTAGTATTGGCATGGAGAGGACTGGGGACTTTTAAAAAGCAAAACCAGAAGTCTATTTACAAGCAAATTAACTTACAATTTTTTGGTGAGAAAATATTGTTTCTTAAATAATCACTTAGATATTTTACATTTTATAATATTCAGGTTTTCTATGGAGTTAGAATCTCAAATTACACCTTTTTTTTTGGACAGAAGGAGTCTATGGAATGTAATTTCTTAAAGTAAATTGAATCCTTGTTGATATTGTATTGAAGTTTTCTCTCTGAGCTGCCATATCCTAGCGGCTGAAGTTCCCAGCATCTCTTGGGGGGAGGAGGGCACCAGGGCAGAACGGCCATGGACCTGAGAGACTCGGCGGTCAGCCCTGCACCCCCACCGCCCGTGACCCACAGGGAGAGGGAACAGTGGTCAGGGGCAGGCGCCCAGGCCCAGCAGACGCCCGGGAAGGCCGACCCTCTCCTGCTTTGCTGAGGCGTGTGTGATGTTTCCGACGAAGGCCACGTACTGTTACTGCACCAGCCCCAGAAAACGCGTCATTGAAAACATCGGTCATCCCGAGTTTAACTGCGTTTTAAAACGAAATTGTTCAGCCAGGGGTGTTACTTTCTTCTGAGTCGCTAGGCAGCTTCCTCAGTTCAGTGCACTAACCAGCAGTAACTCACGTCTGTTATCTCGGCCGGCTGTGCATTGGCGCACTGACCGCCCCGAGGGGCTGACCTGGCTTCTGCGAAAGCCCAGTCAACCGCTTGTCCGGAGGGCAGGCGGCAGCCCAGCCCCCGATGCCCAGGAGAGGGGTCCCGTGGAAGCTCCTCCTGGAGGTCCCGGGAAGGCAGGGCTCCTGGAGCGGGGCCTCTGGGTCCGCGAGGAAGCGATCGCCTCTGTGGCAGGGCCTCGGACTTCAGGACGGAGGAGAGCTCCCGGGGAGGAAGGAGCACAGCCTGCCGCCCTCGCGTGGCGCTGGCCCTCCCCCTCGGCCGGGGCAGCCGGGCTCCTGGGCGCAGAGCTTCACTCCCTCGGGTCGGGTCGGGGCAGCTTCTTCAGTCCCGGGTCCTCTCTGCTGCCGAGGTCTCCCCGGAGGGCCCTGGGCGGACACTGACCCTGCCTCTGGCCGGCTTCTTTCTAGGGTTCCAGCTTCCCTCCTGCCAGAGATGTTCAGCCTGGACTCATTCAGAAAAGGTGAGAGTGGCCGGTGCTGTGGCCTGTGCCCCCCTCCCCGGGCCCAGCGTGAGTCCCTGGGGGGGAGGGGCCATGCTGGGTCTGAAGGTGACGGCCACAGCAGCTCCCTGTGGCGTGGGACCCCACCGCGCTGTGTCCCTCCCGCTGGAGCTCATGTGCCTGGAAAGGGCCTGGTGATGCCTTTGCCAGCATCTGGACACAGGTTGCTTCTCTCGGCGGTGGTGCCGTCAGTCAGACCACCAGGAGCGGGCTGGTCCCCTGCAGGCAGCACAGCCTGGAAACAGCTCCCGGCGGCAGGAGAGGGTGTGGTGGGGGCTGGGTCACAGCCGCTTTGCCCCGATGACTGGAAGTGCCTCCCGAGATCCTCGGTGCCCTCACACCCTTTCCTCTGTTAAACCCGCGGCCCTGGGCGTGAACGAGGGCCCTCTGGGAGCAGGAGCGGCGGGCTGAGGTGGGCCCTGCACGGGGATCGGCCGAGACACACCTGGGTCCTGGCTATTTGCTCCAGAAGCCTCTGTGGGCGGGTGTCTGCCCAGCACACGCCTGGGCCGGAAGGGCCCGGGGATGACGGCATCGCGGCAGCACAGCCACAGCCATGCGCCTGGACCCGAGGCCGCAGCCCAGGACGAGCGTGGTCACGAGGACAGCGCTGCCAGTTTGGGGCGGGGGGGGGGGGGGCCCCTGGGAGCCGGGGGAGGAGGCCCTGAGTGCAGATACGTGCTCTTTCCCCCCAGCATGTTGTTATGAAAATCTTTAAAAACACTGCACCGACCACCTTGATTCTCTAGGCCAGTGGTCGGCAACTCATTAGTCAACAGAGCCAAATATCAACAGCACAACGATTGAAATTTCTTTTGAGAGCCAAGGTTTTTAAACTTAAACTATATAGGTAGGTACATTGTTATTAACTTAGTTAGGGTCCTCCTCAGGCTTAGGAAGAGCCACACTCAAGGGGCCAAAGAGCCGCCTGTGGCTCGCGAGCCACAGTTTGCCGACCACGGCTCTAGGGAAACTCCCTTCTAATTTTGGGAAAACATGGCTGAAAGGGCTTTTGCTTTTCCTGCTCAAAATTATATTCTCCTCCTGCTCTCCCAGCTCTCATGCCTCAGAAACTGCACGGGAGCAAGGGCTCTTGCGTGTCGAGAAGCTACTTTACGTTGTAGAAACGGGCATCACTGCCCAGGCCACAGGCTCAGTGGGTGAGCATCAGCCTAGGAACCAGGAGGTCACGGTTTGATTCTGGTCAGGGCACAGGCCCGGGTTGCGGGCTCCATCCCCAGTGGGGGGGCTGCAGGAGGCAGCCGGTTGATGACTTTCTCATCATTGATGTTTCTCTCTCTCCCCCTCTCCCTTCCTCTGAAATCAGTAAAAATAAATATATTTTAAAAAGAAGAAGAGACGGGCATCGTTGTGCAGAGCAGGCTGTTCCCGGGGGCGGGGGAGGGGGTGGTGTCCCTGCTCCTCCTGCTCCTCCCCAGGCCAGCACGGCTCCCTCTTGTCCCCATCCAGCGGGTCTTAGAGACCCCAACCCCTCTCCCCATGGAAGGTGGTGGGTCCTGACTGTAGCACTCATGTGTCACACGTTTGGAACTTCTTAGAATGTCCTGGAAAGGCCGCTGGAGAAGCAGGGTTTAGTCTCCAAGTGCAGACATTTGGGATGGCGACCCGCTAGCTTAGGGGGAGGGAGGGCTGCCAAGTGTGCGCCTGGCCTGGGCTCGCGGGGCACCCAGCAGTCCGGGGCCCCTCTGCCCGTTCCCAGAGGAAAGAGCAGAGATCTGGTGCCCGCAGTGCCGTCCGGGAACCCAGAGCGGTGCCGGCAGAACCGTCACGGGGAGACAGGCGGGGCCTGGCCGGGGACGTGGCCTTTTGGTTTTCAGCTGTTGTCCCGGCTCGTCCTCACAGCTCAGCACGGGAGCCGTCCATGGCGGGCGTTGAACTCAGGGTGGCGAAGGCACCGGGAGCGGGGAGGGCTCTGAGCGCCATGGAGGGGTCCCTAGGAGGCGACGACCCTTCCCTGTGCAGCACGGGGGACACTTTCTCAGAACCCGTGACCGGCTCCCGAGACCTCCCAGCAGCCCGGAGCCCCTCACGGATGCTCGGGGCGAGTCAGCTCAGGGTCGGTGCCACCCTGATGCCCTCTCTCTCTCCCCAGATCGGGCCCAGCACAGGCAACGTCAGTGCAAACTCCCCCCACCCCGCCTCCCACCCATGTGTGTCAACCCTGCCCCCGGAGGGACCATCTGTCGAGGTAAGGGAGGAGCCTGGCTCCAGCACCGGCTCCGGGGCTCTGGGGGGGGCAGCCGGGGCCAGGCCAGGGGCCTCTGGGAAGCGAGTGAGGAGAGCGGGGTTAGCAGAGCAGTCGGAGCCTGCGGTGAGGTCACGGGGAAGGCTTGGGTTGTCTCATGACCCTTGGCCACCTGGCTTAGACCCTCCGGTCTCTGGGCCTCCTGTGAGAGCCGGAGTGAAGCCCAGTCCAGTCCAGACGCTGGGCAGCAGTGTGGAGAACCCGGAGGCTCGCCTCTCCTGGCAGCCCTGGCTCAGGTGGCCCCCAAGTGCAGGGCGCTCGGGCGGGGCCGGAGCAGAGCACCCTGACTGGCCCAGTGCCCTCCCTCGAGGCGTGGGGGATCCCGGCGCATTGCTCCCGGCCCCTCAAAGTGCTTGACTGGCATGAACACCTGCCTCTCAGTCCCTTTTGGTGGAGGAGACTGTCAGAGCCCAGACAGGGGACAGCTCACCTCAGGCCCCGTGGTGCCAGGGCAGGCCCTGTGGGGGGACTCTGGGAGCACCTCTGCCCGGAGCCTCAGGGCTCCCGGTGGCTGTCCCTGCCCTTAGCTGCCTGTCAGCCCTCCCAGGGGCCTCGGGAAGAACCTCTCAGTCCTGGGTCTGCCTCCTGGAGACAGCACGTCCCCCAGGCTCTGTCCGTCCCCCAGGCTCTGTCCGTCCCTCAGTGCTCTGAAGGCCAGGAGCGCAGGCAGGGCGCAGGGAGCACCAGCAGGCACCCGTGTCCCAGCGGCTTCAGGCACTGCCCTCCGCCCGGGGCCCTGTGGACAGCGTCTAGATAAGCATTTCCGGCCCCTCTGACCATTGACTTGGGTTTTAGAGAAATGCCGCCCCTACCGTTGCCAAAGCAAGAGTTGATCGCCCTTTTTTTTTTCTTTCTTAAAATGCCCTGTAACTCGAAAAGGCTGAACGTTAACATTTCCAACATGGCAGGTGAGTGGCTCTGAGCGTCAGACGTGCTGTGGCCGCGCTCGCAGGTGGCTGTCTGGGGCTGAGCCCACCCAGAGGCCAAGGCCGCCGCCTGGGGGCCAGCAGGCCCCCCTTAGCCCCAGGGAGCACAGACCCCAGCCCAGGGTCTCCTCACAGCGCCCGCAGTTGGCGCCCATGGGTGAATGCGTCTCTGCCCGCCCCGCCCCCGCCAGGAAGGGCTCTCGTCTGGGTTCTTCATCAGAAGCAGGACCTCCTGGTCCCCCGTGCGGGCCTTTCTGCCCCCGCCCTCGAAGGAAGGGGTGGCCGGAGCAGCCTCTGCTCAGGCAGCAGAGCCGCTCAGAATCGTGGTCACTTGGTCGGTCACGGTGCCCGGGGCCGTCGAGTCAGATTTGGGATTGAAAACTCTCACCTTCTCCCCAGCCCGCCTCTGGCCGGGGCGCGTCCCAGGTACCGGGATAAACACCCTCCCCTCTGAGCCTGGGGCGCAGCCTAGAAAGCAGCGGGGCTGGGCCTGGCCTCCCCCGTGTGCCTTCCACCGAGAGCGAGAGCGGGGAGGCCAGAGGACGGTGGGGTGTCAGGCGGCCGCCCCGCCCTGCTGGTCCCCTCACCTTCCTTGTTGCCGACCACGTGGCCATTTCTCGCCATTTTGACCATAAGGGTGGAGCTCGGGGGGGTCAGACGGGAGACGCTGGCCGAGACCCTGTCCTCAGAAGCCCTGCGCCTGGGCCGTCGGCTTCCTCCTGGCCTTGTCCTGGGCCTCCCGCGGACGGGGCCCTCAGGACCCTCCGGTGCCCGCAGACCCTCCCCTGCTTCATGCGCTGGCCGCTGGGCTTGATCCAGAGCGGCCGCCTCTCGGAGGCCCGTGCCGAGCGAGTGGCGAGGTCCCTGAGCCAGGACGTCCCTTCTCTCTCTCGGGCAGAGGGGAGCGTGGGCAGGGGACGCGGGGAGAGGAGGGGCCGGCCACAGCCTCTCGGTCCTTGGCCCCAAGTGGAGTCGGCAGTTTCTTTAAGGGTCAGAGTCGCTGTTCCAGGCTGCGTGGCCGTGTGCTCTGGCAGCTGCTTGGGGCCCTGACAGGTGGCGAGGCGAGGGGTGAGCTGGCTGTGCCTGGAGCTCGTGTCTGACAGGCCGGGCACAGCCCAGGGCCCGGAGGGCAGCGGGTTTTAGGGAGATGTGTGCGCTGGTGAGAGAGGAGGGGCCGGCAGCTGCCCGACCAGCCCGTGTGCTGGCGTCCCGGCCGATGTCGCATCTGTTTGAAATGTGGTTCTGAACGAGGGGCTGGTGTCAGGGCCCTCACACCGCTTCCCAGCGAACAACCAGCGGCTCCCGGCCAGGCCTCCAGACCGGGCAGAGCAGGGACACCGGCGGAGGGGCTGCGCGTGCGGCCTTTCTGTCTAGGCCGGTCCCCTTCCGCCCTCAGACCCTCGGTTTTCTGAACGTGGCGGCTCCGTGGAAGGAGCTGGGCAGCCCCAGGCCCTGGAAGCGCTGCTGGAGCCGGTGCCTCCGCTGGTGGCCAATCCAAGTGCCATGCGGAAGGTCCAGGATGCAGAGGGTCGGGGTGCAGAGGGTCGGGGGGTGCAGAGGGTTGGGGGATGCAGAGGGTTGGGGGTGCAGAGGGTCGGGGTGCAGAGGGTCGGGGGTGCAGAGGGTCGGGGTGCAGAGGGTTGGGGGTGCAGAGGGTTGGGGGATGCAGAGGGTCGGGGTCCGGAGGGTCGGGGGGTGCAGAGGGTCGGGGTGCAGAGGGTCGGGGTGCAGAGGGTTGGGGGGTGCAGAGGGTCGGGGGGTGCAGAGGGTGGCGGCCCCTCTCGAGGCCAGGTCGTTGCTGCCAAGGCTGCCTGTCCTCCCGCCCGGTGCCTGGCGGCCCGCACTCGGCGCCCCCTCCCCCTTCCCCCGCCCTGCCCTGCTCCACGGGGCCCGGCGTTGGGGGCGGCGCTCTCGGGGCCACAGTGTCTGCGACCGGACAGACGAGAAGCCCCTCCCGCCTTCCCGTCTGCGGCGTCTGCGGCTGGGGGTCCGCCCGGCCGGCAGGGGGCGCTGCCGCTCCGTCCGCTCCGCCGGGTCCTCAGCCGCTCGGGGCGCGGGGGCCGCCGGGAGCGCGATGGCGGCCGCCGGGAGGCTCGTGGCCCTGGCTGCCCGCGTCTCCCCGCGCCTGCGGCCCGCAGGCCCCCGCGCCCCGAGCGGCTGGAGGGCCGGGCGGCAGGGGCGCGCGCGCGGCTTCTCGTCGGGCCCCGACCCCGCGCAGGAGGCGGCCGAGGCAGGGGCAGCGCCCGGCGGGGACGGCATGGGCCACGGTGAGCGGCGCCCTTGGCGGGGCGGGTGGGGCGGGAGAGCCCTGCCGTCGGGACGGACTGACGGACTGACAGCCGGCTGCCCCCCGCCCCCCGGGGCCCAGCGCGCGTTCACACCGGGGCCGCCCGCCGGGCCCTGCGCTGCGGGCGCGTGTCCGCGAGGCGGCGGGGCATGTTGGGGGCCGGGTGCGCGGGGCCCCCGGATGCCCGGCCCCAGGGACCCGCCGGGACCGCGGTCCCCCCTCGGCCTGGGGTCGGGGCGGGCGGTGCGCCCTGTGCGGTCCCTTCGGGCCGGGGCCGGGGCCGGGTCGGGCCGGAGGCGGGTGCAGGGCCTCCGTCTCCCCGATCGGACAGCGGCCTCGGGGCCCTCCCTCCAGGGCCGGCCGCTCCGCCCTCGGGGACCCCAGTAAGAAAGGGAGGCCCCCCCGAGTCTGATGCCCCAGTGAAGGGGGCGTCCCCGTAGCCCGACTCGGGGGGGCCTGGCACCGCCTTGACCGCAGCGCGGGTTCTGCCCGTCGCTGTCCCTCAGCGGACGGATCAGACCGGGAACGGGGGTGGGAAGGTGCCGGCGGCTCCCCTCGGTGTGCGGGTCCCTGGCCCTTCTCCTCGGGGACGGGCCGTGCACGTGGCCGAGCCCCCCCCCTTCCTGCGCTGCTCCCGGGGGTGGGGTCAGCGCCAGCACCCTCAGCCGCCAGCGCAGGGCCCTGACCACACCCCGGGGGCGCTTAGAACGAGGGCAGCGGTAATGCCGCCTCCTCCTCCCGTAGCTTCCCGGGACCTGTTGAAAGAGTTCCCGCAGCCCAAGAACCTCCTCAACAGCGTGATCGGAAGAGCCCTGGGCATCTCACACGCAAAAGACAAGCTCGTCTACGTGCACACAAACGGACCCAAGAAAAAGGTGACTCGCGTGCGGCCAGCGGCCCTCCTCCCGCGGCTGCTCCGTCTCGGAGGCCGTTTCTGAATTGAAAACCGTCTGAGCAGAGGAGGCTGAGAAGGGCCTGGCCAGGGGCGCAGGGCCGTGCGCGAGGAGGCTCCTCTCGGCGGCCCTGGTTCCCGTCGGCCAACGGGGCTGCTGGGGGGCGGGGGGGGGGGGTGTCCTGGGCCCGGAGCAGGCGGCGAACCTGCTGAAGGTTCTCGGCGTAAAGATGGCCGCCTGCCCTCTGCCCAGAGCCGGTCCGCGCTGGGCTCCTGATTGTCCCTGGGATCTGCGCTGGGAGCACAAGGGCCCTGACCCCCCTTCCCTCCCCAGAAAGTCACCCTCCACATCAAGTGGCCCAAGAGCGTGGAGGTGGAAGGCTATGGCAGCAAGAAGATCGACGCGGAGCGGCAGGCTGCCGCCGCCGCCTGCCAGCTGTTCAAGGTGACCCCGCCCGGCCCCCGAACGCCCGGCTCCCATGGCCTTTCGGGGAGGCTGGCTCCCTCCTGGCGCTTTAGCCACGGGGGTGGGGACTGGTTTCCCACTGTGGTGACCGACGCCCCTGGCCTCAGGACAGAGAGGAGCCGGGGGCCAGCACTCCCCGTGGGCAGCACTGGCTGCTTCCCGTGGGGTCTGTCCTTCCCACGAGTCCCTCACTCACAGTGGAGGCGAGGTGGCCGCTTCTCCCTGCCCAGGGGTGGTTCCTGGTTCCCGGTTCCCGTGGTGCTGAGCTGGGGAGTTAATTCTTCCTTCTGGGAGTTTGCAGGCACTTTGACCCCCACCGTGCCCTGCAAGTCCTGCTCACACTCCTCCCAGCGTTTCTCTGTCCCCTGCCTGTGCTCACAGCCTCTGTTTGTCTGTGTGATTGATCTGGTGAAATGCAGTGTCAGTGTACAGGTTAGTGTGTCAGCCCAGGCACCTTGCTGTGCAACCACCTCCAGGACTTCTCTGCAAAACTGAAACTCTGCCCCCGGCCGCCGCCATCCTGCTTGTGTTTCTGGGCGTTTCCTTCCGTCACTGGCGTAGTGGGTCGCCCAGCATTCGTCTTGTTGTGACGGGCCTCTCACTGAACGTAGCGTCCTCGCGGCTCGTCGGTGCTGGTGCGGGTCAGGGTTCCTTCCTCGGCCGCTGTGGTCAGACCACATTTGCTTCCCACCACCCGTCAGCGGCCATTGGGGTGCTTCTGCCTTTGGCGGTGAGTTCTGCTTGAGCACGACGCACACGTGTCTCTGAGACCTGGTTTCCATCCCAGAATTGGAGTCCCTGGATCACATGGCAATTCTGTGCTTCAGTTCTTGAGAACCCACCGTGGGTGTCCACCGTGGCTGCGCCGTTTCCCCTTCTCACCAAGCAGAGCACAGGCTCCCGTCTCCCGCGTCCTTACGGGCGGCTCTGCTTCTCCTGCTGTTCAGTGTGAGCAGCCGCCCTGGCGGGGCGTGTCTCACTGCGGCTGTGACGGGCATTTCCCTGTGAGCGTGAGCCTCGCATCTCTCAGGGGCTTCCTGGCCGTTTGCTTTCTTCCTCAGAGAAGTGCCTGGTCTGTCCTGTGCCCGTTGTTTAGTTGGGCTGTTGGGAGTTGGTTGCTGTTACAGTTGTTCATGTATCTGGACACCATGCCCTTTTATTCCCTAGTATCTGTACCCCCAGTTCTTCGGGTCCCTCCCACCCACACTCACCCCGCAACCAGGTGTGTTTAGTAAGCGGTGCCCTCATGAGGGGGCTGTATTTGCTTTCTGTGGAACCCCACACTCCCTGGACGACTGTGGGTGCCCTGCTCCCTCCCTCTTGCTGAAGGCCCTGCTGTTCTGCATCTGTTCGTCTGCAGACTTCAGAAACAGTTCGTCAAGCCCAGAAGCTTCCAGACTCTGTTTGGAATCTCGCCACTTTCATGGATTTAGGCTTCTGTGTTCTCGTATGTAGCAGCAGGCCATCCAGGAACACGTGTCTCCCTGTACGTAGGCCCATTTGCCAAGTTTTGTACTTAAAAAAAGTCTGGACCTTTCTTAAGTTCATCTTGGGTAGGTTCTGGCTTTTATTGCTGTGAATAGAACTTTAAAAGTTTACAGTTGGTTATTCCAGAAGCCTGAGGAGTTTGGGAAGGGGGGTGGCCCCTCAGCTTGTCCTGAGCCTCCCTGTGGCTGCCAGGGCCCCCTGGCCGCTCCCGACTTGATTTCCCGGAAGTAAGCTCTCGTCACACGCTGCTCCTTGTTCTGGCTTCTCGCTCGCTTCTGTCCCTTACACCTGGTCGCCTGCATTTCTGTTCTGCCTCCTGGGTGCTGAGCTTCTTGGGGCCGGGACCAGGTCTCGCCTCCACCGATGCCCAGCGGCCAGCAGGCTCGCAGGCGTGTGCGGTGTTTTCTCTAGAAGCAGCGGCGCTCGAATACGTTACAAATAACGGTTTCGTGTCCGTGCCTTGGGTAGTTCCCAGCACAGGTGGCTTGGCTGCTGCCCCGAGCAGGGACCGGAAGCCTGTTCCCACCGTCCATGACGCCGCCCGCACGTCCATTGCTCCCGGGGCCTCCGGGCCTTCCCGGGAGCTCGGCCCCTGGTGGCAGGCGTGTGCGGTGGGGCTCGGAGTCCTCGTCGCCGTGCTCACGTGCCTGTTGCCCTGTGGGGTTGGGGCCTGTTTGCTTTTGTCTTTGTCCACAGGCGTGAGGATTCCCTGGCCGCTCGTCTGTCGGAGCCAGGCGTCCCCGTGGCTCTGTGCTCGGACCTGAGGCGGGACGGGTGGGAAGGCGTGGCTCCCGCACGGGGGACGTGGGTGTGACCGGGCAGGTCCCAGGCAGGCCGAGGAGTGAAGGTGCCGCGGACCTCATGCTGCCCCTCCCCCCCCCCAGGGCTGGGGCCTGCTGGGCCCCCGGAACGAGCTGTTTGATGCCGCCAAGTACCGTGTGCTGGCCGACCGCTTCGGCTCCCCGGCCGACAGCTGGTGGCGCCCAGAGCCCGCCATGCCGCCCACTTCCTGGCGGCAGCTGAATCCCGAGAGCATCCGGCCAGGGGGGCCTGGGGGCCTGTCCCGCTCCTTGGGCCGAGAGGAAGAGGAGGAGGAGGAGGAAGAGCTAGAAGAGGGGACCATCGATGTCACTGACTTTCTGTCCCTGACCCAGCAGGACACCCCACTCAGGTGCAGCTGGCGGCGGGTGCAGGGGAGCTGGGGCCTTGCCTGGGGAACGTGGGGGCTCCCGGGCCCTTTCTGAGCTGGAAGCCCCGCCCACGCCTCGCCTGGCCCGGGAGCCATTGGTGTGCCTGCCCTGCTGGGGGCTGGGCTCGTGCTGGGCTTTTGTGCCCAGCAGCACGGCTCATCCTTCAGAGGCCCAGCAACCACCCTGCCTGCCCCCTGCCCTCTGACGTGGGGGGACTGAGGGAGCATCAGCCACGCTGAGCCGGGGGATGGGGGAACGGGGGCGGGGGGGCTGGCCCTGGGAAGAGAGACTTAATCATCTAAACTTTTGGTCCTCTCAGGGGGGGTTCCCTTGAAATGACAGACGATGACAGTGCTATCAGGGCTCTGACCCAGTTTCCGCTTCCCAAGAACCTTCTGGCCAAGGTGATCCAGATCGCAACCTCGTCCTCCACGGCTAAGGTGAGCTGGGTCTCCTAGGAGGGGGGAGGGGGAGCAGCAGGTGCGGAGTGGGAGTCGGGCTCGGAGTGGGCTGGGGAATGGGAGTGGGAGACCATATCTGCTGGAGCGTGGCGGGTGGGGGGCGCGTGGGGGGCGGGCGGCTGACTTGCCCAGGGGGATCTTCTTGCTCCCGGGACGCACCTGGTGTAGCCACGACAGCTCAGCCCACAGCGCCGTCACACCTGTTGCCTACTCTGCCTGTCCCCCCGTCTCCTTCCCCGTAGAACCTCATGCAGTTTCACACCGTGGGCACCAAGACCAAGCTGGCCACCCTCACGCTGCTCTGGCCCTGCCCCATGACCTTCGTGGCCAAAGGCCGCCGCAAGGCAGAGGCTGAGAACAAGGCGGCGGCCTTGGCCTGCAAGAAGCTGAAGGTGAGCCCGGCCGGTGAACACGAGCCATCCTGGGGCCCTGGCGGCCGGGCAGACGGTCCCCTTTTCCGGGAAGTGAGTCGGGCACAGCAGCCCTGGCCTGGGCCCCGCGGTCAGTCCCTGGTCCAGCCCTTGCTTGTCAGGCTGAGGCTGCTGCAGGGCTCCCCACGGGCCCTGGGAGCTCAGCCTGTCGCACTGAGGCCGGAACCGGGGAACGCCGGCAGGCGACAGCCCCTCGTTCTGAAGAGCACGGACCTGGAGAAATGCTGCCTGTCGCTGGCAGACTTGGTGACCCTGGGCTTGTGGCCACAAGGAACGACCAGACGGTCATCTGGGATGAGGACAGCAGGCACCCTCAGGGCACGGGCAGTTCCTCACGAGGCTTGGGGCCGGCAGGGCCCAGCAAGTGGGGTGAGGTCGTGGTGCCTGGGAAGTTAGTGCTCTGAGCCCAGGGTTTGCAGAGCAAGACAGGAAGCGGGCCTGCTTAACCCTCGGAGCTGCATCCAGATAGAGCCAATGGGGTGCGGAGCGTGGAGACAGGAAGGGCACGGGGTGGCACAGGGAACACGGGGGGAGGGAGGCATGACCGGGCTCAGGAGCAGGACGCTCACTGAGGGAACGTGCAGGAAGTCTGAGCTCTGGCTTGACAGGCACCCCTGGTGACCAGAGGCCTCCGGCTCTTGGAGTCCTGTCCCGAGAAGAGCAGCTCCAGCCACCACTGTGCTCATGGGGCAGAGGGCTGGCCCTGGGCAGGGGCGGGGGTGACATGCAGCCCCGAGAGGACAGCCTCCTCCTGGGATGCTGTGGTGGCACCTCCCGTGGTCCAGGGACCACGTCCCTGCCCGTGAGGTCTGCCCGGCCCCAGGAGGGGTTGGCCCCGAGGGATGAGCTTGGAGGGACTGTTGGGCCTGGGCTTTGGAGGGAGAGCAGAGTCTAGACATCACGGGGGTGGGGACACGACCAGGGAGGGGACTGGCGTGCGCACTTGCCCAGGGGTGAGGTGTGGGTCGTACCTGTCACTGGTCGGCTGGCGTGGGGCGTGTAGGGAGCGAGGGCCCAGTGTTTCCCCTCCAGTGGCTTGTTTTGTCAAGTCGCATAAATAGAAATCCCACGCTCCCTTGTAGGATGGGGGCCCGTGGAGCTGGTGCCGTGCAGGCATGAGGTGGGTGGGCTTTGGCGAGGCCGCAGAGGGAGCCTGGGCGGGTAGGGGCCGGGCGCATCTGTCTCTGGGTCGATGTTGAGTATTCGTGGAGGTGAGACTGGGCTCCAGCTGCTCAGGGGGTTCTCAGGTCTTGATTTTCTTGAATTTTAACTAATTTGGGGGGTAATTTGCTTTCCCCGGTTCCTAACTTCTCCCTCCGGGATCACGTCAGCCTAGAAGCCAGGTCTCTCAGGAAAGGGTGGCTCTGCACAGCCCCCTGGAGCTCCTGAGCCCGCCTGGGCCAGCGCCAGGCGGGTGGGGCCTGACGAGGTAGGTGCCCCTGTCCCCTCTGCAGAGCCTGGGCCTGGTGGACCGGAACAACGAGCCCCTCACCCACGCCATGTACAACCTGGCCTCCTTGCGTGAGTTGGGTGAGACCCAGCGCCGGCCGTGTACCATCCAGGTGCCTGAGCCCATTCTCCGCAAGATCGAGGCCTTTCTGAACCAGGTGAGAGAACCTCGTCCCGCTGCCCCCGCCACCTCGCCTTCTCCAGACGGCGCTTCCCCCTGCAGCAGGCGCCTTGTCTCCCACTGGGCGGGGCCTGGAGCACTTTGCCCCGAGGTGCTCAGCCTGGCCCACGAGCGCCCTGGGGGCTGGGCCGGCAGGTGGCCCAGGAAGCCCGTGGAGGGCTGGGTGCGGGCGAGGAGGAAGGCGTTGCTCACCGTTTGGCTCGCCTGCTGTCCCCAGTGCCCTGTGGACCACGCGTGGGTCTCCCCGGAGCTGCGGCTGCAGAGTGATGACATCCTGCCCTTGGGCAAGGACGCGGGGCCCCTGAGTGACCCCATCACCGGCAAGCCCTACCTGCCCCTGTCCGAGGCAGAGGAGGCGCGGCTGAGCCAGAGCCTGCTGGAGCTGTGGCGGCGGCGAGGGCCCGTCTGGCAGGAGGCCCCGCAGCTGCCCGTGGACCCGCATCGGGACACCATCCTCGGCGCCATCGAGCAGCACCCGGTGGTCGTCATCTCGGGGGACACGGGCTGCGGGAAGACCACGCGCATCCCCCAGCTGCTGCTGGAGCGCTACGTGACGGAGGGCCGCGGCGCCCGCTGCAACGTCATCGTCACCCAGCCGCGCCGCATCTCGGCCGTGTCGGTGGCGCAGCGCGTCAGCCACGAGCTGGGCCCCGCCCTGCGCCGGAGCGTGGGCTTCCAGGTGCGGCTGGAGAGCAAGCCGCCGGCGCGGGGCGGGGCCCTGCTCTTCTGCACCGTGGGCATCCTGCTGCGCAAGCTGCAGAGCAACCCCAGCCTGGAGGGCGTGAGCCACGTCATCGTGGACGAGGTGCACGAGCGCGACGTGAACACGGACTTCCTGCTGATCCTGCTCAAGGGCCTGCAGCGCCTCAACCCGGGGCTGCGGCTGGTGCTCATGAGCGCCACCGGCGACAACGAGCGCTTCTCCCGCTACTTCGGGGGCTGCCCCGTCGTCAAGGTGCCCGGCTTCATGTTCCCCGTCCAGGAGCACTACCTGGAGGACATCCTGGCCCGGCTGGGGAAGCAGCCGCCCCTGCACCGGCGGCACCATGAGGTGAGGCGCCGCCCCCTGCCCACTCGTCCTGGTGGCCGGGCACGTTGCCTTCCAGGCCTTGGTCTCCTCTGTGGGGGGCGGTGAGGGCGGCAGGTGCCCTGGCCCCGGGCTGACCGCGGCCTCTCCTCCCCTCAGTCTGAGGACGAATGTGCACTCGACTTGGACCTCGTGACCGACCTGGTTCTGCACATCGATGCCCGTGGGGAGCCAGGTGGGTGCTCCCGCTCTGCCCTGTGCCCCCGTGTGCGTGTCTGAGGAGCAGCAGCTCATGCCTGCAGGGCCCTTTACAGGTGGGATCCTCTGCTTCCTGCCGGGCTGGCAGGAGATCAAAGGGGTGCAGCAGCGCCTGCAGGAGGCCCTGGGCCTGCATGAGAGCAAGTACCTCATCCTGCCAGGTGAGAGCCACGCGCGGCACGGCCCAGGCGCCCCTCGCCCGTCCTGGGGGTGCCTGACCCAGCTGGGACTCGAGGGCCAGGGTCTCCGCAGACTGCACCCTTCCTGCTGGCTGTGCAGCCTCCCCTGAGCTCGCTGTCGGGAACTGGGGGTCCCTGGAGCGGCACCGTAAGCAGTGTGCTTGCTGCCCGCAGTGCACTCCAACATCCCCATGATGGACCAGAGGGCCATCTTCCAGCAGCCGCCCGCCGGGGTGCGCAAGATCGTCCTGGCCACCAACATCGCCGAGACCTCCATCACCATCAACGACATCGTGCACGTGGTGGACAGCGGTCTGCACAAGGAGGAGCGCTACGACCTGAAGACCAAGGTGCACCCATCTCCGGGCCCGGCCAGCCCCGGGGGCTCCCAAGGCTGAGGTGGCCCTGCCCCGGGAGCCTCGGGCCTGCTGTGTTTGAACAAGGCCACACTTTCTGGGTCTCGGTGTTGCTGTGGGGGAAGGGGGGTTGTTGAGGGTTGGTGAGGTGACGGCCAGGCACGGGGGGCCCCTGAGGCAGGCCTGTGGCATCTGTGTTGCTGCTCACCTGCCCCCTCCCCCAGGTGTCCTGCCTGGAGACGGTGTGGGTGTCACGAGCCAATGTGATCCAGCGCCGGGGCCGGGCCGGCCGCTGCCAGTCCGGCTTCGCTTACCACCTGTTCCCGCGGAGCCGGCTGGAGAAGATGGTCCCGTTCCAAGTGCCGGAGATCCTGCGCACGCCCCTCGAGAACCTGGTGCTGCAGGCCAAGATCCACATGCCCGAGAAGACGGTGTGCCGGGCGGGCGGGCAGGCGGGGTGGGGCACGGCGCCGGGCGGGCAGGCTGGCGGGCCATCCCGGGTGTCAGCCGGGCGCAGGCTCACGGCTCTGCTGGCTCCTGCCACAGGCGGTGGAATTCCTCTCCAAGGCCGTGGACAGCCCTAACATCAAGGCGGTGGACGAGGCTGTGATCTTGCTGCAGGAGATCGGTGAGTGGGCGGGGCTGCTGGGCTGTGGAGTGGTTGCCAGGGGCGGGTCTGACCGCGGAGCTCTCGCAGGGGTGCTGGACCAGCGGGAGTACCTGACCACCCTGGGGCAGCGCCTGGCCCACATCTCCACGGACCCCCGGCTGGCCAAGGCCATCGTGCTGGCCGCCATCTTCCGGTGCCTGCACCCGCTGCTCGTGGTGGTTTCCTGCCTCACCCGGGACCCCTTCAGCAGCAGCCTGCAGAACCGCGCCGAGGTGGACAAGGTCAGGCCAGCCCCTCCCCCGGCCTCTGGCTCTCCCTCGCGGCCCTCACCTCCTCCTGTCCTCGGGTGGCCGCCTGCAGCCCCTCCCCTGTGCCCCGCCCCTCCCAGGTGAAGGCCCTGCTGAGCCACGACAGCGGCAGCGACCACCTGGCCTTCGTGCGGGCGGTGGCCGGCTGGGAGGAGGTGCTGCGCTGGCAGGACCGCAGCTCCCGCGAGAACTACCTGGAGGAGAACCTGCTCTACGCGCCCAGCCTGCGCTTCATCCACGGTCAGCGACTGCCCGTAGCCCCCAGCTCCCCCCACCCCCGCGCTGGGCTTCTGTCCGGCCCCCGGAGTCTCGGGGCCCCAGTCACCCGGCGTTGCCTCCCCAGGACTCATCAAGCAGTTCTCCGAGAACATTTACGAGGCTTTCCTGGTGGGGAAGCCCTCGGACTGCACCCTGGCCTCCGCCCAGTGCAACGAGTACAGCGAGGAGGAGGAGCTGGTGAAGGGCGTGCTGATGGCGGGCCTCTACCCCAACCTCATCCAGGTGCTGCCCTGGGGAGGCGCTGCCCACGCCCTGCCTCCGTCCCCCGTCCCCCGGCTTAGCCCGCCCTTTTCTGTCACCTGCAGGTGCGGCAGGGCAAGGTGACCCGGCAGGGCAAGTTCAAGCCCAACAGTGTCACGTACAGGACCAAATCCGGCAACATCTTGCTGCACAAGTCAACCATCAACAGGTGGGGGGGCCGGGAAGGCTGGGGGTGGGGGGGGTGCTCGGAGGGGCCAGGAGCGGGACTCACCAGCTCCTCCCTCCTCAGGGAGGCCACGCGGCTGCGGAGCCGATGGCTGACGTACTTCATGGCCGTCAAGTCCAATGGCAGCGTCTTTGTCCGGGACTCGTCCCAGGTGCACCCCCTCGCCGTGCTGCTCCTGACCGACGGGGACGTCCACATCCGTGGTGGGTGCCCGTGGGCCTCGCGCCCCTCGCGCCCCTCGCTTGGGCTGGGCTGTCCTCGGGCCTGGCCTCACGCGGCTCCTGGTCCCTTCCTCCCCAGATGACGGGCGCCGGGCCACCATCTCGCTCAGCGACAGCGACCTGCTGAGGCTGGAGGGCGACTCGCGCACGGTGCGGCTGCTGCGGGACCTGCGCCGGGCCCTGGGCCGCATGGTGGAGCGGAGCCTGCGCAGCGAGCTGGCCGCGCTGCCCCTCGAGGTGCAGCAGGAGCACGGGCAGCTGCTGGCCCTGCTGGTGGAGCTGCTCCGGGGGCCCTGCGGCAGCTTCGACGTGCGCAAGGCGGCCGACGACTGAGCCCCGCTCTGAGGGCTGTGTACAGAGTGCAGATGTTTATTTAAAATAAAGTTCTATTTATCCCTTGTGAGCATCGCTGTCCGCGGGGGCCCTCCTGTGGCCTCAGCCCCTGGGCGTGGGCACCGGCTGTCGCCCCAGGTCTTAGGAGGAAGGGGGCTAGAATCCACCCCAGAGCGTGGCTGCCCATTTAACCAGTTGGACCTCTGGGCCAGCTCAGCCTTTCGTCACAGCTGTCCCTGTCCTTGCAGGTGGGGCCAGCAGTCCTGGTCTCCCTCCCTGAGGCAGTGGTCCAGCCTGGCTGCCACCTCCAGGCCAGGCAGACGGGAAGCTCCGCGGGCAGCCTTGGCTCTGGGACCTGCATCCTCGGGGCCTCCGGTTGCGGGGCAGCCTGGCCACAGCTGGGCCTGCCCTGGGGCGTGGCCACAGCTCACGGAGGAGGAGCTCAGCCGTGAGACCACACAGTGCATGCCAGCCCTCGACGCAAGAGGACAAGCCGGGTGTCGTGATGCTGGAGGGGAGACACCAGGACACAGAAGACAGGGCTCAGATGGGACGTCATGAGCTTTATTTACTCTTGAAATGGTTACAGCAGTCACAGACACGTCACGGCTGAGTCACAGCCATCGGCGGTACAGGAACGCCCAGCCCCGGTGGCTGCAGCCACTGCCCAGCGCAGCCCCCTCTGCCTCTGGCTCCTGGGACCCTTCAAGAGCTGTGGCCTGGCCACCAGCGGGCTCACCTCCCTGACCCACAACTATCGGAGTGGGAGGAGCCAGTCTTGTCAACCTGACATCGTCCTGGCAGATCAACGGGCACAGGGACCCTCAGGACCCATCACCCCTCCCATGTCTCCCGCCACCCCCCACCCCCCCCTCTGGCTGACAATACATGTGCCCTGACTGCCCTGCACAGCCGAGCACCCGGACACAGTCTGGCTCTTGCATTTTCTCTCCGAGACCTGCAGCTTGTAGGCGCTTGGAAGCTGGGGACGTGGGGACAAACGCCCCCACGGAAGATGCTGCCGCAGAAATGGAGAGATACCCTGCCCCCCTTTACATCAGAGCCCCCACCATCCCAGCTCTGGGACAGGGCCAAGGGCAGGAGGCCATGTCACTACAAACAAACAGGTTTAATCCTTTATTAGAAACCATGCAAACTTTAATACAAAAAATACAAGTGCAGTCAGAATCTTCGTGTCAGTGATTCCCAGGATTCTCCTCGGCAGCCTTCGCGGCCCAGCTGGGACCCCTCGCAGGCTGGCCTCGCCTCGCTCCCTCCTCGTCAGGCCACAGGGACGTGGGGTGGCCTCAGTCTCATGCCTTTATTTTTAAATTCCTGGACCTAATTCCCCAAACACCCACACGGTTTTGGATCCCTCGGGCTCCCTGGGGGCCAAGGCTCGAGTGTCCTAGGCCTGCAGGGCCCTTCCCAGCACTGACCTGTCTCCCACCAGATCCCCGGCATGAGACCGACGTGCCAACTGTAGCTTCGGTTAGAGAAGCGAAGCAGCATCCATGCCGAACGCCAGAGGCCCCCGTCCACACTCGCAGCCCCTCGGCTCTCCCTGCTCACCCCACGCCCCTGCCCTGCCCACACCGCCTCGGCCCCAGCTGCCAGGCCCCCGCCCGACCTCCTGGCTGTGGGGTCTCGGGATCTCCCCTCCGTTTCCTTTAAAAACACCTGCTGAAGACTTTCCTTTAGACGTGACTTCAACCTGCACAACTACTCCACCAGTTTTTAGGTTTTTAAAAAAGGGATAAAACAAGGGAAAAAAAAAGTATGACAGCCGCTAGAGAGGCCTGGGAGGCAGCGGGGACAGGCAGCCTGGCCCTCACTGAGGAGGGGCAGCAAGAGGGGTCTGGCACCCCCTGCGGTGGCATCAGTGGGGGCAAAGGGGGAGGCAGTGGCTTAGCGAGCTCCAGGGGACACTCGGGGCTGGGCGTCCATCATGTGGACACCCCCTCTTCCCTCCAGGTGGACCCAGCAAGGAGGGAGGGTGTGTCCGTTTTTCTTGGGTTTGGTCCAAAAAACCCAAATGAGGAGGTTGGAATCGGGTTCCTGCCTCAGATCCCATGTGAGCCTCCCCCCGCCCCGCTTCTCCCAGCTTCCCCCTTGGAGCGTGATGAGAGGATGAGCCAGGAGCAGAGCAAGGAGCTGGGCCTGAGGCAGGGGCTGGGGTGGGTCGGGGGGCACTGCTGCTGCCCTAGGCAAGCGGGGGGGAGAGGGCGCCAAGAGGGCTGCCCTGCACCCAGGAGTCAGGTCTAGTGGGCAGCCCAGGGGAGGGAGCCAAAGGCCCGGGTGCCTGAGTTGGGGCCACCCAGGAAGTGGGGGGGGCGAGAGACAATGCTGGCCCCGTGGTCGGTGCGGGCCCTGGCGTTTGCCCGGAACGTCAGCCTGTAGGTCTCAATCTGCAGTGACACGGGAGGCGGGATGGGAGAGGGGAACGAGGGAGACAAGAGGGCAACAAAGGGGACGGAGACGAGACCAGAATGTCAGCGTTAGATGCCTGGAAAATAAAAGGTCGCGTCGTTAAAATTCGGGTCACACTCCAGCCGGCACACAGAGAGCCACTCAGCCAGTGGCAGGGCCCCCAGCCGGCCCGCAGGCCGAGCCCGCCACTTACTTGTCTCCGGGATCTGGCCGTCCAAGGTCTGGGCCTCCCTTTGGTCACCACCCCCCGCCAGGGCGGTGAGGCCACTGGGGACACTGGCTGACGTGGGGGCGCCAGCTTCGGGCGCGGCCTCAGGGACAGCCAGCTCCTCCCCAGCGGGGGGGCCCGGGCTCGGAGGGGCCTCGCTGCCGCCGCCCTCAGTCTACAATGAAACAGTGGACAGTGCAGGGTCAGTCCGAGAGGGAGTGGGATGGAGCGATGGCGGGTTTCACACACAGCCCCCCCCCCCCGACCCCCTGATTAAGGTGCAGTCATCCGGAGACCCTAGGCCGGTCCCCCCACCCTTCCCACCCCTGAGGGGCTCTGAGGGCGCAGCCGGCCCAGCAGGGCACAGGGGCCTCTGCAAGCACAGCCGGGAGCTCTGCTCCCCAAGCCTGAGCCGGACAACGGCAGCCATGACAGCAGGTGGCAGCAGGGCCCCAGGCCCGGCAGTGTGAGGAACGATCTCACCAACAGAGAAAGGGAAACGTGATAAAGACCAGACGCAGGACGTGCGGTCAGAAAGGCCAGAGTAAACCCCGAGGCCTCAGGCCTGAGACCGACTGGAGAGCTGCGGGCGGAAGGAGGCTGGTGGGTCTAGATCACCGAGGAGGCGGGACATGGTGTGTGTGTGTGTGGATGTCTGTGTGTGTGTGTGGGTGGGTGTGTGTGTTTGGGGGGTGGTCACAGCAGCTGCTGGTCCCTCTCCTCCCTCCTTTCCCTGCCACCACCCTCAAGCACAGAAGCTGGAGGCGACGCCCTCTACCCCGATGACATGATCCGAAGGAGACAGCCTCTGGCACAGGAGGGTCTTACAGGACTGTGGAGGGAGGTGGGGAGGGAGGACAGAGGAGGGGCAGGGAGGAGAGGCCCAGCCAGTCCAATGGGGACGCTCTGCAGGGAGCCGGGCCACCAGGCCTGCTGTGGGGCGGGAGCTGTGTGCAGCCTGGCGGGGCACACGGATCCACAGCCCTGAGAGGCAGCGGGGACTGTGCCGTGCAGACCACTCGCCTGTGTGGCCTGTGCCCGGCCCACGTCCCTCTGAACGTGACTGAAAGGAGTCCAACAAGGCAGGCAGGCCCTGGCCTAGGCCAGTGATGGCGAACCTTCTGAGCTCGGCCTGTCAGCATTTTGAAAAACCCTAACTTCACTCTGGTGCCGTGTCACATACAGAAATTTTTTGCTATTTGCAACCATAGAGAAACAAAGACTTATATTTTTGATATTTATTTTATATATTTAAATGCTATTTAACAAAGAAAAATCAACCAAAAAAATGAGTTCGCGTGTCACCTCTGACACACGTGTCCTAGGTTCGCCATCACTGGCTTAGGACAAGGTCTGTCCCCGCTGGGGTCTCACCTCCCTGCCCCGCCCAGGACTGATGGTGGACGATGGGAACAGCACTGGGTGGGGAGACATGACTCCTGAAGAGACTGAGGGGCGGCGACAGGCCCGCCTGCTGGGACCCAGACTCCCCTGCACCCCACTCCTCCCGGCCTCGGCCTCCGCGGACCCACTCGCTACCTTCACGGCCCCGCCTGCGGGCAGGTGGCCCACGTTCTCCAGGGACCCCACCTTGGCCTGGGCCTTCTCCTTGAAGTTCAGCTTCTGACTTTCGATCTTGACATCCCCGCCACCTGGAACCGAGAGGGCACCGGTCACTGAGGGCCCAGACGCCTGCGGGCCGGGCCGGGAGCCGCGCCCGGAACCCCAGGTGGCCAAGGCCTGGCTCAGTGCTGATGCAGAAACGGGGACACGGACCTGTTCCCAGGGGCTGAGGGTAGACAAGGGGGCACCGCGAACAGGCTGTCAGGACAGGGCTGCGCGTCTCAGCCAGACTGGGCCCACCCACCCGCAGAGCAGTCCGTCCCCCGCGCAGAGCTGCTGGCCGGGCCAGAGCGCAGGCATAGCCTGAGGTGCCTCTAAGGGTGCCAGGTGGCACCTCCCTGACAGTGTGCAGGGTGCACTGGCCTCCTGTCTGCCCATGACACCCACCCACCAGGGACAGGGCCCTTGCTCCACAGCTGCTGGCACTGAGCTGGGAAGCGACTTGTCCGAAGTCACCACCAACCAGTGAGGGACAGAGCCAGCGTCTCACCCAATCACACTGTAGCGGCAAGAAAGGGGCCACCGGCCTGGGGTGTGTGAGTTGAGAAAAGGCGGGGGCCAGCACCAGGATCCCGAGCCCTTAAGCGGGCAGGGGCCCCAGGGGGTCACAGGGTCAAGGGTCAGCCCACCCCACGGCCTGGAAGCCTAGGAAGGTGGCTTTCCTCTCAGCTCACGTCACACACTGACCCGGTGCTTCCCACATGGCCAGGGTCCTCCGTGCCCAGCCCCCGCCTTCCGCAAAGCTGACCTCCAGCCGAGGGGGCCCTTGCGGGGGGTCTCCCCAGAGGGTTCCAGATGGAGGAGGGGAAGGAGAGTTGGTTGGGGCTGAGCCATCTCCATTGTTGTAAATGGAATTGTTCTACCACGGAGGAGAGGGAAGGGAGCTCCTGGCCGTCACCTAAGCCGGCCACGTGACTGGCCCAAGGCCGCAGCCGCCAGCCGGTGTGCCCACCGCTGCAGCGGGACCTCCCAGAGCGGAACTGGCGCTGCACCGCTGGGGCCCCACCCCGGAGCCCGGGACGCCCTCCCCGGTCCCGGTCAGCGGCACCTCGCACACAGAGCGTCCTCCAGACGAGGGCCCTGCAAACGCAGCCTCTACTCGGCCGCTCCTCCCGCTCCCCGAGGGCCAGGACCCCTGTGCCATGGCCGACAGAGGGTGACCCCCGCTGGCCGCGCACATAGGGCAGGAGGGACTCACCCGGCTTGTGCTTGATGTTGGCCTTGGACCCACACTTGGAGGAGACCTTGGAGATGTCCACCTTCTTGCTCTGAATCTGAACCTGAGAAGAAAATGACAAACACAAACATTGCCTCAGAGGGAGAACATGCCAGGCCAAGGCCACTCCCTTTAAAATCCTTGCATCCAAGTTCAAGTGTCTTCTCTCCCTCCTGAGCTCCTAGCTTAGTCTGTTCAAGGTCAGGGTCACCTTCCAAAAGCGCTCCCTGCGTGCAGCCAGACCGAACACGTTTCCACGCGCATCTCCGCCCTCTCCAGGCAACCGCCAGACAGCTTTCCTCCCCTTTTTCTGGATCCCACTCTCTTGACCCCCCGCCCCCCCACCCGCCGCCTCGCTCTACCTCGAACCCGGCCCATCTACTCCTTGCCCAGAGGTTCTGGCCTGTTTCCTTCCAGTTCTTTTCCATGCATCTCCCCCTGCGGGCTGACAGCACAGATTCTACCATCAACATACATATGGGGTGAGAGGCCAACAGACTCTCCTGGGACCGCTCGCAGGAGTGCAGAAGCACCAGGGCAAGAACCTCCATGGACAGAGCCCCCACCCGCGGGACCCCAGCTGCCCCTGCTTCTGCGGAAGAGCCTGGCTCTCCACACACCCACCGCCTCCGCACGGGGCCTCAGAGCCGCCAGCCGTGGCCTCCCACCTCCTGGCCTTGTCTTCCTGGTGTCAGGAACCAGGGTGTCCCAGGGGAAGGTCCCCGCCCACAGCCCGGGCCTGGCACCGAGTAACTCCCACACCAGCAGCCTGAGCCCCCCCTCTTCCATCCACAGACCCTTTCACACACTTCCCTTTAGCGGAGAGGAGAGGCCTTTTTAAGCCCCGAGAACCTGTAGTGATTGTCTTCCCACACAGACTGGATTTGGAAGCATGGAGGCTGCCTGCCTGAGCCCGCCCTCGCTTCTAGAGCCCCCTGCTGCCCCGAGTCCCAAGCCCCGCCCCCAGAGGCTGCCTTCTCCACGTGGCCTCCGGGCAGCACCTCCCGCCATCACCACCAGCGCCCACTCTGTCTCATTTGGCCACAGGCTGCACGGCTCCCGGAACGGGACCAGCGGGAAGTGGACGCTCAGCCGAAGGTGAGGCAGCTGCTTCAGACAAGCCCATCGTGCGTCCCCAGGCACTCGCCCGCCGGGCACTCACCCAAGTGTGGAGCCCACAGGTTCCTCGACGGGTCTGCCCTCGAACCCTCCACTTCTTCACCTTGTGCCTTCACTTGACAGCTACATCCCAGCCAGTAACTACGCACTCAGGGGTTTAGTGTTGGGCATCAGAAAAACAGGACACAATATGCTTCCTGAACCCACGCGGCCTGTGGAAGGGCTCCCGCAGGCGGCAGAGCCCTGGCTGGTGGCTCGGTGGCTACAGTGCCGGCCTGCGCACCAAAGGGTTTGACTCCCGGTCAAGGGCACAGACCTGGGTTCGTTCAATCCCCAGCCCATCAGGGCATGTGTGGGAGGCAACCAATCAACGTGTCTCTCACATCAATGTGTCTCTCTCTCTCTTCCCTCCCTCCTTTCCACCCACTCTCTCTAAAACTCCATGGAAACATATCCTTGGGTGAGGATGAACAGCAACAGTAACAAAATGTAAACCTGAATCGACATCAAGAAAATGGGAGCGTAAAGGAGCGTGTTAACGGGGCCCCATCAGCGGAGCCCGGACTCCAGGACGGCCGCTGGCGCGCTCACAAGCCGCAGGAGCGCGGAACCACGCCTGCGACACGGCGTCCGGATCGTCACAGCGCGGCCGGCCCGATGCAGACGCAGACCCGCTCACGGGGGTGGGGGGGGTGGGTGGGGGGGATGTCCCCTACACGGACCTGGCAGGCTGCTTCTCTTTCAGTCACACACGGGAGGTTCGCACACGGCGCCTTACCGAAGCCCGGCCCCAGAATAATGGAGACCGGCCACAAAGGAAGCTGGCACAAGCACGGCCAGCCCGGTTCACTTCCTATTTGGTGACTTTTGTGTGTATTCGGAAACGTCTACGGGGAGAGGTTAAAGCTCCGCTGCCTCCAGACGTGGAGGACCCGCCAGCCCCTCCCTCCTGGCTCCTCTCCTCCCTCCACGTGCAGCTTCCGAGGCCCAGAGGTCACCGTGAGCCCGACAGCCGTGTTCTCACACAACCAAGCCCCCAGCCACGGGACCTGGCTGTAGCTGTGCTGTCACCCTGGGGTGACGCCCCGGCCCAGCGCAGATGTCAGTGCTGCTACTGAAGTGACCCTGCGTCAGGTCTAGGAACAGACATCCCCTCCTCAGAGGGTGAAATGGGATTAAAACGGCTGCAAAGTTTAAAGCTGGGATCACCCACAAAAGTAGCTGCTAAGTTCCCGCCCCACGCCCCCCTGGCTCTGCCCCAGGGGTGGGTGTGTGTGTGTCTGTGGGGGGTGGTAGTGGAGCCAGTCCCGCCCCTAGCCCCGCCCCGTGGGAACTCCCACACCTCTACAGGGGCCTGCCCTTGGGGAGCCACATGCTGACCTGCTGGCTTCCCCGAGGGCGGGAGGAGGGGAGAGAGCACCTCAGCCCGATGCTCACCCTCAGGGTCCCCCTGGAAGCAGCTCTCGGGCAGGATCTGGGGGCCCTGCTGCTGATAGACGCTCCCCACATGGAGGTGCTTCACACAAGGACACCCCGGAAAGGCTGCTGAGGCCAGTGTCGGAGCGTGAAGAGCACAGCAGGTGACAGGTAAACAGCGATGATTTCCAGAGCTCGTACACACACCGCACAACATACACAGCGCATTTGTGTGTCTCACACACACACACACACACACACACACACACACACACACACCAGTTCCCTCTGAAACCCTGCTCGTCCTGTTTTCATCAGGCCCAAGGCTGAGAGGAAAAGTGAGGGCCAGACCTTTGAGTGTCGCCCACGGCCCTAGATGGTATGGCTCAGTGGACAGAGCCTCAGCCTGTGGACTGGAGGCTCCCGGGATTGATCCCAGGCAAGGGCACATGCCCGGGTTACAGGCTCGATCCCCAGCTGGGGGCGTGCAGGAGGCAGCTGATCATGATTCTCATCACTGATGTTTCTACCTCTCCCTTCCCCTCTGAAATCAATAAAATATATTTAAAAAGGAAAAAAAAGTAGGTGTCGCCCACTTCAGCTGATCCCACACCAGGTTGGCTAAGGTCTGGCCAAATACCCCCACCCCCACCTGAAGCAAAGCCATGGCTCCTGCCCACACGGCGAGGCCCCACAGGGGGGGAGGGCGTGGAAGGAGGTACCACAGGGGGCTGTGGGGCCAGAAGGGGCACAGTTGGCTGCCCTCCTCCCGACAGCTGCCCGCGAGGGTGCCTGCAGGTCCCGGGCAGGAGGGCAGGGCCCCCGGGGCAGGGCACGGAGCCTGGAAAGCAAAAGGGAGCAAGCAGACTCAGTGCGGTGGGACAGTGAGGAGCCCAGGGACGAGGCTGGATGGCTCTCTTGGGGGCGGGACTGAAGCTGGTGGAGGAGCAGGAAGGGCAGGGCTGCCCATGACCTCCCCCCAGCGCCCCCCCAGCTCAGAGTCCCGCTGCCTGCGCTGTCGCAGGGACACAGGGCAAACACACAGGCGCTCTTCACACACGACCGACAGACACTGCTCCCCGACTCCCCAGCACAGGCCCTGGCTGAGCAGCGCGACAGAAAGGATGTCTGGGTGGAACAGGGAAAGGGACAGAAAGAGGAGGAAAAGGGACTGAAAAAGAAAAGAACTAGGAAAGGAATAAGCGGGGGAAGGAGTAGAAAGGAGAGAGGAGGTCAGGAGAGGAGGAGGAGGAGCAGGAGGGGGAGGGCGGGGAGCTGGCGGACGGACGCCCTGCCCTACAACAAGGACGCGCTGGGCCTGGAGGACCGGCACCTCCTCTGGCTCCGGGCAGGGCAGGCAGGTGGGTCCCCAGGAGCGGCCCCTGCCCGGCCAGGCCTCTGGTGCAGCTGGAGGAGCAGCAAGGCGCCCACCCAGGGCTGAAGAGAGGCTGAGGGCGTGGCGCCAGGGGGGTTGGCCCCCCAGCCCCACTTGCTAGCTGCTTCCTGAGGTGGCGCTGGCCAGGCTGGGCGCCCATGGCACAGGTGGGCGGGGGGGGGGCTCCTCCCGGTGTGCCCCACGGCGGCCGAGGCCCGAGTGTCCAGGCTGATACTTACATTACCGCCTCCAGGGACATGCTTAATATTGTCCTTGGAACCACACTTGGACTGAACATGGCTGTAGTTCAGTTTTTTGGAGACTATCTGGACCTGGAGTGTTAGAGACAGAGAAACAACACAGGGAGAGGGCTGGTTACTGACACAGGGCGGCAGTGAGGCCACACGCAGTCACATGGCCAACAGAGAGGGTTAAAACTCCGCCCCCACCTGCGGCAGAACAGCTGTGGAAGCAGAGCCTGAAGGAGCAGGAAAAGGGGTGAGGACGGACAGTCAACACTAGGACAGAGCAGATGTTTGGTGAAGTGCGACTTGGCGCTACCACTGCTCGGTGGGGGCTGGGCTGTGGTTCCCTGCATACGGCCGCCCCTGCCTGCTCCCCCCCTTCAGCCTGGGGGGCATGTCCTGGGGCTCATCTGGGCCAGTCCCTCCCCAGGGAGAAGCACTGGGCAGTGGGCTCCGGGGCACAGATCTGACACCAGCACTGGGCGTGCCGTGCACAGTCCTGGACACCAGGGGGCGCGCGGCCCGCAGCCCAGCAGCTTCCTCACGAAGCCCAGGGCACGGAGAGTCCTGCACGCCAGGCCAGTGAGCGAGCAAGCGGCTGCCCTTGGAATGCAGCCACCCGATCCTGCAGCCTTCTCAAGGAGCAGCTGCCAGCTCCCTCCCTCCCTCCCTCCTTGCTTCCTTTCCTTTCCCTTCCCTTCGGAGCCCTTTGCAAATGATGCAGCTGCCGACGGAGTAGAGAAATCACGCTGACAAACACTAACCCAAATACCTCGCCATTTCTTGCTTCTTTACAAACATTTCCCAATAAACCCTGGTCTGCACCAGGGACCCCAGGAGTCAGCCAGGAGCCGCGGTGCAGCCTTCCTCTCGCCTGATGTACAGTCCTTGGGCTAGAGGCTGGAGCCCTCGGCCAGAGGCCACCCGGCTGCGGCTGCGCAGCTCAGGGCAGAGGCTCCACAGCAGGAGGGCCTGTGCCTGGAGGAGGAGGAGGAGGAGGAGGAGGAGGAGAGGGAAAGAACCTGCAGGGCCACCTGGCCTCTGCCCTCCAGCTGGTGCGCCACCGTGCTGGGTGGGCTTCCACTGTAACGAGCACCCTAACTTTCTGCTAAGACGTGACTTGGGTAGCCAGGACAAACCAAGCCATCCCCACACCCAGCAGTGTTATGAGAGGGGCCTTCTAGTTCAGCTTAAAGCACAGGGTCTCGGGGATTCCAGGTGCCAGAAGATACCAGTGCCAGGTCTCACTGCGGAAGAACCCGGTGCTGAGTGTGTGTGCGCGCGCGCGCGGGTAACAGCTGGACGTCAGACCAAGGTCAGTGGGAAGGAAGTGGTTGAAAGTTGTAGATCCAGCTGAATAAACAGTCCCCAAAGCACTAATGAGTCCCAAGTGTTAACTCTCAGGTTGATAAAAACTTTTTCTGATGCGAAACACGAAGGAGGCACAGGGAGAGGACGGAGCTGGTGGAGGGACAGGAGAGGCAGCAGGAGGGCGTGGCTGTGCGCTGACCGGCAAGAGGCAGGTCCCGGGACACTCACTTTCCCCGCAGGTGCCCTCTGTGCACTCGCACCCGGCCCAGCAGGCTTAGTGGCCGCGGGAGGGGCAGGTTTTCGAGCTGCAGCTGCTGCCTCTGTTCTTTCCTCTACTTTGGCCTAGACGGGGATAAAGGAAGGGCAATTTCAAAACAAGAGGACAAGAGCCCAAATGCCAAGAGGGAAAGAAGGCTGGGACTCGAATCCAGGCCAGGCAGAAGCAGGTCCCCTTGCTCCTGGGGAAAAACACCCATTTCCCAGGTAGACCAGCCAGAGGGAGGAGCTGCAGATCAAAGCTGGAGCCACGAGCAGAGCAGCCAGCATCACGGAGACCGGCAGGCGGAGGCTCGGTGAGCTGCTCTGCTCTGAGCGTGGCCGTGGCTATGGCTTTCCAACCACAATGTCCTCCCACCCAAACGTTCTCTGCCCCACGCACGCGCCTGTGGTCACAGCGAGCCACTACCGGAGACGTGCGCGTCACGCCCTGCAGGTGTGTGGGACAGAAAAACGAACCACCTCAGCGCCCCCCACGACGCTGCGCGGAGAGCGTAAGGGGTGTGCGGGACGGGAGGCCTGGTGGGGCTGCCAGAGCCGGCCGAGGCCCTCACCCCAGGCCAATCCTCTGCGGGAGGCTCTTCCCGCGGCAGCAGGTTCTGCCTCACTTTGGACCCGCTTCAATTTTCTAACAGCTCGGGATTGAAGCGGGTCAGTGTCCTGCCCTCAGTGGTGGTGGCGGAGAAGGGCTGGAGGTGATGGAGGTGACAAGGCTGCACTCAGGGACCCGGCAGTGGACTCCTGACACCACCTTTTTCACACACCAAGTCGCCCTGGTTGCTAACAGTTAACAAGTAAGGCCAGGATGGACGCAAACGGAAAGGCCCGCGGGCCTGCTCCATCACTCCACTCCACAGCAGCTCCTTCGTGGGGCAGCCACGGCCACCAGGACCCCCACCCTCCACAGACACTCCTGCTGCTCACAGGGCAGGCGAGACCCACGACAAACCAGTCGTGTACCGTCTTTCCCCTGCAGTCCCAGAGTCTCCTCTGCTCATGTTGTAAAGTAGAACCTTTTGTCTCCAAACGAAACTGTAAGTCTAAACCCACACACAGAACAGGAGCCCGATTCCAATGAGGGCGCAGCACTCGGCCCACCCCTCCCAGCTCCAAGCCCAGGCCCTGCCGGCCGCTCCCTGGTGCCCGGGCTGCGGTGAGGACAGGTGTGGGGACCAGCGCAGGATGTGGCGGGACAGCAGCCGGGCCAGCATGTGGAGGACCCGCGTCCCGGGACCCACCCGGCCTCCTCCAGGCTGGTGCCTGATGTTCTCCGTGGAGCCGACCTTGGCGCGGACGTTCTTCAGATCAGGTGTGGAAGCGCTGGTCGCCGGGCGGCTCAGTCTGGGGGCCAAGGAGCTGGGCCTGGCCGACGTGGGCTTCTTGTCCACGGCAAGAGTCCCAGAGGCCCGGGGAGACACGGGGGTGGGCTTGACGCGACTGGGAGCCGCACCGGCTGGCGAGCCCGGCCCAGGGCCAGCGGCGGTCTTCCTCGCGGTACTGCTGGAGGTGCTCTTTGCGCGACTCAAGTCAGCTGTGAAGGTAGGAATGAGACCAGGGTTCAGGGGAGCGCCTACAGGAGCCTGAAAGCCGCGGCAGACGTGGGGGCTGAAGTCAGGGCCCCAAGTGGGGCGGGGGCCTTACCTGGTGCAGACTTCGTAACTGTCTTCTTGGCGTCTGCAGGCTTTCCCTCCGTCTTGGTGCCTGCACAGACATACACCTCTCAATACAACTTTAATAAACGGACCTACTGAATGGCTCGTCCAATCCTGAGGTTCATTCATTCATTCATTCAACAGTTACTGAACGTCTGCTGAGCCAGGGGCTGAGATGGCCTCTGGGGAGGGCAGTGTATTAGGCAACCACGTGAAGCCACGCCCGCTGCAGGGCACAAGGGCCGGCATCTGGTCTCCTTCTTTCCTGGTCTTGACAACGCCTTCCACGCGCCTTAGAAACAGGCGACAGCATGCGCCTCTGGGGCGGAATGGCCTGATTCTTGCCATGGAGGCCCGTGGTGCTGGTGGGCATGGAGGCTGCACTGTGCTGGCGCCATGGAGACACCGGGAAGGAACAGTGACGTCTCCCGGTAGTCCAGGACAGTCCTCTCCACTCACGGTTTTCCCCAGTGTACCTGCCTGCTACCCTCCCATGGAGACCAAGGCTGCCACTTGCCAACACACCCGTCCAGGCCTGACAGACCTGCACAGCTCACGTGGCGCTGGCCGAGCTATGGCTGGGGCCCAGTCACATCCCCACTCTCCTCCCCACAGGTCCCCGCAGGGCGAGGGGGACCATACTCACCAGCAGGCCTCCTGGGCAGGGGCGTGGGGGCGCTCCTGCTGCTCGGCCCAGTCGAGGCAACAGAGGCGGCCGCGGGGGCCTTTGGAGCGGCCTGGGTGCTCCTGGAGCTGGGCCTGGAGGCCGGGGCAGAGGCTGGCTTGGACGGCGTGGCCTTCTTCTCGGGAACCTTTGTCTCTGCAACAGGCTGACAGCGGGAAAGTGGGAATAAGAGCTGCACGTCAGCAACAGCCCCAGCAAGTCCTGCCAAAGGGGGCTCCACAGATGCACAACCAGAACACAGGGCCTGTGGGCCTAGCAGCTACTGACAGGAAATACGTCTGGTGCCAGGACCCCAGTCCTCCAGGGAACGGACACACTGGCCCTTAGGGTGCTGGGTGATGGGGTCAAGGAACAGTGAGCGCACGACCTCCAGCCACCCTGACCCGCTGAGAATGAATGGCCCTGAGAGTACCCCTCACACACGTGCCTCAGGCTCGACCGCATTAAGTGTTGATGTAGTGAGTGGATTAAATACTTGGCCAACGATGAACAAATACATAAACAGAACAAACATTTTAAATGATGTCCAGTCCAAAAGGAGGGCCTATGTAATACTTCCAACAATAAACATGAAACAAAAGATGTCCAGGCAAAGTCACATTCTTTTGGCTTAGATGTGCCTGGTGGGTGCTGAACAGGCCAGGGCTGTAGAGGGGAGAACACTGGCCCCGTCTGCCCCCAACTCAGCGTGTTCTTGGGCAAATCCCCGAGCCCCTCTGGGCTCGGTTCCTGTCTGCACACAGGAGGCTGGGACAGAGGATCCCAGGGCAGCTCAGAGAAAGGGGAGGGCGGGACCAGAGGGCGGGCGTCTGGGCCCGAGGTGACCAGCGGGGATGAGCAGCACAGGTGTCCCAGCTGGACTGAAGGCAGAGTGGTCTCAGTGCACAGGCGCCCGGTCGCTGTTCCCTGGAGCCTGGGCACGGTGTCACTAGCAAGGAAGTGAAGGAGCCAGTGCAGCCTGGCTCCCCAGGAACAGGGCGAGTGCACTGTGTTACTCAGGAGAGGAAGCCAAGTCACAGGCCAGTGGGCCCAGACCTTTAGCTCCGAGAGAAACTCCCTCTCTCCTCTAATTAGTAGGAATTGTTTTCTAAAAATCAAGAAAAGCAGTCAACTAGGTGAGGACCAGAGAGCTTCACTGCTGAAACCTTATCATCCCTTGTCTATGAGAGGATTTCTTGGTTTCTTGGCCAGGATTCCAACCTGGATCACAATTCTTAGGTTCCACCAGTTTTCTTTACAAGATTAGACTCAGGCACTTAGACACCAACACGGATGCTATTTCCCAGGATGACTCGAAAGGACATCAAGCTGATCTCCAGGCCCTCCTCACGTAACATGAGCTGTGGAGGCAGACAGACTCCCACCCTCCTCCTAGAGCAGCGGTTCTCAACCTGGGGGTCGAACGACCCTTTCCCAGGGGTCGCCTCAGACCATCGGGAAACACATCTATAATTACATGATGTGTTTGTGGTTAATCACTATGCTTTAATTATGTTCAATTTGTAACAATGAAAATACATCCTGCATATCAGATATTTACATTACGATTCATAACAGCAGCAAAATTACAGTGATGAAGTAGCAACGAAAATAATGTTATGGTTGGGGGTCACCACAACATGAGGAACTGTATGAAAGGGTCACGGCGTTAGGAAGGTTGAGAACCACTGTCCTAGAGGAACTCTGTGAAGCGAATGCTGTTCCAAACTGACCGTTTTCTGGGCGACCGTGTGTGGGTGACCTGGGAAACGGAAAAGCCTCGCACGCAGCCCGGTGAGAGGTGGCCTAATGCCCAAAGCGAAGACAGTCACCCCGGGCGGCAGGGCCTGCTAGGGCGAGTGGCAAGGACTTACCACAGAGAGAGGGTCAGTTGGCTTCCGCAGGGGGAGGAAAGGGAAGGACAAAGGGAACCGGCTGGGAATCTGACCCGGGAATTACAGCAAAAATGAAAATCTGACAGGAGGTGGGAAGGAGAGGGGAACCTGGTTACGAGTGTGTGAACAGGGAAGAGTCCGGGGAGCTGGGCGAGAGGAGGAGAAACCAAAGCCGATGGAACACGGCCTCCACAGGCAGGGAAAGGCACCGAGCACAAGGCCTTCAGGGGGGGGAGCTGCCGCAGGGCCCCGGTCCCACCAGCTGACCCCCGTGGGGCGGCGGAAGCCTGCCCTGAGCAGAGCTCAGGCGACACTTACCTTGGGCCTGGTGTCCTTGGCAGGGGAGGCGGCTGGCCTGGCGGTGGGGGCTGCGGGGCGTTTGGGGGGGGCCGCGGGCCCGGAGCCCGAGGCGGGGCTCATGGGCTTTTTAGGCGGCCCACCGCAGGAGGTGGGCGCTGGTTGCTTAGGGAGAGAAGTGGACTGTGTTTTGGCTTTCGATGCTGAAGTCTTTGCAGGATGAGTTGTGGCCAAAGGCTTTAAGTTGATTTGTTGGTGTTTTGTTTTTTTTTAAACAGGCCAACATCAAACACACAGACAAGAATAAAAACAAAATGTAAAAAAAGTATAAATTGCACAATTCAAAGCAAAATGATAAGCAATGAGGAGCTGCAACTGAAAACCAGCATTCCTTTTTTCTGAGTTCAGTAAAGAGCAGAAAGGCTCCAGGACAGAGAAGAAACTGGGCACCGTTTCTTAGTGACCTGCCACAAACTCCAGCAGTTGGACAGCTGCGATGTAAATTCAGTGGTAGCTTTCAGCAATTAACTAACTCCTGCTGGCCGTGACAACTCTACGGAAAAGTACCAGCAGGGACTACGTTACCATTACCTGCACCTCAATGAGGCAACATCGGCTTCCTGCTTAAGACCACACGAAAGTGTGCATTTTGAACTTTGCGATTAGTACCAATTAGTTTCTGAAGCTATGATTCACCTTAAAAATTTGTGTTCCCTTTCATGAATGCAGATTTTAGGATCTATTTCTTTTCTTTTTTTGGTTAAGCCTCACCCGAGGATATTTTTCCATTGATTTTTAGAGAGGGTGAAAGGGAGGTGAGAGATAGAGAAATATCAATGTGAGAGAGACACATCAATTGGTTGCCTCCTGCATGCACCCTGACCAGGGCCGGGGTCGAGCCTACAACCAAGGTATGTGCCCTTGACCGGAATCAAACCTGGGACCCTATAGTCTGTGGGCCGACTTTCTATCCTCTGAGGCAAACCGGCTGGGGCTAGACTATTTAAAAAGAGTTCTGCAATTCCTTTTGCTGTTGTTGAGAAGCAGAAACAACCTCTACAGAACATTTCCACAGATACTCAAGACAATAGGGTCAAAGGCAGCGATATTAAGGTCTGAGTTAGGCCATTATGGTAAAATGGGAATATTACCATAATCTTACCATAATATTAAGCATATCCAAATTTGAGAAAAGACTAACAACACCTCAGAAAAAAGAAATTTCACTCACGATTCAAGCAATAATAGCTGAAGGTACCGTCAACAAAATGACAGCAGTCAAAGATAACCCACCATTCCGGCAACTACCTTGGCTTTCTTCTCGGGGCTTGGTGGGAGCTCCTTGTTTGGAGGGGCAGTGATGTCATTTCCGGTCACGCTGGCAGCAGCTGGCCCTTCTGGCTTGGCTGTTCCTGAGGGGAGGAAGTCATGTTGAACAAATGGTTCTCACACCCATTTCAAAAATGCGAGCCTTCGCAGAGACAGACAACGAACTAGCACTTCGCTCTGAAGAAAGCCCGCAGGGCTGTGCCGCTGAAATGTGGACAAGACTCCCACGTTCCCCTCCTGGTGACGGAGGAGTTCAGATTCCAGAGATCCGGCCAGCCTGTCCCTGTGGGGAGGCAACCTGAGTGGGATTTGCACAAATGATCAAGGGAAGGAAATGGCCCTCAAGCTTGGCTTCGCTTCCCTGGAGACAGATAGGCACAGGGTTCTGTCGCCCAACCACCAACTCCCAGAGCGCACAGGACAAGCCCTCGGCTCCTCGTGTATCTGCTGGAATAAAGGCTGCACAGATGGGCTGCGTGCCAGGAGATCACGCGTGTCCTCCTCTGACTTCCTCTCCCTGGGAAGTACTGTGCAGAGGATGTGAGCTGACCGCGATCTGATTCCGGCAGTGACCCAGATTCCCAACGAGGCAGGAGACCCGGGAAACCGGACCCGGCCAGAAACAGTCTCCGGCCCTGGGCTCTGCCCGCAGCCCCACTGCACTGCGGCGGCTCCTCCAGATTTCAACAGGCCCCCCCGAAAGCACTAGCAGGCCCCTGCATTTCGCCTGGGCACAGGGAACACCGTTTTAATTGCCACAGAATTCAGAAGCCACAAAAGTAACTTCGACCACAGAAAATAAAAAACCTTCAATGAGGCCAAAATAACAAAAAGTCAAAAGGCAAGTGATCAATAGGGAAAAACACCATGTGAACTTCACATCAAAGACCAAGAAATTATTATGTCAACTCCTCCTATAAAGACCAACAACCCAGTAGAAAGATGGCCAAAGAATATGAACACAGTTTATAGAAATACAAATCACGTTTGAAAGTAAGAAACTATGTCCAGTCTTTAAGAAAAATGAAAATTAAAATGACCCAGATATGCTACTTTTACTAACACATTATCAAAAGTTCTGAGATGGGAAAGTAACTGTTGGGGACAGTTTGAGGACATGCCCTGCTGGGACGTGTATGAGATGGAACTCATCTGCAGGGCATTCCCGCAGTATCTCTGAAAATGACAAGTGCAGATACATTCTAATCCAGAAATCTAACTTCTAAAAATGTGCATCTTAGCGATGCAGTCATACGCCTGCAAAATAGCAAACATCATGGTCTTTTGTTTGTTCATCCTCACCCAAGCATATTTTTCCATTGATTTTTAGAGAGAGAGGAAGGGAGGAGAGACCGAGGGAGAGAGAAACATTGATGTGAGAGAGACACATCGATTGATTACCTCCGACCAGGGCCAGGGGTAGAGCCAGCAACCGAGGTACATGCCCTGGACAGGAACTGAACCCAGAATCCTTCAGTCCACAGGCTAACGCTCTATCCACTGAGCCAAACCGGCCAGGGCCAACACTGTGGCCTTTTACCAGAGCACTGTTATGAAAAGCAAAGGCCTGAAACAACCCAGACATACATTCATAAGAAACCGATTATGTCAATGCAAACTCAGAATCTGAAAAAGCACCAAAAACTCTTTTGTGACTGATACAGAACCATCTCTAAGTGAAAAAAGGAAAGAAAGAAAAAAGCCAGGCACCGAACAGTATGCATAACATAAAACCATTTGTCTAGAAGAGAATGGGAGAAAACACATTTCTATTACAAACACACTTGTATGTGATTTTTAACATCTTTGGGCCCGGCCAGTGAGGCTCAGCGTCGACCTAGGAACCAGGTCACGGTTTGATTCCCGGTCAGGGCACATGCCTGGGTTGTGGGCTCGATCCCAGGTGTGGAGCCTGCAGGGAACAGCCGATCAATGATTCTCTCTCATGGATGTTTCTATCTCTCTCTCCCTCTCCCTTCCTCTCTGAAATCAATAACAATATATCAAAGAAAGAACAACAACAACGTCATGCCAGGTGGGCAGCAATGCCTTGCGCAGCAGAGCTGGAGCCTTACCCCACGTGTCCCTTCTGCCCCAGCCCTGACCACTGAGCGTCCTCAGGGGCCCAGGATCGTCAGTTAACACACAGCCTCACTGCCCGTGACATAAACGTGCAGCACCTCAACCTGCACAGTGAGCGTCCTTTGCAGCTGTTAGCGACCACTCCCTCTACATCCCATTAAAAAAAAGTGTGACACAGAATCATTAACTGCTCCCTCTGCTGGATCTTCCCATTACCACCTGCTGATGAACCCAGGGTCCAAAACACCCCCCCCTCCCCTCTTTCACACACACACACACACACACACACACACACACGTCTTACACATCACCCAGTGTTCCAGTCCAGGTGATCCCACCTCTGCTGCCTTTCCTGTCGTGATGCTGGTATTGCACCTGCTACTACTCTCTGAATTTAATGGTCATAACAGGATTTTTTTTGCCTCCAGTCAATCTTCTGTCTCCAGCATTGTATCGATTGAGGTGAGTCTTAATTTATTGCCACAGGCAATCACCAGTGTTTTAAACACAAGAGAACCCGGAGCATTCGAGGAGGCATTTGAAACCTGGGTTCCAAACCGCTTTCCAGATTCCCTCCCTCACGACTTCTGCCATGACGCAGGTGGCTCTGGCCTCTGTGCTCAGCCCGCACCTTTCTCCAGGTGACGTGACAGGTCTGAATGGCGAAGGCTGTTGAATAAGCCTGTGGCATCTGGCAAACAGCTATGTGGACCAAGCTGAGCCAATAAGGTACATGTATGCGCTCTTTCTCTAAAAGAAAGAAAACTTCAATTAAGTAACCTTGGGTCCCTGAGACTTAAGGCAGCATAGAGCGGGACCCAGAACCCAACTAGGCCGACCCAATGTCCTGTACAGACCGAGTCACAAAGAAAGCAAGAAGCGAGAGATGGCAGTTTCCAGAAGTGAAAGGGATGGAGACACATGAGGGGAAGCGCAGGTCTGGAGACACGTGGCTGCAGCTGGCTACTCTTCCAGTCGGACTCTCCCGGCCTGTCCTGAGCGTTCCGTACAGCGAGCTCCTCTGAGCACGCAGCATCCTTCGCAATCGCGTGGTTCTCAGGAGACTGCCCCACAGACACTCGCCCTTGCCCTTCTCGCTGAAGCGTGCTGTCTGGGCCGCATGCCTCGTCTGCCTGGAAGCTTTCCTCCCTGTTGTCAGATCCTCGGGTCCAAGGCCACCTTTTCCAAACTGTCCACGATTTACAGCCCTCTCACCAGCACGCCCATCGACACTAGGCCACCAGCTGCTGGTGGGTAGGACACCACCAGCCCCTGGACAGTGCGGATGCTGGCACATGGCAGGCACGCCGACTGCATTTGTCTTCACGCCGCACCTGGGAGGGGCAGCAAACATCTATCAGGTGAATGGATCAGTGGGGTGTGCCAGCCATTTAACATTTTCTATCAGCATGAACCTCAGTGAGCGTGAACTCGGATGAACTTGTTCTGAAACAAACAAAAACCTTCATGCATCACCACCGACAAGGCCTCTGGCACCGAACTGGGCACTTGGGGATCAGTGAAAAGAGACAGAACCCAGGCCACGAGAGATGTTTCTGCCACAAGCAGAAGCCAGCCCCGGGCAGGACACCTGCAGACTGGCCAGCCTGGAGTCAGACCCCATCGGGGACACAGGGCGCTCCTTGTCTGTCTCCGTTAGAAAGAAGCCACCTGTCAGTCTTAAAGGTCCCGCTCCAATACCCCCTCCCTAGAAAACAACACATCTGCTTTTAAGAGAAAAAGAGTAAAATCTTTCATTAAAAGCGTCCTGAGATAAATATTAGAGAAAACAGTTCCTAGGAAAAGAGGCAATTTTTACGAACAAAACCCATTAAATCCCCACCAGCCAACGCGCTTGTGAAGCCGCAAACTGGACTGGGAAACAGCTTCCTCAGACCCCAAGGAGACGGGGGGAGGGGGGGACACGGCGGAGGAAGAAAGACACAGGAGGCAGCCCCGAGACCGCAGACTCAGCGCGTATTAAGCGAAGTCTCCTCTCTTCTCCCCCCACAATCCTCCCAACCCGCACATGGAAAGAGAGAACCAGAAGCAAGATGGTCAACCGTGAGGAATAGGAAAGGACATGAAACAGCAGCTTTAAAAGGCTCTTCAGCTGGAACAAAAGTCAAACGGGAAGCAGCCCCCCAGGCCGTGCTGCTTAGTGAGGAGACCTCGCGGCACAGGCAGGCCTCAGCCAGGAAGCTGGTCAGCGGTGACTGCGTGGCCAGACAGGGAGCTGAGCGGGGTGGGCGGCGAGGTGACAGGAGGCCGAGGAAGGCTCTATTGCTTATGCCCACCGCCCTCTAACCCCCCACCCCCGCCCACCTCCTCAGCCCCCATGATCTGTGCTGCCAGCAGACACGCAGGCTGGCCCAGCCCCATCACTGTTCACTCCTCGGACCTCCCCATGGCAGGGAACTCGCTTCCCAGGCTGAGACAGGCTGCCTCACGCTCCCGCCGCCTCTGTCACTGGGTCCTTCCTTGCTGCCTGCTTGTTCCCATGGAGGAGAATTTAGAAACATACCGTCACGTGGGGTCTCCTCACACAGGAGCGATGGAGCGCTCTGGGGAGCGGTGGCCTCAGTTTCCTCCTCCCTGGCCAGAGCCCCCCGTCCTGGCTGCTGCTCCCCTGCCTGGCAGACGTGGGGGCCTGAGTCCGCGCCGGCTCCACTTACACCTTCTCGCCCCCCTTCCTGGCTGCTCACTTCAGGAATCCGCTCCAGCTCCCGCTGGAGACACAGCCCCGCAGCGCCCAGCTCCTTCCTCCCCGCGCTGCTGCTGCTCCAGTGGGTCAAGTGGGCCGACTCTTCCTCCTTCGTGGCCGCTGCTTCTGCACAGAGGGGAGGCGGGGGCTCCTCGGTGGGCAGGCCGGGCAGCTCCCCAGGGTTCCGTCTGCAGCCAGCTGTCTGCTCCTCGGCCACCGTCATGGAGCGCCTGACGGCAGGAGCCCCCCATGTCCTGGGCGGAGGAACGGGCTCTTCTCGGGCAGGGAGCTCGGGGT